CTTTTTGCCAATACCTTAGTCGTGCATCACAAGACTTGTCCGTGGACATAAAAAGCAATTGTTTCTGCTGTGTAATCGAAAAACACGTTAAAATTAATATTATGCTGCTTCGAACATTATGTTCTATTGCATTTCAAGGCCCCTTGTAGCAAAAATTAGAATTTGGCACGGTCTGAAAACTGTATTATTGGAATCTACGGTCAAAAGGCTTTCTGTCGATGCCACATTCTTCCATAAACAGACAGTTCCTGGATAGAAAAAAACAGGTTTTCCCAGTTGCATTGTAATTGAAGAAGACGTGAAAATTAATATTATGCTGTTTCGAACCTTATGTTCTTTTGAATTTCAAGGCCGCTTGTAGCAACAATTAGAATTTGGCACGGTCTGGAAATTGTATTATTGGTATCTACGGTCAATAGGCTTTCTGTCGATGCGACATTCGTCCATAAATAGACAGTTCCTGGATAGAAAAAACAGGTTTTTCCAGTTGCATTGTAATCGAAGAAGACGTGAAAATTAATATTATGCTGTTTCGAGACTTATGTTCTATTGAATTTCAAGGCCCCTGTAGCAGAAACTAAAATTTGGGCTAGTCTGAAAATTGTATTTTTGAAATATACAGGCCATAGGCTTTTTGCCAATGCCTTATTCGTGCATCACTAGACTTGTCCGTGGACATAAAAAGCAATTTTTTCTCCTGTGTAATCGAAAAACACGTTAAAATTAATATTATGCTGTTTCGAACATTATGTTCTATTGCATTTCAAGGCCCCTTGTAGCAAAAATTAGAATTTGGTACGGTCTGAAAATTGTATTATTGCAATCTACGGTCGATAGGCTTTCTGTGGATGCGACATTCTTGCATAAATAGACAGTTCCTGGATAGAAAAAACAGGTTTTCCCAGTTGCATTGTAATCGAAGAAGACGTGAAAATTAATATTATGCTGTTTCGAACCTTACGTTCTTTTGAATTTCAAGGCCGCTTGTAGCAACAATTAGAATTTGGCACGGTCTGGAAATTGTATTATTGGTATCTACGGTCAATAGGCTTTCTGTCGATGCGACATTCGTCCATAAATAGACAGTTCCTGGATAGAAAAAACAGGTTTTTCCAGTTGCATTGTAATCGAAGAAGACGTGAAAATTAATATTATGCTGTTTCGAGACTTATGTTCTATTGAATTTCAAGGCCCCTGTAGCAGAAACTAAAATTTGGGCTAGTCTGAAAATTGTATTTTTGAAATATACAGGCCATAGGCTTTTTGCCAATGCCTTATTCGTGCATCACTAGACTTGTCCGTGGACATAAAAAGCAATTTTTTCTCTTGAATTGTAATCGAAGAAGACGTGAAAATTAATATTATGCTGTTTCGAACCTTATGTTCTATTGAAATTCAAGGCCCCTTGTAGCAAAAATTAGAATTTGGCACGGTCTGAAAATTGTATTATTGGAATCTACGGTCAATAGGCTTTCTGTCGATGCCACATTCGTCCATAAACAGACAGTTCCTGGATAGAAAACACAGGTTTTTCCAGTTGCATTGTAATCGAAGAAGACGTGAAAATTAATATTATGCTGTTTCGAACCTTATGTTCTATTGAATTTCAAGGCCCCTTGTAGCAAAAATTAGAATTTGGCACGGTCTGAAAATTGTATTATTAGAATCTACGGTCAATAGGATTTCTGCCGATGCCACATTCCTCCATAAACAGAGAGTTCCTGGATAGAAAAAACAGGTTTTTCCAGTTGCATTGTAATCGAAGAAGACGTGAAAATTAATATTATGCTGTTTCGAGACTTATGTTCTATTGAATTTCAAGGCCCCTGTAGCAGAAACTAAAATTTGGGCTAGTCTGAAAATTGTATTTGTGAAATGTACAGTCCATAGGCTTTTGGACAATGCCTTATTCGTGCATCACTAGACTTGTCCGTGGATATAAAAAGCATTTTTTTCTGCTGTGTAATCGAAAAAGACGTTAAAATTAATATTATGCTGTTTCGAACATTATGTTCTATTGAACTTCAAGTCCCCTTGTAGCAAAAATTAGAATTTAGCACGGTCTCAAAATTGTATTATTGGAATCTACGGTCAGTTGACTTTCTGTCGATGCCACATTCTTCCATAAACATACAGTTCCTGGATAGAAAAAACAGGTTTTCGCAGTTGCATTGTAATCGAAGAAGACGTGAAAATTAATATTATGCTGTTTCGAACCTTATGTTCTATTGAATTTCAAGGTCCCTGTTGCAGAAACTAGAATTTGGGCTTGTCGGAAAATTGTATTTTTGGAATGTACAGTCCATAGGCTTTTTGCTAATGCCTTATTCGTGCATCACTAGACTTGTCCGTGGACATAAAAAGCAATTTTTCCAGCTGTGTAATCGAAAAAGACGTTAAAATTAATATTATGCTGTTTTGAACTTATGTGCTATTGAATTCCATTCAATTCCATTTTCAAAATGACCTCTTTAGGATTTGAACCACAGCTGGTACATTAGAGTCGGTAGTCTTTACCACTAGACCACATGCTCTTTGTGGAAATCTGATCAGTTGTTATTCACCTTAACCTTTTTCTTCTAACCTGTATAATTAATGATCAACCCTTTTCAAATCATAAAGTGAACTCTGCAGGATTTGAACCACAGCTGGTACATTACAGTCGGTAGTCTTTACCACTAGACCACATGCTCATTGTGGAAATCCTATCACTGGTTATTCACCTTAACCGTTTTATTCTAACTTGTATAATAAATAAAACAACTTGAATAGGATTTGAACCATTACACTTCACAGTCGGTAGTCTTTACCAGTAGACCACTTGTTCGTTGTGGAAATGCTATCACTAGTTATTCACCTTAACCGTTTTATTCTAACTTGTATAGTTAGTAAAAGAATTCAATAGGATTTGAACCACTACTCTTCACAAACGGTAGCCTTTACCACTAGACCACTTACTCGTTGCGGAAATCCTATCACTAGTTATTCACCTTAACCGTTTTATTCTAACTTTATTATAAATAAAACAACTTCAATAGGATTTGAACCATTACACTTCACAGTCGGTAGTGTTTACCACTAGGCCACTTGTTCGTTGTGAAAATCCTATCACTGGTTATTCACCTTAACCGTTTTATTCTAACTTGTATAATAAATAAAACAACTTCAATAGGATTTGAACCATTACACTTCATAGTCGGTAGTCGTTACCACTAGACCACTTGCTCATTGTGGAAATCCTATTACTGGTTATTCACCTTAACCGTTTTATTCTAACTTGTATAATATATAAAACAACTTCAATAGGATTTGAACCATTACACTTCACAGTCGGTAGTCTTTACCACTAGACCACTTGTTCGTTGTGGAAATCCTATCACTGGTTATTGACCTTAACCATTTTATTCTAACTTGTATAATAAATAAAACAACTTCAATAGGATTTGAACCACTACACTTCACAGTCGGTAGTCTTTACCACTAGACCACTTGTTCGTTGTGGAAATCCTATCACTAGTTATTCACCTTAACCGTTTTATTCTAACTTTTATAATAAATAAAACAACTGCAATAGGATTTGAACCATTACACTTCACAGTCGGTAGTCTTTACCACTAGACCACTTGCTCATTGTGGAAATCCTATCACTAGTTATTCACCTTAATTAACCATTTTATTCTAACTTTTATAATAAATAAAAAAACTTGAATAGGATTTGAACCACTACACTTCACAAACGGTAGTCTTTACCACTAGACCACTTGCTCGTTGCGGAAATGCTATCACTAGTTATTCACCTTAACCGTTTTATTCTAACTTTTATAATAAGTGAAACAACTGCAATAAGATTTGAACCGTTACACTTCACAGTCGGTAGTCTTTACCACTAGACCACTTGTTCGTTGTGAAAATCCTATCACTAGTTATTCACCTTAACCGTTTATTCTAACTTGTATAATTAAGTTAATCAAGTGACTTCAATAGGATTTGAACCACTACAGTTTACAGTCGGTAGTCTTTATCATACTAGACCACTTGCTCGTTGTAGGAATCCTAGTATCACTGTTATTCACCTTAACCTTTTTTCTAACCGGTATAATCAATAATCAACACATTTCAAATCATAAAATGAACTCCGAAGGATTTGAACCATAGCTGGTACATTACAGTGGGTAGTCTCTACCACTAGATCACTTGCTCGTGGTCGCCTTCACCATTCACCTTTAACCATTCACCTTAACCATTTTCTTATAATTAATAAAATTACTTCAATAGGATTTGAACCATTACACTTCAAATCATAGCCGGTAGTCTTTACCACTAGAACACTTGCTCGTTGGAGGAATCCTATCACTGGTTATTCACCTTAACCGTTTTAACTTGTATAATTAATAATGTGACTTCAATGGGATTTGAACCACTACACTTAACAGCCGATAGTCTTTACCACTAGACCAGTGGCTCGTGGCAATTGTAGGAATCCTATCACTGGTTATTCACCTTAAGATTTTTTCTAACCTATGTAATCAACACATTTCAAATCATAAAATGTCCTCTGCAGGATTTGAACCACAACTGGTACATAAGAGTCGATAGTCTTTACTACTAGACCACATGCTAGTTGTCGTAAGCCTATCGCAATTTATTCACCTTAACCTTCTAGATCTCTAAGTTGTTTAGTGAATAAATCAACTCTTTCCCATTCCCGAAATAACTTCTGCAGAATTTGAACCACAGCTGGTACATTGCACAGTCCATAGTCTTTGCTACTAGACCACTTACTTGCTGGTTGTCAGAAACCTACCGTAACTTATTCATCTTAATCTTTTTCCGATGGCTTATTCTTGCAATAGCCCTCAATGTATACCCCTCTCAAAGGCCGAAAAGCTCCATGACAGGGGCAGGAATCGAACTTATAGGTCACATGGTCTACGACACATATAGCCGTGACCACCCGAGTATCATGTCTTATGCTTTTTATTTTATTTTATTTTATTTAACCCGTTACTCTCTCAGATGGTGAATTAATTATAATAGGGCAGTCAAATACTAAAATGAATAATTTTGAGTTCAACTTGGCAGAATCCGGGCGCACTATCTCGACTGTTGCTTGTTAGTTGTCGATAATTTTTATCACTAAAGGTGGATTTCCATTCAGTGCAAAATGTTGAGCGATCGTTTTCATTTGAAATACAAACAGTCAAGCGAAACAAATCTACTCCACACATTTCAAAAGAAAGCGATCGCAAAAAATCGATCGTGCGACACTTTGCACTGAATGGAAGGGAAACCACAGGGCATATTTCTCCACGTTTCAAATTCTGCCAAAACTACTCCAAGTTTTACCGGTAATATCCACTGAACTTTCATCACCTCTCATGCAACTCTTGTTTTCGTTATTTCTTTATTTCAGCAAAATTAATTCAGTTCTTGGCATGACCTTCATTTACATGTATTGCTACAATCTCATTCCCCGAGCCTGCGATCCTTGGGAACTGAACGTAAGGCTCTGGAATAATCCGTTGCCGGAAGCCGGGAATCCTGGTTAAAGACCGAACTGCGCATTCCATATCAACGGCCAATCAGATTCCTCCCTGAAACGGATTATCCCAGAGCCTCACGTTCCTTCCTGAGGATGGCAGGCTAGCTCTCGGGACGAGATTGCTATTGCTAAAGTATCAATTGTACAAACAGCACTACATAATAAAACATAACAATCTGTATAAGTTCGAATGACTGAACAATGTTATCATGACTACCGCGTAGTTCGTAAAGTCTTTTTTCATTATAATAGTTAATTATAACTATAAGATGGGTTATGTGTAAGGCTATAACGCCTTTTATATATTTTTCGAGAGTAAAAAAGTGGCTAAAAATTGTAGTGGTGTACCCTTCAGTTTTACCAATGTTTACCTACTTTTCCAAAAACCGAAAAAAATGGCTACAAACGGACGAAAAGTTGGGGGGGGGGGGGTGGTTAGCCTTTTTTAGCCACTTTTGTCGCTCCAAATTCCGCCGTACTTAATTCATTCTGCCGTACCTAATTCGTTAAATTAGGTTCGGCACATGAAAAGTGTATGAAACAGACTTTAATTAAAAATAGTTACTGTATAAATTCATAAAGAATATAGTTATTGTATAGATAAAAGTCATAAGTTCTTTTCTACACACGGATAGGGAAGCAAGATCTCTTAATACAGTATGATCCACCATTTTTCACTTTCTTTGTCGGGCATAGATTTGACTTCTTAGGCCCTTTGCTTCCCTTTTGCTTATGTACAGATGTTGTTGCCCCCGTCACCCCAGGCCGCAGTGCCGTGGTGCCCCCAGAGAGATTGCAGAAGTGTAACAGGGTACAATTGTTCATACATCTTGTCCACGTGTCTAGACAATCAAGGCATGATTTGTTAGCACTCACCATGCCACTCACGCACCGGTCAAAGACACCACGACAATCGGAACAGCAATCTCTCATTGGTCCATGTATTGTGTTTACTCCGTCGGCGTCAATTCTTAGTGACGCAATGCCGCAGTGAGGGAATGGAAACTAAAAAGTAAAATAACAATATGCAAATTAGGTAAATGCTTGAATTAAGCCATCCTCGTCCCCAGGGCCTCTCGGCCGCGCGCGTCCTCCCTAAGCCCTGGGACATACGGAACCGGAAGTGCAAGAAAACTTGCAGTGGTTTCTAAAGCGCATGCTCTTGAATTGGGACACTTTAGCACCCGTAACAATTTTCAAAGTGAAGTATTACGAGGAAACGAAGTATTTGCGTTGACATATGTTGATAGAATAATTTTTCCTAGCGAAAACTGCTCAACTTCTGCGAAATAGCAGTTCACTGAGAAGCCAATCAGATCTCTGCCTTTAGTCGTCTAACCCAGAGCCTAATTTTCAACGAGTGACCGAGTGAAAATGGCTCTGGGGACGAGAATGGAATTAAGCATGATGCATGAAAGGCATTGGTGCCAAAAAATGAAAGTTTCAACAGCTATTTAAAGGACTTAAAATTGAGCAGATTTTCTGATATTTGGACCATTAATAAAACACATAACAAACTTCTCGCCCATGAACTAAAAAAATCCTTTTAAGCTTTTAAATTTCGCGCGCACGCTATTTTTTAATGCCGCTAAAAAAGACACCCCCTCTGCTCTGGAAAATTTATCTTTACGAAAATATTTTGTTTATTCGACATTATAAGTACCCAAACAATCTATATTTTCTGATACACATGCAGTGGCGTATTATATGGCTGGCTCTAGAGAAAACAGTTGTGAATGACAGAGCAGTACATGTCCAGGCTACAAAGGTTAGGTTAACTGATGTTTACTTATACAAATTATGCATTAATATCCAACTTACAGTACACGAAGAAGTGGAACGAACTGAACGAGACCCTTTTCTGGAATCAGTTACACCAACTTTTCCCTTAGATGCTGTACTTTGTTTCAAAATAGCAGTGATTTCCTTGATTTGTTTTGACCTTTTCTTGTCTATTGGACAAAATGGAAACTTGTCTCCCTTACGCTCGAGCCCGCTATCTCCTTTTAGTGCGGTTCGTCCAGTTTCATCTTTTGCGGAAGTTGACAAAAACAAGATGCAACAGCAAAGAGACAATAGGGTACAAGTTATCTTCATTGTAAAATCTCAGCTAAAAATGAAGATAAACTATATAAGTTTCATGCATACAACTCTATTTAGATTTGATAGCTCCGTTGTAGTCCTATTATTAAACTGGTCTCGCTGCGATAAGTGATCTTATTGATATACTGATGATGGGGAACATATATTTCTCTTTCTTTGCTTCGTCGCTTAGCAGCACATAAGATGATGTGTGCTGTACAGAAAAATCCAAGCCAAAATGCTAAATAAAAATATTTTGAAAGAACGTTCTTTTACATGTGAAGTTATATATAGAAACAGAATGCACACAATTACTATATATTAGAAAATACATCCTCTATATTCAAATTTTGACTTCCGTTACCGCTACCGTTACGGTTACCATTAACCAATCTGCATTCTACAGATGCATTTAATCCATCCGATTATCCAATCCAATGCGTATTAAGCCAACGAGAGATAGAAGTCGAATCTGACTGACTTCTCAATTATAACACTTAATTTCTGCTCCCAAGAAAACTATAAAACTTTCGACTCCATTTTGTCCTCAAGTTTGTGTTCGTAGGGGCTGGTCGAAGCGGCCAACATGTTTTCACTTGTCGCAGTGATATACATTGTATTTATCTCAAGCCACGTGACCACAAATATAATAAGCCAATCACGATCAGTACTAGCTATGTAACAAACTTAGCATAGACTGCCTGGAAAAAATGGGAGTCTCGGATTCCTAGCATTTAAGCAGAGGGCCGTATTACAATGTACTTGTACACGTATAATGACCTTATATTGATCTTTTTAGTTAACCCCAAACTATGGGATTTTAATCGGGCTCTTTGGAGTTTGGATTCAAAAATTCAAACCGAACTTAACAGCTGTCAATAAGATATTAATTAGCTGATATTTTTAGGATATCAGGGCCCCTATAGATACCAGCCATTGAGCTGAATGGGTTACCCCTGTTTAAATAAAGTTTTTCATTTTTCCATTCAGAAATGTAGATAAATCAGTATGCATGCATGGTAGGATATCAGGGCCCCTATGCGTGGATACCAGCCATTGAGCTGAATGGGTTGCCCCTGTGAATAAAGTTTTTCATTTTTCCATTCAGAAATGTAGATAAATCAGTATGCATGCCCACTGATTTAACATTTAGGACTGGATGTTCATTCGCTGTGCATAAATGAGCCAATGGCGGCCCGATTGGCGTGTCTACCATACCACTATTTAGACCTAACCCTAACTCCCACACTAACCCTAATACTAACGCAAACTCTTATTTCAATTTTGGAACCATCTGATTCTCGTAAACTACCTCTCATCCATCCCTTTTAGACATTATCCTTTAGTTGACCCGTGAATAATGTCAAACATATTTAAAGTTCATTAGAAGAGATATGGGAAGCTATATCTTTCAAGTTACATAGGAAAATACATTTTCTTGGTAAGGTAGCTAATTTAAACACGTCGCGATCCGATCGATGTGCAGAGATTTTGACAGATTTAAAACTTCATCTCATTATAAATATTCTGGCTTCAAAACTGGCTGACTGAATTCAAAAGGCCTCAAAAGGATACTCTATCCAGTCATAATTTGAGATCAGTGATACTAATAACACTTACCAAGATCCAGCAACACAAGCTTATAAACTGTAGATACGATCAGTTATGAAGTTCCAGATTTCCATAGGCTATATATATAGTGTTTACAGTCTACACCCGAGCTATTTCTCAAAATGAAGTCATCCGTTTGCAATGCGGAACGTCTTACACAGCAGTTTCTTTTCGTGAAAGAATGGCATACAGTGAATGTGTCCTGTGACGCGAAAACCGCAATATAGGAAGTCGATTTCATTTGAAAACTTCCCATAAAAACACTAGAAATCTCAAAATCTCTTGCAAAATCCCCAAATCCTAAAATCCTAATTTCTTTCTAAAAATTTTAAAATTTTGCAAAAATTCTAAAATCAACTCTCATTCTAGTTTGATTGGGACTTTACCCTTTGTTCAGAGTAATACACTCCTCGCCTAGCCTTAATAACCTTTTTAAAATACCTTTGTAATACACCCCTTGCTAAGTAGTATGTTAGCCACAATGGAGAGTCAGTTTTTTAGTGAGTTGGTCAGTTTGGTAAATGATCACTCAGTCAGCCAGTTCGACACTACTGTTGTTTACCAGATACACAAACAAACAGTCCCGTAACTAGGGATTTGAGATTTTCCGAGTCGAGCGCCGAGAGCACGAGAATCCTCTAGGGGAGTCTGGGGCACATTTCTCACCCAGAATATTTTGTGATTCCCTAACGTTTAGAAACATAGCATTCTAAGAGCAGTTTAATAGTTTATGACTATAGATTTGAGTAGTCTTTCTCATAAGTATTCGCCAATCCTACGTACTACAGGAATTCTGGTCCAAACTGCTCAGGTGCATATTAATAAAGAGTGTTTGTGTTAATGTTTGGCACACCCAGCAACCAACATTTCTGTTATTTGGGTACTTGGAGTAAAATTACGAAATATTGACGTTTCAATCTTGTTTCAGCGCTGCTGGAACTAGAGCCCTTCATCAGAAATGGAATAAAATCCAATCAAGATCTGCCTTCTTTCTTTCTCTCTTTCTTTCTTTGTACTTTAAGTTATTCCTGTTTTAAATTTTATTCACGAAACATTAGAACTTCCAGTTTAAATAGTTAGTTGGTTATAGTTGAAGGGTTTTCTGTATGGAAATTTCGATAAATTTGCTAGTTTCCTCCTGTTGTTAAGTTAGTAATTCACTTTAGTTTAATTGCGTAATTTGACAGTTTCGAATTCTACGTATGCATGTTCCTTAATTCATCGAGAAAAGGGGTAGCAACTGAAACCTTGCGGGAGTCCAAATGTGCTGAAGCTCAGACTGTACAGTAATTGTTAAGAGGATATATCTAGGGACATGCGACAACTGATTCAGCAAATAAAGATTCTTTCTGAGTGGTTGTCTGGGAGAAAATTACAAAGAAATTATAGTGTACCAAGGGTTGGGTCCATTATCAGTGAAATCTTTACCGATCTATGAAAGGACCTTTCACAGTGAGATAAAGCATGATTTCCGCAAAAAGCGTAGGTGCTTTGGGGAAAACATATTTGTAATAATATATCTATAGCACTCGAGATTTTTCAACTTCTTAGTTCTGGTATATTTCAAGACCACATTGCATGCTACTGCCCACGCGTACGTAACTATTGAAATTTGAGCTGTAAGCTATATAAGAGCGAGCTGTACATTCATCGTTAGTTGAATCACCGTTGTATCTTGAAAGAAAACTTAGAAAGAAACAGTAAACTGCAGTTCGTGCTTGCGAGACGTCAACTAATTTTTTTAGAAGAATTTTTTTTGAATAGCGTGTGGCCCCGAACGTGCAGCTTCAAAGAATATAAGGACTACTGACATCTAGAGTCTTCTATTTCCGTTGTAAGTATTTGAATAACTCCACAGGAAGCTTTTGAAAATAATTTCGACAACAAGATTTGAACTTATAGTCAATAACAACAAGATTTGATTTTGCACGCACTGTAAAGAGTTCGACAAAGGTTTTGTGGAGGGGAAACACTATCAGACTTAATCTAAGGTCTTCTACGTAAATTTCTTGTTGGAAACCTTGATTAAATTAATCGATAATTCATCTAGCTCTTTTCAAAATTTTTATTTGTTTTGACGACAAAGTTATTTAACGTCATTTTTTATGATTCAAGTCATTTAACCCAACTTTTGTAAAAAGACCTTCCAGAAAGATTAGTGTAATGGATGTGTTTTGTATATATAGCCAGATAATTTTACAATCAGGATTGTCAGTGATTTTACACAGTCGCAGTGTCCGGTCCAAATATATATGTCAACAAAAGAAACTTTGTATTTTAGTTATTTTATTACATTCTTCAGTGAACATGGAAGCAATCGAAAGCTGTTCATGTAGACATGTCAAGTGTTTATTCAACTTTTAACAAAGAATTGAATTGAAGGGACATAGAAAAAATATAAAGCATTTCTTTGTAAAAGAGAATCGAAACATTCTTGTCATCTATTACCATTCACGATCAACATTGGTACGTCCGATCTTTGTTTTCTTATTCCATCGAAATCATGAAAATTTATAGGACGCAAGTTATTGTTGTGGCCCTTACGGCCTTAGTATAAATGATAGAAATCTGGCCGTAGACAAATAAAATTATTGACTGGATAACGGTATTTTCACATATATAATGCGCGTCCACCTTATACAAAAACATTGAGAGCAATAGTTGTTTTTGACATTTATGCGCGGTCACTAATTCAACATCAAAAACATCAAATGAACAAAGCCCGACTATTTAAAGAATAATCAGATGAGGTTTACATCAGTAGACATATACTCAGATCTTTCATAACTCATCTGCTCTCATCCACTCGTTCACATACATCATGCAGAAGAAGAAAATCGCCCTACACAGGATGTATATAAAAAAACCTGAACAGATTTGAAATCGCTCTCAATTTTGAAAAAGGCTGAGTTTTTAGAGAAAAATTAATAGTTAAAGGGCTTAAACTAAAGCAAATTGTCTAAAATTTTGCCGGCCACGGTGGGAATCGAACCTACGACCTTTGGAATACTAGCCTAGTATTCCAAAGGTCGTAGGTTCGATTCCCACCGTGGCCGGGCATATTTTTCAAGCTCGCCCGGTGTGGATATACACTCAGAGTAACATCACAAACATTATATTCACCTGAGTACACAACACCGGCACAGAAAAAAAATAAAGCCTTCTTTCTTTTTTAGACAACCTGGCCATACAATTGCCTACACGCAAGCATCCTAGAAGATAGAGGCAAATTCACCATTTTCCCACTTATTTTCTCATGCTGTAATTCCTGTAGTTTTCCTGCCTTTTCAACATGCATTCGCCAATATGGCACCAGTCCTGATTGGCGATGCCCTAGCCAAGGAATGCAATGCATTGTCAAATGCGTGCGCACTCACAAGCCAACTACGACGCCAACTACGACACCCACAAGACGTAGAGTGATACGAATAAGGTTTAGGAGAACAGCCAGAGTAAGCAGAGTAAATGTTAGGAGAATAGTCAGAGTAGGTGGAACGAAGCCAACTTCTAAAAATCCAAAATGCGAACGGAAAGTGAAGAGAGGTGGCAAATACTGCATCGAACGTTTGTGTATTCCCATTAAACTTACTTAATTCTTTAGATAGTCTATCAAGAAATGACGGTCCGGAAACTATAAACAACAACAACAACAACAACAACAACAACAACAACAACAACAACAACAACAACAACAACAACAACAACAACAACAACAACAACAACAACAACAACAACAACAACAACAACAACAACAACAACAACAACAACAACAACAGCAACAACAATTTATTTCCCCTTGATTAACACGAGTAATTACAATTTTAAGAAAATATAAATTAAAGTAATATCAAAGATGCGGTACGGTCCGATCTGCGCATGTGCACCAAGGAGCCCTCTTTTTATTATAAAAACAGTTTATTTAGGTTTTTATTTCATTTTATGTTCTCCCAAAGCTTGATTGTTGTGTATTGATAATTTATTATACTAAACAAAGCCTTTTGTTTACATACGGACTGTACCGCATCTTTAAATAAGGGATACTGCATGGCCCCTAGAAATAATCTTTTTGGATTAAAATTGGCTAGAGCTCACGGTGATTGAGCTCATTGTATTTTCGTATAATCAAGTAATCGCCAATAGCTAGGGATAGCTGACATGAAACGTGCAACCATGATGATGAAGTTGAGACAAAGGATTTGTGCATGGTGAGGAACAGTTCAACATCAAACAAAGGTCACTTCTATTTTGTGGCTTTGAAGTTTGCCAAGCTTCCAGACCATCATATCTTGACAGACTATGTTCATATACAACTTACTTGTATGTTTGAATGATCAAATAAATGTATTGTTACTTGCGCTATATTATTTACACTATATATATCACTTACTTTATATTTAACAATACAGAAATTACTGACAATTGACCCAGTAATGTTGCGCGAGGGGAAATGAAGTAAGTTCATTAGGTGAAGGATATTATAGGCTATATTCTTTATTTAATTCGACAACACAAACAAAACATGCTGCATGTTACCATTACATCTAGACGCCAGCAATGAACAATTTTTGCTAAGTCAGAAACATTTCAATATCTTTAACAAGAGGGAATTGGCTTTTAACTCACTGCACAAAGTTGACTGTTTTTTTACTTGTAACATCATACGAAATATCTGAAAATAGCTAGACCGGTTCGAAAATTGTTATACATATTTGCGTTATATTCTATTCTATGTATTACCAGGCAAATAAGCAATTTTTCAGCACAATCCATGCAAGTGAAATTATATCCGTTTGAAATGTGCAAAAATGCCAAAACGAGGCTAGTCAGGCTTACTTGCCACATCTAGCATGAACCTCGGAATTTTTAAAAGTTGAAAGGGAAAATGATATCAACACTGTTTGGGTATTTCCATGAAATGTTTAGCGGATGTTGTGATGAATATTTGTGCTGAAGGACTGGAGACACCCTGTTTAGGTTCTTGACCCCCCCCCCGGACAAACACTGAACCTTAATTTTTACAAAGTCCCGGAATTAACTTGAACTGTATAACTATAGCCAACAACTGGCATCCAAAGATCTAATCTAAGTCCCTTTAACAATCTAGACATCGGTTTCCTCAAATACACTTCGTATGACTCCGTTTATAGACTGTCTCATTCCCCTACTTCTCCAACCGTAAAGAAACGGATGAATAGCATTATTCGTGAAGACCAGTAAATAGGCCCAAGGTACGAAGAAATTCATATACAACCAATCTCGACCAATCAGAATCGCGTATACGACACATCCGCCAATAGGAGCGTAGAGCAGAGTCATGGCGCCAACTATGAAAACCATATTCATTAAGATCGCTTTTTCCCGCTTAAATCGCCCGACTTGTCTGCGTTCGTCGGTGATGCTTTCCACCGACACTATACGTTCGCCGCCACAACGTCGAGACATCTCCCGAAATATGTTTCGGTAACAGAGGATTGTCCCAACCAAGCACAATGCAACGACCGAAGCGGCTACGGAAAAATAAACTCGATGATGTTTACCAATAAACATAGCTAGCAAAAAAGCAAGCCACGTCATCGAAATAACTAGTAAAGCCAGTTTAAAAAACCGTTTGTTGGCGTTCTTTCGATGCAAAAGCGGGTAAAAGACGGAGCAATAACGTTCCAACGAAATTAGAAAGCTTGTAATAAGAAACGAAACCGCGCCAAGGAAATTTATCAAGAGGACTGTGCCCAAATAGACTTCGCATGAAAATCTGTTCGCTAGTTCCAGTATTTTCCAAATGAAGAATAACGGTTGAACGGTCAATGCTAAAAGTATATCCATAGCTGATAATATCATCAGCAGGTAGTTGGATGGTGTCTGCAGTACTGATGTACGGCGGTATGCAGCGATAGCAAGTATATTTGCCACAACAGCTATCAACATCAAAGCGAGGTCCAATGCACATACTGTGATGTCGGAGACAAGATGGCCGAATGTCCTATGTTCGATATCCACATAAATGTTGAAACACAAATGAGAATGATTATATTCTTCCACGTTTTTGTACGTGGCCATTTTTATATGACGTTGACTATACAAGGTTATTTAAAGCTTTCGGCGTTTTTGGTATAGATGTTCACACGCTGTCGTTTGTGCCTTGAATAATTCTTAATGATACTTGAATGTTAGATCGATGGCAGTGTTTGTAATACTACTTCTCTCTTTAATTATATCTTTTTATTCAGGAATTAAACATGGAAATAATTCACAATTTCAAGACAAGCCCCAAGACATTAAACAATCCTTGGTAATCGATCTTTTTACAAAGTGAAAGATCTAGCGTTGACAGTTATACTTTGGTATTTCTTCTCTTTAATCTTCTCCACTGATTTAAGGATAACGTCAACACTTCAAAATCAAGTGCAAGAAATTAATGAATGGAATCGTATCCTAGAAGACCAGTTCTTCCCAAAAATGTTTGCTTCAAAGCAACAATTAGTTTTCGCGATATTTTGTCCTCAGCACACTTAAGCAAGTACTTAAAATGGAGTGCCCTCTCTTTGAAGACTCTTTGAACAACACATTAATGATTGAAATCGTATCCAAAGATCAATTGCTTTTACAAACAGTTTTTTTTTACAAACAATATTTTCCTCGTACCAACAATGATTGCGGTAACACTAAAACGTACTGCAAGACCCTTACTTTAATTTCAAGTCCAGTACTATAAATGAGTGATCGCACCCAAAATCGTTCTCAAATAAGTTCCCAAACAGTTTGCGTTGTGTCAACAGTCAGTATATCGTGGTATCTTCGCCCAATCTTCGTTCCCAACTCTCGTTAATTACAAAGACAGTCGGCTTTCACGTATCTTGATACGTTGTTTATATCTTTTTTAGAAATCTTACTACTTTAGAAGCGGTCAAAAACTACTTCGTCGGTTGAAAAATTAACCAAATTTAAGATAAAATTAGCCTCGACACAAATTGAACCAATATCTTTCAACCGAAGCAGCTGTCTGAATGCACTTTAGTAGTACATTTTTTCCTTTAATTATATTTTTTACCGTCTGAACTCCTTTATTTAAAGAAAATATCTTTTACAAACAATAATCGGCCGTATAATATTTGACCAGGCTTCCCATTACTTTAAATACACAGTTGACTAACACTCGGTTATCGGCCACAAACTGACTTAAAACTTTAATAAGCGGTTCATCAAACTCTCCGAATACGTCGGCTAAAGTTTCCCAATTATTTGTCAACATGCTAACGAATCTCTCTATTCTCATGGCTTATCTTATTGGCTAATGATGAGCGGTCAAGCTGTTTATACAAAATAATAAAGGCTTATGAGTTAGGTTCTAATTTTGTAGTTTTTAATTAACAAGTTTTACGCGGGCGGTATTCTGTTCAATGAAAAATTGCATGAAAATTATAGAAGTTATTTCTTTCTTCTTCTGACATTTGGAATAATTTATTGTCAATAACAAATTGGTAAAAATATCTAGAGGTTTTAAATTAATGTTTTCCATGAATGAATGGGAGAAATGTATCAATTTTTTGTTTTAAAAAAGATAACAATTTTAAAAATAAAGGTGCTTCAAGCAACCTATACATGCATGCATATATAAAACAGATATTGCTTTTAAAAGATTAAATTCCTCTTCCAGGTATATATATCAAACATATTCATGATGAATATATCATGTGGATTGCACAGACAATATAACAGTAAATTGTGACCTATTATATAGAAATCAACTAACTTATAAAGAAAATCAACATTATATAGCTAATCACGAAAATTTAAGAAATATATATTTAACAGTATAAAAGCAATTGACTGAATCATTTTCAACACAGTGTGCTTTCAACTACGCTAACATAACAATAGTATTAGTTGAGTTTAAAAACAATAAACTTATTAGTAATGCTGTATCAAAGCATAGCCCGAAAATCAGCGGGAGTTACAGTATATTAATCAAGTCAGACAGCTGATGTCGGCCTAGATAATACTAAACGAATCGTTATAATTAAACTGGACAGCTTAATAGCATTTCGGTTTTGACAAACATGAAATGTTAATGGAAGGATCTGAATGTTGATATTCATCACACTAAAAATATTGAAAACATTTCGATGATTCCAGCGAGCCCTTCGTGAAAAAGTAGTATAGGAACACCTTTTCCTCAAAACGACACTAGGTGTTTTTAACTTAGTTTACGTACAGGGTCTTAATACAGCCATTAAAAGCAGAACATATATAGAAGTTTAATGAAATGTTACTATGGGGTTAGACTTGCCACAAGTCGACCATGGGGGAGGGAGGGCGCGGGGAAGTGAAGCACGCATAGAAGGGTCTGGGAAGGACTTTGGAAAGTCTACTATGGAGTCTCAGCTTGTAATTGTTCTTTGTTTCCTGTATGTATAAACGTTTGTATAAATACAATGAAGTAACTATGAAAATCCAGAAGCCTCGGTAATCTAGAATGGCCTTTGGCTTGATACGATTTTTTGCTTAACTACTTAATATTTAAAGTTTTATATTTGTAGACGGATTCATGCCAGAATATCTAGTTTGATTTTTGGGGAAAAGATGAAACTCTCGTTTTATAATTACCCTCCCACCATAACAATAAAAGATACCTTCTGTGACTAAGTTCCATAAAAAGGAATAAGTCACATTGTAGTTTAAATATAATTCAAATTGCTTTGAAACATTCGCCCTATGTAAGGGCCATGGCTATACATGGCATTCTTTTTCTAAAATTTAAATTGTTATAGGTTAATTATTTATTACTTTAAATTTATGACAAACTAAATAAAAACGAAAGGACACAATAAAAATTTAGTCAATAGTATAGATATTTTAATATTATAAAATATATTATTCCATCATTCATAACTTTTAATCAATTTAATTTAATTTTTAATAATAGTGATTTGGCATTAATCTGAACGCCTGTTGTATAAAAGAGTTCATATATAGTATGTCTGAGATTAATTATATTTGTAACCGTTTATAACTAACCGTTAATGCACATCTGGTAAAAGCCATTATAAATTAACATGTTAATACATGCATGTTTAACTTTATATCTTAGGCTAACTAGCCTAACTTTATATTCTAGTTTACATTTCAGCAGCCATGCAAACTCGTTTTTAAAATACTAAATATAATTTTTTGCTTGTTGCCAATATCTTTTCAGGTCAGTTGCCGAAATGGGCAGATATACATTTCATAAAATTAAAAATCCGTCATACGGGACTTTTGACAACAGAAATATATCACGAGTTATACAATTTCATATTTGTTGCTATGAAACTAATGTTTGTTACTTGTTTTTTGTTTCGACGATGTTTGCCGAACAATAAATGTTTTTAGAAATGTTTTTAAAGACTTTGCTGTGATGTTTGGAGGTCTTTGTGACAACTTCACCTCGCTTCCCGTGTAAACTACTATGTTTGTGCGAATGGACATGATGTCTGGTGTCGTGTTCGGGTTTTGAAGGTTCGTCCAAAAGCTCTGTGGCTTCGACAACCGATCTCTTCATTTGTTTGCCTACAAAATTAATTGTAGAAAATAAGCCTCCTCAAGAAGGGTATTTCATAAATATTCTTTACTGTAAACAAACATGGTTCACGTCCATGCTCTATGCTCTGTGCCATCCATATAAGGCTGAACGAATTTGAAAAGCTTTAATATTCGCAAGGAAATAATGCATGCAGGTAGATAAATTTTAAAATTTATTTTAAATCTTTTATTATGGTTTAGAAATCGATTTTATTCTATATATACTGACTGATAATTCAGAGATCTAAATTAATACATTATTACGTAACGTTATTATTTGAAGATTTTTAATTGGAAATAGTTTGGTAGAAGGATTTAGATACAAATATTGGCATACAGAAATATTTACTCAGAGATAAATTTTTGTTTCAATTTCTTACTTACTAGAATTTGTAAAATCAAATCTCAAACTAGAAAAACGCACGATGAATAGATGAATATATACTACTTTGGATTCTTACAAATTCCAATAATTATTCAAAATAGAAAGACTTCTTTCACAACACACACATAGCACAAAATAAATATAATTTTCAAGAAAAAGAGAGCCTGCATAATCTTTTTAATCTCCCCACTTTGTAGATTGTAGCACGATTCGAAATAAAGTTCAGATAAAATGACTAATGTTGAAGACGAATTTTGTAACGGCCACAAATTTTGCTCTATTTTGCAAAAGACATGAAGTTGAGACTTATTGAAACAGGGGACCTCCTGCATAATTTCCGGTTAACGCCTGGAGCCGGCTATTTCTAACTGTTGTAATTTATATAGATTATAAAAACCACTTACCCAAAGGAGCATTACAAGATGAAGGCACAAGGTATATCCGCCCCTTCGCAGGTTGACATCCACCACATGATCCTCCACAAACCGCGGACACTTTGGTACGATCAGGGGATCTTGTGAAGTTTATCATCCGGCTGCCCTTAGGCGCACCCCAGGATCCCCATCTGATGTCATCACGTAATTCGAGCCCAGTCCCAGAGAGATCCATCTGGAAACCGCCACGGCGACATTCGCCCAATGAGAAGCAGTCTCCGCCCCTGCCAAACTTCACGGGGTTTCCTTCAGAAATGGCGAATCTGAAGTCATTTTGCTTTATCAAACCGTTCTTGGGGTTCACACGAACCTTGCTGAATCTGCAAAGAAATAGAATTCGTTACTTCCTGAATTCAAAAGATTACATACTAAATAGCTCTGCCCTTATTATACCACACATCTCTATCAGTTCTAAGCTATTCTTCATAGAGGTCCAGTACGAGAATTCCCTGATATGTTCACTGTCAATACCAGTGCCGGATTAACCATATGGCAGAAGTGGCATAGAGCACCGCGCTTTTGGGGGCAAAGTGAACGATGGTTATGTGATTAACTTTCTGAATTAGGTTGAATGGTTATGCTGATGATATTCAAAGGCATAACCATCCAAGTTGAATGGTTATGCCGAAGACAGTCAACGGCATAACTATCCAAGTTGAATGGTTATGCCGAAGACAGTCAACGGCATAACCATCCACGTTGAATGGTTATGCCGAAGACAGTCAGCGGCATAACCATCCAAGTTGAATGGTTATGCCGAAGACAGTCAGCGGCATAACCATCCACGTTGAATGGTTATGCCGAAGACAGTTAGCGGCATAACCATCCACGTTGAATGGTTATGCCGAAGACAGTCAACGGTATAACCATCCAAGTTGAATGGTTATGCCGAAGACAGTCAACGGTATAACCATCCAAGTTGAATGGTTATGCCGAAGATAGTCAACGGTATAACCATCCATTGTTACTATTAGGGAAACCGTTTTCCAGAGTGTTTTCGCGAGTGTGCATCAAAAGAACCATTGACGGTACAAATTAGTTATCCAAATATAAATAAGCACGTACTTGGTGGTTCCCCAATATCTCGCAGTCAAAGTAGGACTTGGGTCAGTGGGTCCATCACAATTATGGAAATTTTTCAGTCTTTCCTTGTGGAACGAAGCGTAGTTATTATCAGATCCAGAAGGTAAAGTGAGGTATTCCAGAGGGCGTTCTGTGTCCATGCCGTGACAATATAGTTTGACTGGAGCACAATGCGGTGAAAACATGATGGGGAATTCACCATCCTCGGCGCCACGGACACGACGTTTTATCTCACGACAGCTTCCTGTTGGAAACAAAATTGGGTTGGATTAAATATTCATTTCCACAAAATTATGCTATCAGTTCTAGACGGTTCTTGTGTAGACACACAGCAAGAATCATCCCTTATGGTCCAGTATTTCTACAGGACGATTCTTAAACTTGCCATATTTGCGCACTTTTTCAGAAATCAAAAATGTGGCTAAAAATAGAAGACTACATAGTGCATGGATGCTTGTAAATCTTCTATCACACTTTGTCTTTTTATTTCTTTTCCTTCATATTCAAGTATAAAATGCAATGGACAGTTTGGCTACAAAGAAATCTTTTGAAATCTCATTCCTGGGTTGTTTATCGCCAAAATTAATCGGCCATCATTAACGTTTTACCTGCTACAATGTTGACAATCTTGGAAAAATCTTTATCTTCATTCTTCACAGGTTCTGTGGCTTTCTGCGAGGATGCTTTGTCTGCCGGAGCAGCTGGCTTATCAGCAGTCGTTTTCGTGTCTTTTGTGTCTTTGGGTTTACCTGAAAACAAAAGAAAGTAATTTATATTTATGAACTACACTCAACAAAGTTGACGGGCATTATCACAGTACTTACTTGGAGCGGATTTTGTTAGTAAAGCATTTTGTAAATCAGACGTTTCAGGACGGATTTCTTGCGTGAAAGATTTCTGTGCAGTTTCACTCAGAGATGGTTCGTCAAATTCAGTCTTCTCCTTCGGTCCTTTGGAAAAAAAAGTTCATTAAACTCCAGAATAGTTATGCGTCGTTGCTTTTACTAAATATTTCCGAAGAAAGCAAAAAACAACCACGACAACAATAACGACAATGACAACGACTACCACCACCACCACCACCAACAACAACAACTTACCTTCACACAAAGTATCAATGAGTCTTCGCGCCATTGCCGGATCACTCAAAGATGGAAGATGCAGAACATCAGAGTTTGAAGAAGCAAATGTAACAAGATCGTTCCTTGAGACTCCAGACCCCACGCCAACAACATAAACACGCACTCCATCTTTCTGAAGACCTTCTGATGATCTTTTTACACTGGCAGTATCTGCTCCTGGACGATCTGCGCCATGTTGAAGAACAACGAGTGTCGATGGCTTATCTGAACGCCTGCCTGAATCAGGTCCGAATACCTACGTGAAAAAACATAAGCGTTTAAATATTGAACCTGTAAATAAACTTTTATTTACTAACTTCGTAAATAAAAAGTAAATTAAAGCAAACTTATTTATGTCCGAATTTCATTCCATAACAGTCCAGTAAAGTCATTCTTTATTATTCTTTAATATTAAATTGAAAGTTCAACGCACTATATACCTGATATTTGGACATATCCAACAAGCTGCCAATATTCCGCTCTCCAACAGCTCTTCTCAACCCAGCTACGCTCTCGAGCAACGCTTGCTTATCCTTATTACGAACATTCAACTTCAGATCAACAGTCGGCATTGCACCATAGGCCACAATACCAGTATGTACACCATCGGGAGCTATTTGCAGACCATCGATGACCTGACTTACGAAATCTTTCTGTCGTTGCCATTGGAAACTGCTGACGTCATCAGAGGAGTCTAATGCAAACGCGACGTCCAAAGGCTTGGAACACACTACAAGAGAATACAGATTGATAATTGTTCTAAACTCTTGCTCTAAACTGTTCTCTCAAGAGGTTAACTGGAGAAGCCGATCTATCTTAACTGAGAATAATCTTTATTCTTTCAGAAGTATTTATTTAAATATCATAAATACTTACTTGAGGGTTTAGCTGGGGTCTCTTGTTTCTGTTCACCAGTCAAAGTCACAGGTTTAGCTGGAAAGTAAATACCAAGTTATCAATAGATAGATTTTACAAAAAGGTGGTGGTCTACCTGACGTGTCTCATACGTACCTTGACATGCGCTGGTAGCAACGAGATAGACGTCATTGAGTAGATCATTGAACGACACCAGAGGGAAGGCACGCGAGTTACTGCTTGCAACTTTCGCTAGAACATCACGAGTACTGCGATCTGTTGAACCAGCGCCCACCACAACAACCTCGATGCCAGACTTCTTCAAAGCCTGCGCGGCCTTATCCGGGTGTTCTGCCGCCTTGTTCTTCATGGAGGTCAGCAGGACCAACACCTTTTAATGAAAATGAGTTTTTTTAGTTAAATGTCGTTTTGTAAGGGGTGGAACACTATCAGATATCCTGGTATTGGGGGTTGCTATACTTAAATATATTCAGTAACATAATTTGATTCAGCCAAAATTCTATACCAAGTAGCGATGCTAATGGATGAGTTGCCGGTTCGCAGGCCCCTTTTGTTTTTCACGGCCAATTGCCCCCTGGCGATCCCATAATACATTGCATTTGCAAATAATACAATGCATTATGGGATCGCCAGGGGGCAATTGGCCGCGCAAAACAAAGGGGGCCTCCGAACCGGCAACTCATCCATTATCTTTCCTTCCATCAGTTTTCGAGCAAATTACGTCAGTGTAGGGTAGTCATCCATCTAAGTAATAATGCCCTACCTTAGACTTACGCCTGTATTCTAAAAGCTCACTCACACTCAAAGAGTGGAGGTTCAATCTGAGCTTCCCTTAAGTGTCAATGCTGTTTTTGAATAGCTGGAGGATTAGTCTCGTACCTTACAGGTACGTGTAGCATGATTCACGCATCTGTCAACCGTGCTTCTCAATCGAGTCTTCGACTGAAGGCCCATTTGCATGATACAGGTCGTATACGTTCATCGGTTTATGGCGAAATTTCAACTGTGACATCTTTGCACGCATTTAGTCAAGTATATACGCCAGGATAAGAATGATATAGGACTAGTCGTATCGTGTAGATGGACCTTTGAATATTATATATAATAAACTCCCAATTTACCTTGGCTACGTTGTCTCGCGAGCCAGTAAATAGCTTGGTACGAGCCGTGTCCAGGACTTTAGACAACTTCCCCTTGCCCTTGTTCTTGATAAGTGAGTTCACAGCGACAAACAGACTGTCCTTGTCAAACTGGTTGGTGAGCGGAATATCTTGAGAAATCTCTCCTCCGTAGGTAGCAACACCAACACGAGTTTGATCCTTCAAGACATTGAAGGCGTTCAAAACGTTCGTGATAAATGTCTTCTCCTGCATAAATTCTTTGTCAATTACATCGTCTGACGCATCTACGGCAAATACCAGATCGATCCTCTTTTGACAATCTGCAGAAATAAAGAGAAAGATACAATAAGATAAAATAGACTCACGATTCAGTGATCAGAATGTTCCATTGTATTTTCATTGGTTTGAAAATCCCACTGATCTCCATGCCATCCAGTCACTTGTTGTTATCAGACATACTCAAGGTACGTCTATCGAAATTGGAACACATTTTTCAAATGAGAAATACCTGGGCAATCCTGTACAAAGCATGCCTCCTTCTCTAATGACGGTCCAGTGCAGTTATATCCCGCGCAGTCACGTGATCTCGCACGATTCCCCTCTCCACACGTCTGAGAACATGCCCCCCAGTCACTCCACGTTCCCCACTTATCTAAAAAGCAAATATATCATAATTCACGTTTGTTTCTCTTTCAGCGTATAGTAAAGGTGCACCAAGATCAAACAAACTAAACTAAACTAAATTTATTTCTTAGACTGAACACATCGATCCAGTAAGGGCGATTTCTTTTTTCGTTCCAATGTGTACTACAGGAAGCAGGGACGCCGGAAAGTCGATAATTGGGGGGGGGGGCAGATATTCATATATTCGTGTTCACAGACTGTAAAAACAATCGCTTTCAAAGGAAATAAATGATGCAGAACATGAATATATGAATATCTGCCCCCCCCCAATTATCGACTTTCCAGCGTCCCTGACAGGAAGAATCTTAAACAAAACTAACTTTAGTTACACTGGATAGCTCTATCAGTTCTAAACTAATTGGTCTGTGCCTAAAGGTCCAGTAAGGGTCATTCCTTATTGATCCAGTGTTACTGCAGGAGGAAACCTAAAGTAAACTATCTTATTACATAGCTCTCAGCTCTGCAATCATATCACATCAAAAAGAGTTTCAAACTTACTAATCAGCGATTCAATTTCTTTATTAGACAACTTCAACTTCTTGTCTTTAGGTTTTGGTGGCGGCGGTGGGGGTGCTACTTTTGATGCAGCTTTCTTGGGGGCCGGAACGGGTAATGGTGGAGGCTTTTGATGTCCCGCTGTAAGAAAAACAAATCAACATTAGCTTGAAACACATCCCATTTTATGCAATTATTGTTTGAGGTTATCTACTCTTAGGACGAAAATTTTCTAATATTTTTGCTTTACTTATTTTGTCGGGGGTCATCCACGAGCACCCAACAAGGCAGGTACCGTCATTCCTACTAAAAGCATAATGGTTCATATTTATGTTTCACCTTTCCAAAGGATGCCTATGACCATAACTGTTGTTGATTGTAATGATTTTCGCGAGTTATCCCTCATGAAGACACTATACTGGAGTGTCGAAATAAAGGGCCATCAAATAAAATGTTTGAGGTCATAAATTGTTTGAGGATTATATTAATTTTAATTGCCTAAACTAGAGTAACGAATCATATCTGATCTTCTAAAGTGGACGGCATACAATTGTGGATAAGTTCTTTCATCATAGCATTATGGCATTTATAATAAAAATTGTTAAACACAATAATACCTTGACATATATCTTTGACCACGGCAGAAACGTACGACTGTAAGTCATTATAGTTGGGAACCTTGAACGAATCCTCCTTCCTTCGTCCCATCGACCTTAGCTGACCTTCATCGACATCTGACCCCACTCCAACAGCGATCACAGACACACCATTCTGAATCAGTGGTCTTACAGCCGAGCCCAAACTCTCAGTGCCCTGGGTCGGGTTTCCTCCGGTGATAACCACAAATGCTTTACTATGGTCGGGTCTGAATCCTCTAGATTTGGGCGAGAAGAATTCTGCATTGGCCATTCGTAATACTTTGTCGATTCTGCGTTGTTTTCCCTGCAATTGCTGCATGTTTTGAACCAGTTGTGTGATATCATTTTTCTTGAATTTCTCAGAAAGCCGTGTTTCAAGATAAGGAACTGACGAGAACGTCAGAATACCCACATGGGTATCGGTCTCGGAGATTTGAAAAGCGTCGAGAATGCCAGCCATGAAAGATTTTATCTTCTGCCATCCATCTTTGGGGACTGCAGCTGAAGAGTCGACCGCGAGGACAAGGTCAAGATTGTGGTTGCAAGCTGAAGAGATAATATAGTTAGTTTAATGTAATAACGGTTACAATTTAGTCTTAAGCTCCCGTGGTTGTCTGAACTGTCTCAAAATAAAGACAGACACAAACTATAGCTGCTTATACAAAAATATACTACAAGATCAATTTCATATAAATTTGACTTCATAGTATATTTCGTAAACACTTTACCAAAATATGAAGATTTGATTTAACCATCTATTCTGCACGGAAGACAGTGTGGGCATATCGTTTAATATATTGTGTTGAAAATGAGAGAGTAGAAAAGGTATTTTCGAAACGTGAAAGCCATACCTCTACAGTCTTGTAGTTTACATGGCGATGCCTGAGTTGGTCGCTGATCACCACATTTTCCACTATCACATAATCGAATTCGAGTACTCTTGCCCAGTCCACAAGTCTTTGAACACGCGCTCCACGCACCCCAGTCCTTCCATAGACCTGAAGAAGTGAAAATGATCAGTACGAGATATAAAGGTTAGCTAAGGTCAAATAGCTAAGGTCAAAGATCAAATAAGGTCTGAACATTGAACATTGAAGATTGTATCGGAGATTTCAATCTCATGATATCTTGTCTCTTTAATTGAGTTAACTGAACAAGTATGCCATGATACTTTCTTCCTGGACAAGCCAGCCCCCAAGGGTGGTCAACGGGGGAAGTATTCGAAAAAACATGAAAATTTTAAATTGTTTCTTCAACCATGTCTAAATCTACCTAGAGCTTTCTGACAATATATTGTATTCACGACACAAGAAATAAACAATGGCCTGATTTTCTTACCTGCACCTGGCGCTACATTCTCATTCTTAGTTGAAACTGGTTTATTCAAGATTGGTTTGAGTGCTGGCTTCAGATCAATGCGAGGCATCTGTACATTTTCCTGAGTAGCAACCTTTGGCATGGCCACTGGCTGTGGTTTCACAACAGTAGGTATTGCACCAGATGGGTTGGTCTCTATGACTTGAGGACTTGCCGGTGGTGAGCCTTTGGCTGTAGGTTGTTTGCTCTTGAGAAGAAGTTGTGAAATGCCGTGGATGCGTAGAGGTGGAACAGAGTTCGAGTGTTTGAGGGAAGGACCTGTGGCCAGGGATGCTATAAGAAAAAAATAAAACTGTTGTATTGAGTTCGAGCCACCTAAATTTATTCAAACCAGAAAGCGTAAGGCCTGTGCAATCAGGAAACATCTGTGCGGAAACATCTAAAAATCTTAGCTTTTCCTTATTAAACGTTCCCCAACCTCAAAAAAATCTTGCGAAAACAAAATTTCCTTCTGGGAAGAAAAAGTGTTCGCATACAAATTCAATTGTTTCACAAATTCAATAATATCTCCATATAACATTATATTTTAGTTTTCAAGCTTCAAATTGTATGTACATGCCATAGTCAGTCGTTACCGGCCAAATTACTAAGAAAAAATTTACTCTCTGGACCCTATTGGTGCAATGGTTTTTGTTTCCAGATCCCCAGTGACTAACGGTATGATTGTAGTTGGTCCGAGGCATCGCCTGAGGCGAGGAATACCAGAACCTTGGGTATATAAGCGCGAACACCATTCGCTGGAGCAAACATATCTGACTGAGCTGCCTTGAGTGCGGAGTCGATACGAGTATTATTAAAACCATCTACTATCTGCATTGAGGACAACGCCCGTAGGATATCCTCCTTGTCAAAGAAGGTGTCCAATTTTAACTCCACCCTGGGGTAGGGCTATATTATCCGCTTTTTACAAGATTTCGCAACCAACTTCGGAATATTACTATTTTTGTGATGCTCTTTCAAGCTGTGGTGAACGTTTTGTCTAGATCAAAATTTTGTTAGGGAATAGGTCCATTATGCATTTAGTTTACTCTATAATATATTTGAGTGCACATATAGAAAATCCAGTTTACTTCAATATATCTTTAAAATATTCACTACATTAATAACATTATCGAAGTGACTTAACATACATAGTCAGAGATGGCCGAGATAAAATATATTGACGAAAATTTACGAGATTCTCGCTTAGGATGGTTTCGACACGTGTACAAGCGTAAAAACGCTGAGCTCGCTGTTTAGGATTGAACAATGTTTTGCTGCCCACGTTGTTCACACTTGTCAACAATATTGAACAATATTGAATATTGTTGAGCCTGAATCGGGTGTAACAATATTGTTCAATATTGTTGACAACTGTGAACAATGTGGGCAGCAAAACATTGTTCAATCCTGTTTTCATCAATATTGCAACAACCTGATCGTTTTTAGCCGTGTATATAAGAGAGAAGAAAACCATTCTCTGAGAAAAACGGTGATCATAGCAATCCCAAGATGAAAAAGGAAGACATGTGAAGACATGAAAAAAAGAATGAGAAAAAGTGAAGAGGATGTCATTTTCCGAGAAAAAATTTACACATGTTATCTCGTCTGTCAGCTTACCCAAACATGTTGCATTGGCAACGGTTGCTATGGAGGCGATGGCGTCATCCAATGTGTTCACCAAGAGCGCACGTTCAGGGCTGGTTGTAATCCTCTGTAATTCATATTGGTTCACTCTGTTACCCACTCCAACGCTCATTAATGTAATTCCTCTCTCTTTCAGAGCTCGAGAACTATCATTGTAACCATTGAACGTGTTCAGAGGCCCTTCCTCGGTCAAAATAATGGCAACGTTTGGCACCTGGTACAAGAACAAAGTAAATACTAAAGGCCTGACAAGAGTCGACGAGAGTTGCAACTCCCGTTCGCATTTGACCATATTCAGACAACTCTCAGGCACATTTTATTCTCGTTTGACTGGGGAATAAAGTCAGCATTGTTCTCTCAAGTCAGTTTTAAATAGTTGAAACAAAAAGTGTTGGCAGCAGAATAGTAAGGGCATGTGATTTGTGATCGAGGTTCAATTCCTATAGTGTGCAATTTTCGTACTATCATTTCACCTCGGTCGCACGTGGGGCCATAATTGCAGCAGGGAGCTAAGCTAAATTGCGAACGACTCAGCTCAACCTAAGACGAAGGCTTTCTTAGGACGCTTGCCGGACACCGAAGGTTTTCTTTGGCTAATTGCTCCTGCAGTTACCCTGGACTCCAATCAGGAGTAAGGACACTCCTTACTGGAATTCTAAGGGGCAACAGTTTAAAAGCGATACAGCTATCCAGTATGAATAAAGTATGTTTAGTTTGGGTATTTCCTTCGGTAGCAACATTGAACCAATAGAAAATGGTACTTACTTGACCTCTAGGAAGAACGGTTTAGGATTGATAGAGCTTAGAAGATAGATAGAGATATAAATGCTGGAGCGTTTTGTAAATATGCAATTTTTGACCACTTACCTTAGTTCTCATGCCAGCACTAGGTACAAACAGTTTATCATTTGCCATTGCCAGAGCTTGTTCCAAGTTTGGCGTACCATGGGTGGGTGTGACTGTGTTGAGGAAATCTGAAAATTCATCTCGATCATTCTTTTCGTCAAACTGCAACTCGAGTTTCGGCTGCGTGGAATACGTGATCAACCCCACGCGTGTTGCGTCATCGTGAAGGAGGAACGCGTTCGCAACCCCGCGTGCGAACGATTTTAGTCGGTTCCAAGTTAGCAGACATTGCTTGGTCTCATGTCTTGGTCCTTTACACGACAGTCCTCCTTGACAGGTCCTAGACCTTGCATGAGTTCCACCTGGACCACATGTTCTTGAGCACTCGCCCCAGCCTGACCAGTCACCCCACACGCCTGAGGAAAGAGGAATGATTAAGGTGATTATTAGAAGATGTAGTCGAAGACATATATTGGTGAAGGTTAGTGCATGTACAAATCTGTGACTGTGGTCCGATCATTGCAGTATGGAGTTTTCCTTAGTCACACATGACAATAAGGCTTCCAGACGGCTACCTAAACCTTAGATTTTCTCCTGTTGTAAGTGACAGATGGCGCTTATTTGACTTCTAAAGGGCACAGTTTAGAACTTAGAGAGCTGTCCCGCCTTTCCTTACTCGATCTCAAGGTAGAGCGGTTTAAAACTGACTGAGTTATCGCCAACCCAAAATAAATTTAGTTTAGTTTATGTTTCCTCATGAAGAAACATTGGACTAAAAAGACATTCCTTACTGGAATTCTCAAGAGGGTAGTTCAGCACTGATCCAGTATACTTATCCACAATTAAATGTAAGTTTTCTCCTTTTGTAATATGGGATGATCTTTACTTGTTGTATTGGGAGAACAGTTTAGAACTGGTATAATTTACTTATAGTTTAGTTTATAACTTAAGACTGGACTAACCTGGGCATTCTTTCTCCACACAATTTTGGAAGACAGCAGAAGTTCCCGTGCAAGGTTCTCCGCCATTTTCTGGTTTAGGATTGTTGCACTCTCGCTTTCTTGACTGTTGACCATTACCACAAGACGAGGAACACTGGGACCAAGCTGCCCAAGCAGCCCACGCACCACGAACTGAGAGAAAACAGTTAAATGATAGGAAGTCAGATCAGATTTTCTAGGTACAACTTTTTCGATTCTCTTTTTATGCTCTTCGTTTATGATATTGCTGTTTAATGCTCGTTTTCATGATTGAGATATCGGTTTTAGAGCCCTTTATCTTGTTACTGATGACCTAATTATATAAAGGTCTCTTATATTATATAATATTACTGTTTGATTTCGTAAATGTGTCACCTGTAAAAGGATAAAGCGCTCTAAATCGAATACCTTAAATCACGAAAACGAAGCCCTATAGCCAATGCTGCATACTTTCCAGAAAGGTGTATTATTACATTTAGCTAAGTCAAACATATTTTTTGGCATTACTGGACAAGTTCAGAAAAGGACAGAAATACATTCAGAAGTTCATTTATACCTGGACAATTGTGGTAGTTGCACGCGACAGTTTCAGTTTCACGTCCTGGGCAATCTTTCCCGCCATGTTGTGGCGTGGGACTGTCACATTGCCGAGATCTTGTGATCTCACCCGTACCACAGCTAGCCGAGCATGGAGTCCACTCTCCCCAGTTGTTCCATCCTCCATCAACTGTAAATGAAGACAAATAATATATCGTGTAAATAAAGGATAGCAATGTATGGGGAACAATAATGTACAATGGAAGCAATAATGATAGAATCGTTGAAAAAGTTGTTGGATCGGTAGACGGCTTCTACGATATCGAAATACCAGTTCCCCTTTTCACAATTGGCAAAGGTTTGTTGAGTGTGGCAAAGGACGAAGTAAAATAGTAGTTCACTGGAAACAGCAAGTAATAACATGTACTTGGCAAAGTGTTTAGGTGAGGACAAATAGAACAGAAATTGGAAGGGCGAAGGTAGAAGGTAATTTGCAGACTAAATGAGAGAACTGAAGAAAGAGTACCAAAAATTGTAAAGAAGAAAAACATAGCAAGCGTGGAAAAAGGAAGGAACAAATTGAGGTTGCATCGTACCTGGACAGTCGTTTTGGAAGCATGCCTCAACGTCTTCATCACCTCCCATGTTATAACAAGGTTGTCCAGCAAATGACGGAGCAGGGTTGGTACAACTGCGTGTACGGTATCTTGAGCCAGCACCACACGAAGAAGAACATGCGCTCCACGCTGTCCAATCACTGTAGTTACCATCAACGGGTTTGACTGTGAAGAAAAGAAACACCATATAAAAAAGTGATTTAGGTAAACCAGAAAACAGTATTTTTGTGATAAAAATCACACTTGTAAAACAACACAAGTTTTCCAATTTGTTTTCAAACATTATTTCCTGAGAAACAATGCAGGGAAAATCTAATGAATAGTATCTCAAATTTGAGTATCATTACCTGTATGTAGTTGTTTAGTTTTTAGCGGGCTATCATATGTGAATGAAGCATGTTGTTTCTGTTGTTATGGTTGTCGTAGTTGTTGTTGCTATTTCTGTTTCGTTGTTGTTGCAGGTGTTTCTGTTATTAGTTCTGTTGTCAAGGTTGCTGTTCGTGTTTTTGGCGTTATTTTTATTATTATTATTGCTGTTGTTGTTGTCACATTACCTTGATCAACGGTATAAACGAAGTTCGTATTCTGTTTGCCAACACATTCCAGACTTGGTTGCTTGCACTGATTTAACGATTCATCAACACAACCAACCCAAGGCTGTGAATCAGGAGGTCTGGTAAAATCTTGTCTTATGCCTTCGTCTCTGTAGGTCTTCCAACTTTCAGGACCCGAATAACATTCTCCGTAATGTTGTACTCCAAAATGTGTGTACTGCTTGTAGCGAGCCTCCTGAGCACATCTGTTAAAAGAAAAGTAACAGAGGTTCAGATGACAGTTTAAACTATACTGCAAATTTGTCCAAGTTGGGCAATAAATGCAGCATAATTGTGAGGAAATATCTAAGACGACTATAAGAAACAAAAAGGAGAGCCGACCAGTAATTTCAAGGAGTGAAGAGATAAAAAAATATGCAGTGGTGGCATTGCTGAGATGATATGGTATACAGATGGTATAGACACTAATAAGTAGAGATGAAGGAGATAATGCCTCCGGTCGGAGATATTATGGAGCTAGATACAGGGGAAAAGAAGGGGGGAGGGGGTTGTGGTAGAAAAATGAAAAGATTTTGCTACTAATATGAAAATTCTTATGTTCCTACCTGCAAATAAGATCAGACATGAAGCTCTTCCATTTCTTCCAAGATATTTTATCTCTGTCACTAAACAGAAGTTCTGGCAAAGGTCGAGGCGAACGTTGAGTGTCAATGAAACAACCCACATCCTTGTAAGGAACATCACCTAAAAAAGAACGTTTGTTGCTTACGTTCGTAGGTGTCTGCATGGCAAACGGATCAGTATGTGCACTGATGGACTGACAGATTGGATCTGGGCTTACGGATCGAAAGCAATGCATAAAAATGGTATTTCCAATGCCTTTCACATTGATGTAAATTTATATTGCACATTCATGGTTGGGAGATTGATGACAACTAACGGTTGAGTTTATTGTTTTAGTATTTGCGTCAATGCGCAAATTCTTCTTCTTTTACTTAATCCTTAAGCTGTTTTTATAGTACATCCTTATATCTTATCAGGAGTCAAGTAGTTGGAACAAGGCATATAATGGCTGAAGCTTTTATAAAAAATACTTACAACAATCAAAGTCTTTACAAGGCTTAGTTTCATCAGACTTGCCAGAGCAAGGTTTGCCGCCAAATTCCGCAACTGGATACGAGCAACTCCTTGAACGCGTAGTAAGACCCAGCCACAAGTGCGCGACACGATGACCAACTTGTCCAGCCTGACCAACCTCCATCCACTAAAAATGGACTTAAATTTAGACAACGGTCTTAAAATAAATTAAACAACACGTAGTACGTGCTTCCAAAGAACATGATGGAAAGCATAATTTTCGCAAGAAAAATAAGCAGGTCATTCACTCATTCTAATTTACATCTGATTCCTTGTTATTGTACACATTATCACGATTCCCTACCTGCACATGGATCAGTGTTACAGGCTACAGAATCGAGTTCAGGCCCCAGGCCTGTGCAGTTCATACCACCAAACTGAGGTCTGGGTTGGAACAAGATCGCACACGCAATTGTGTCCAGATCCACACGGTTGATCACAGCCCCCAAGCGCTCCAGTCTGAATACGCACCGTCGACTGTAAGATAAAATATGACTGGTAAGGTGGAGTAAGATAGGATAGACATGTAAAACATGGAAACTATTTTAAATGAGGTGTAGCGGTCTAGCCCACGGCCTCCCTGGGCTGTAAGCGCTCAAAACGCAGACCCCTGAAGTCAATAATGTGATGTATGCATGTACTGTATGTACAGTGTACATATCTATCAATATATTCATGAATTATGACTAAACGACTAATCAAATTTTGCCCCTACATCTTAAACTCGAAGTGGTTCAAAATTGTAGTAGCGCTTCGGTTCCCAACGCAATTTTCGACGTTTCATATCACTACAATTAACTTATCTAAATGTAGAACAGTTATTGCGCAATACTCACTAGGACAATGATCCAACTTGCAATCGTGATATTCCTCAGCATCACCTTCACAGCCCCGCCCGCCATGTGCAGGTGGAGGATCAATGCAGGCACGAGTACGATGTCTTGTTGCTATACCACAATCACTCTGGCAATCTGACCAATCAGACCAAGCGCCCCAGTCACCATCGATGGGACAGTCAGGCATGCTACAAACAGTCGACTCGTGACCCTTGCCAACACAGGACGCTCCCCCGTAATTTGGATAGGGATTGTTACATCTGCGGTCACGTGTTCTCACCCCAGGTCCACAGTGAGCCGAGCACTTGCTCCAAGCATTCCATGATCCCCAGTTGCCTTGGACTAAATACAAGACAATGTATACAGGTTTTGACTGAACTCATAATTTCACGCCTTAGGTAGGAATGATACAACCAAGGCACAAGTGAAATAATATATTTTATAGCCAAGATTCAAGGTCTTAAGCATAGATATCTTATATACACTAGATAGTGCATCTAATTATTCTGCAATTCAAAAATCGAAGCCGTGATTGCAGACTCAGGATATTTCCATGAAATGAGAAGACTGTATGTTTTCTATTTCTTAAACAGAGAACTTAAACATTAAGTTAAACCTATTCCAAATACATTTTCAAACTATTCAAATGATGAAAGTTATTGTTGTTTTTTAAGCGTTTATTAGCGAGGCCGCCATCTATTCAAATGGGGGTAACCGCTGGAATATTCTTGGCTTCAATTTTACTAAAAGAGATGCCTAGATCTAGTTTATATAAGATATCTATGGTCTAAAGGTGAAGAGAAAGAGGCTCGGGCTTGCATAACGAAAATAACTGTAAGACAACTAATTGTGGACTAGATATAAGACATAACGTATAGAGCATGATTTTAGGATTCGGGTACCAGCGTCACATCAGTGCGTTAAGTGTTGAATAAACCATATACAAAGTTCCGGCAAATGCATATTTTAACGTCCAGGTCGATAAAGCTAGAACTTTAAGAAATAGCCTAGCAGATTCTATTGCGTTCTATTAGCATTCCAATGGCGTTCAAATTACGTTCCATGGCGTTATTAACGTAACTGGGCGTGAACTTATTTCAACCGATTTAGAATTTTGCCACATATAGAAGATGTTGCCAATATTATTGATGACAGATATATTCGAAATGTAGACCACAATTAATAGTCCCTGGTGTGACGATCCAGGAAATTTGTGTTGTTATACATCATACCTGGACATGGGTTGGCATTGCAATGTGTCTTTTCCACAGCGGGCCCCAGTTTCTCACACGACTCGCCTCCATAGCGAGGCAGAGGATTGATACATTTCCTGACTCTAGCTTTTGAACCTCGTCCACAAGAGCGAGAGCAAACTGACCAGTTAGACCAATCCGCATATCCACCATATATTGCTGAAATAGAGGTTTAGGTTAGATCAACTAAGAACGTTCTTTGGACTGGATATCTCTAATAGTTCTATACCGTTCTTCCTAGAGTTCCAACATAAGGAAATCTGGATAGCTCTATCAGATATGACTAAGTCTACTGAGGAAATCTGTGGTGCTTGGTTAAACTTAGAAAAACTGAATCATACTTCTCACATGTGAGGGTGGTGAAATTATAGTGTTTCAACTTTAAACAAGGGAAAATCAGCTTTAGCAGTACATGTGTGTGACACCAAACAAGAGATTGGGTGGGAAAACTCTAAAGTAATTACCAAACAATCGCTATGGTCAAAGATTATGCCTAGAAGCGTGGCATATAAATATGAGTAATCATGCTTTGAATAGGGATGACGGTGCCTATTTGCCAGAAGAATACATGCATCTCATTGACAGGTGACGTCATCCCTTGGGTATTTAAGAAGCCACGATTACAAATTTAGATCACCTCTGATGAAGACACTAGACTGGAGTGTCGAAACGTTGGGTCTTGATTACAATTCGACTGGGCTTTGTAATCATTTATTTAAACCAGAGTAGGGAGCGAAACATGATTGATATACCAAGTGAAAGACACAAGCAATAACCGCTGTGTCTCGGACATCACTTTATACATTGTTCTTATCATTAAGCTGGTCACTACTGACACAATGTACTTTAATACTTACGACATGGTTTAGCCTCACAAGGTGAGCTCTCGACCAAGTCTCCTTCACATATTTTCCCGCCGCTCACTGGAGCTGGATTGTTACAATACCGAGTTCGTAGTTGAACGCCAAAACCACAGCTAACTGAACATGGATCCCAAGCTTGCCAGTCTGACCATCTACCATCAACTAGAAATACAAGATAATATCTAAGTCTCGATTTAGCGAGGAATATAATTGATGTGAATTGCTGCCGCCTTAATTGTATCGTCTCTTAACTTTAACTTAATTTCATCAACCCTTGAACGTTGTTCAAAATTGCCGTGACCAAGTTATATTTAACAATGTGAAATAGTCTACATTTTTCTTGTGTTTTGTTTGATGTGACTCAATAGGAAACGTGTTTTTGGCATATTTCATTCCTAACCGAATTTTAGTCAACGGGATGGATATGAAGAAATTTAAGTGAAGAGAAATATCATTGTAAAAAATTCCGGTGACGAAAACTGCTAAGGTTTTTAGGAATCTAAAGGTTTATATTACTGGAATTAATAAAGTTGATGAAAACAAATCCATACCTGGGCAGTCTTTCTTATAACATTCAGCAATCTCAGTATCAGGTCCACTGCACAGATCTCCGCCATTCGAAGGATTTGGACTGTTACATCCTCGGATACGTGTTCTTCTTCCAGTACCGCATGAAGAAGAGCAGTCACTCCATATTGCCCAGCCACTCCACGCACCATTGACTAAAAAACAAGAAAATTTTTTGGTAAAGTTCGTTGAGCTCATACAAACATGTTTTTCTACGGATCCATGGAAACACGAAAAGGATATAACCAGGGGCTCTGGTTATATATCCACCTCACATAGTCTGTTTTTTTCAACAAGGACGTCCTGGGCATACATAAACCAGATTCCTGATTACATTAACCTGACTGATGGGAAATGAGATAAAATTTAACCAATAAGGTTTTATATATCTTTATGTTGTTGGCAGAGAAAAAGTTCGACTTTAGATAATTTGTGATGAAGACACAAGCCTGGAGTGATAAAAGGTTCCATCACGAATATAATTTATTAAGAAATCACTGGAATTTCTTATTGTGGTGAGATTTATCACAACACAAAATAAAGTCAAATAATTATTTAGAAGAAGTAGTAAATTACAAACACAAGTGATTCATACCCGCACAAGGTTTAAGGAAGCATTCTTGTATCTCCTCATCAGCTCCAATCTCTTCGCAATCCTTGCCGTCGTAAAGTGGCGGTGGGTTCGTACAACTTCGACGACGCGACGTAATTCCGCGATTACAACTCTTTGAACAAGAAGACCACATTGACCAGGCTGTATAGTTGCCGTTCAGAGGACCAACTGCAAGTTAAGGAATGTTGGTTAGTTCAATGACAGTAATCTGAAGACGACAATTTGTTACCCTCTCAGTACATGTAGTAGCTATTATATTGCAAGGTAGGTGTAGATTGAGTCGGACTTGAATAACTTAGTTCTTGCACTTCACTTGGTGGAATTAATATTAGATGTTAGAGTTTGTAATCCAAGTGAGAATATATACATTTTAAGACCTAACCAGGAACGACTGCGAAAAATGCAGCACAAGGTCCTCTGGTAGGAATCGAACCTACGGCCCTGCGATTCCGGAGCCCTGCGATTCCGGACCTGCTCCGGAATCGCAGGGCCGTAGGGTCGATTCCTACCAGAGGACCTTGTGCTGCATTTTTCGCAGTCGTTCCTGGTTAGGTCTTAAAATGTATATATTCTCACTTGGATTACAAACCCTAACATCCTAATGTAGATTGAGTCCCTATCTCTTGAATTGTCAAAACAAACAGGACCAAAACTAATCTAATCAAACTTTATTTATACTATATAATACTCTCAACTACATAATTCTCTCCTGAGGTACAACCCTCTAGTCTCATCATCCCTTACTCGTTCAGTGTTATTAGAGGAGGAATGTGTAGAGAAAAATCGGGGTTCTTGGTAAATATCAGGGCAAACACTCCCGGTTAGGTCTAATAAAGGTATACAATTCTTCTACAATTGGTTCTTGATAAAGTCAAATTTTAACCACTTTCGCCAATGTCCCTGAGGCGAAATTAAAATTTTAGACAGGGAATTACCACAGTCGCATAGCTTGAAAAAATAAAAACTGAGGAAGATGTCTGGTATTTTCTGGGCACTGTTAAAAGACCTCGACACTTACTGTCCTTTAGTCCATAAACATAGTTAGTTTGATCTTGTCCAACACAACTGAGCGAAGGTCGTCTGCACTGCTGCATGCCTTTCCCAAGACATCCGACCCACGGCCTGGGGCCCTGGTGCGTGTAGGCAACACGAGCTCCTTGACTTGAGTAAGAATTGCCAACGTTCACTCCGGATCGACATTCGCCAAGATTTTGAATACCAAAGTGAGAGTAACCTTTCTCATTCGTTATTTGGGCACAACTACAGAAAATAAATAATATTTAGGATTTTGGACATCTTACTTGATAAAACTAAATGCTAAAGGGTTTTTTACACTCCATCTACAAATATCCCTTCAAGATGAGCTACAGTACATTTTCGTTGCCCAGATTCGTCCACTATATAAACAAGCAAACTTCTTCAGTCAACCTACCGACATATTAAATTCAACATATAATCATCCCAGTCCTTAATACCACGTTTTATGCCAACGCCGCTGAACAGAGGACTTTGGGAGTCTGTGTCTGTTAGAAGCATCTCAGGCATTGTAGATGGCTTTCCTGTGTCGACAAAACAGCCAAGATCCACATACGGGATATCACCTAAAGTACGTCAAATAAACTCAATCAGAACCCCTCAGAAATACCAGTTTAATATACAATATTTTTAATTTTGTTTTTATGCAGCTACACTTACAACAATCACGCGTTCTGCAATACTTCTCCTGAGTGGCAGTTCCAACACACGTGGCTCCCCCGGCGGCAGGTTTGGGATCGTCACATACCCGGCTACGAACTTGTCCCCCATCACCACATGTCTTGCTACACATTGACCACTGAGCCCACTGACCCCACGAACCATCGACTATAACAGAAGGGAAAATGTCATCAATCATAAATGGTTGACCTCGAGTTTTTTTCACCATTGAAATAAAAACTATAGGCTAACTTTTTTATACAGGGTAACCCAACTATTAGTCCCAATTGAGCCGGTGCTACCACGGCAGGAAATTTAACTGTTCTTATATGCTGGATCGACAACCCAAAAACCGCGCTGTGTTTGGAAGAGCTAAACTAGAAGCATTCTTCCCACATGGAACAGAGGCAAGATTAAAATCAGAATACTGCATACAGCCGCAGAAATAAAACCCCGCTCGCAGAGATAAAGCCATGTGAATTAACTAAACACTGTAATTCAAATATATAAAAGACATAATACTCACCTTTACATGGTTTCTTGAAGCAAGGTTTCGATTCAGAGTCTGCTCCATATTCCGCGCATTCCTGGCCACCACCCGTAGATACGGGGTTTGAACAAGATCTCCAGCGAGTCTGAAATCCATTGCCACATTTAGCATCGCATTCCGTCCATTTCCCCCAGTTCGTGTAGTTGCCATTCACTAGATAAAGCAGAATAAATTAAGTGACTCTAGACATAATTTCTTGTTCACCATCACTTGCAACCATATTGAACAACCGCTAAAATGGCTCACATTTTCAGTCAAGAAATTCCAACATCTCAAACTGAAGTAGGAACAACCCAACTGGATTTGGAATTACTGAGTTCCGTGCTATCGCAATTTTTAGTTCTTCTTAAATTAGCGGTTCGGTATTTGTGGTATGGTTTGGTTGGGATTAGCTCACGCTTTAGCTGCGGTTGTAGATTGGCGGATCCAAGATATACGGAATTTAAACCATGGATTCTGTGGGTTATTTCTGAGCGGAAGGGTATGCTGTATACACATTGCAGAAATAGCTCTTAAGTTCTACAAACCTGGACAATCTCGTATACTACAGTCCTTCTGCTGTGTCAACAGTCCTATACAAGGTTTTCCTCCGCCCACAGGTTCTGGAGAATCACATTGACGTGACCTTTCCATCTTACCACGACCACATGTAGCTGAACAGTACGACCACGCTGACCACTCGCCCCAGTCTCCCGCATCTACAACAAGTACACGTGATAAGAACATGATACGCCATGATATTGCACTGACTGTTTACAAAGAAATCAGAAAAATCCTTTCTCATTTTAACTGATAGTTACGACATTATACTCACTAGGGCATGGTCCAAGGTTGCAACTCGTCGTCTCAGCCGTATCGCCAAGCTTCTGTTCTGCGCATGTCTTGCCTCCGAAGTCAGGTTTAGGCGCGGTACACTCTCTCTTACGTCTTTTTCGCCCTTCACCACACGTCTTTGAACACTCGCCCCAGGGCATCCACGCTGTGTGCTTGCCATCCACTAAAGAGGAAATAACGCAATGATTATTATCATTTCTATAACATTACAACAATCAATAATTGAATGGTTACCTGGGCATTCAACAATCATACACGCTTGTAGTTCATTGGAATCACCAAATGCAGTGCAGTCTTTTCCACCACGTGATGGCTCTGGTGAATTGCAGTCACGCTCACGTGACTGATGCCCCCATCCACATGACTTCGAACATTCGCTCCAGTCAGTCCACTGAGAGAATGCGCCATCAACTGCAACAAAACATGAATATCATTTGATGCACTGCTGGATATATAGGTTTAACGATAACAATCCAAGAATACATCCAAGAATACATACAGCCCACTCTCCATCGGGGCTTTTCAGTGACCAATTACATCAAGTATTACGCTTACTTATATTAGCCTAGACTATTTATCTTTACAAAAATTGTGATATTACTAACTATGTTTATCCTAGCCCACCCTGTCAACTTTCCCTTTCCAATGGATGGTTTAGCAACGCGCAAACTTGAACCAGAGTTGCATAAACCTGTTCAACCTTCCGGTTGTTAAGATTTCAGGTTTCCAAACCTTCCTCAAAATAATGTGAATTATGGCTTTTTCAATTTGCAATATACCTTCCTCACTGACTTCACATATGGTAAACCTTCCTTATAGGTGGTACCCGGCCCGCACCCGCATACACTCAGCCTGAACGTGTGTGTTACAACTGTATGTAAACTCTACCTGGGCAGTCAGCTACAAAGCAGTCCACAGCTTGCTCATTGGCACCATAACGAGTGCAATCCAGTCCCCCGTATGATGCACTCGGATTATTGCACGTGCGAGATCGTTTCTTTTGTCCCAGGCCACATGTAGATGAACACGCGCTCCACACTGACCATGAATTGTACTTGCCATTTACTGGAAGAGAAACAGAACAAAGTTTATATATATATACAATCACTACTAACTCTATTTATACTCGATTGCTTGAACAATTCTAATCTGTTCTCCCTAGGAGTCCAGTATTACTCTAGTGTTGAGAAATCTTCGGATAGATAAGGACGCAACTAACTGAAATATACAAGGAGAACGTCGAAGCCGTCGAAGTTCTCCTTGTATTTTTCAGGTAGTTGTATCCCTATCAATCTGAAACTTTCTTATTATTGCCACAACCTACACAGGTACAGACCTTTCAAGTTAGTCTAGTAGGGAGCTTAAGATGTAGGACGGCAAAGCGACGACGACTAAAACAAATTCACCCAAACAAATAATTGTAATGAAATCTTATCGTATATTATCAATCGTATGAATGACAGTTTGAAGAGATCAAAACAGAGGCTTTGTGTTGAGTAGAGTTCCACATTAGTATACTGAACCAATTTGCCCATCCACTAAAGCAAGATCGAAATATTTACATTTCTAATTATAATATTTAAAACGTAGAAAGAAAACATGAAACATGTTTAAGTCAAAAACACTGCTATAACATTTACTTGTGAGAACTTTGAGTTTCCTGTATCTTAAAATGGCTTATTAATGAAACATTCAATGTACCCTTATAAAAGTAACCTTACTCTGCGGTTTTTAGGTTGCGGATCGATTTGCGGTTGGTTTGAGGTTAAACTGTGGTTTGGGTTGAGGTTAAGCAGTGGTCTGGCTGCAGTTTGGTTGGGCATAGACTGTGATTTTCCGCACTTAAACAGGGTTTGGGTTAGGGTATTTCCAAGCGGTAATATGTGAAATACAACTGATATATACCTAAGTAGTAAAATTTACCGGCCAACTACTTTTCAAGCAAATAAAACAGTAACTCAACATACCAGGGCAAACATTCAAATTGCACAGTTGTGTTTCTTGTTCTTCGTTGGTACAAGATTCAAGGCCAGATTTAGGTGGGGTACATTGCCTCTTCCGTGTCTGGAAGCCACCCCCACATGACCGCGTACATTCAGACCAGCCAGTCCAGCCCCCACATGAACAATGCTCTACAAGGAACAAATACACGTTAGCGTTTTGAGAAACCATCTCCATGAATAGCAGGGTCCGAAATTTAAATTTCTTTCAGTATCCACTTGGGATACCAGAGTTCCATGTTTTAGCATCCCTTCAGAGAATCATGTATCCCACTTCTGAATACTAATTACCATAAGTTTTGGTATTCAGGACCCAAGTATAACAAAGTTTCCATGTGACTGTCTCTCGCATTTATACTAGTACTAAGCAGTGCACAAGTTGCCAGAAATTGAAGCCACCTACAGTAACTTACAATATTAATTTCCACGAGTTGTCTGTAAGACCGATTTTAAATGCTATCTATCTAAATGTTTGAAATGTTCTTCTATCCATCCAAAATAAAATTTTAGTATCCTGCATGTGAATATCGGAATACTGCAAATTTCAAACCATGGGAAGCGTTTTTATTATGCATTCCAATACTATAGACTAGTTATAATCAAACAGCTACTGATTTTAAACACAAAGATTGAAGGGCCAGTTCATGTACCCAAATTTCAAAAAGAAAAATCGTATCTCATTAGTCGCCTTAACACGATAATATCTACTTACCAGGGCATGACTCCGTCACGCAGTTTCTTTGTTCAATTTGAGGACCCAATGATGTACAATCTTGGCCGCCAAAACTTGGCGCAGGGGTATTACATGACCTTGACCTTACCATCACACCATTACCACATGATGCCGAGCAGTTTGACCAATCCGACCAATCACTGAAGTTGCCACTGACTGAAAATATAAACGAATACAACTACCTTAGATTAAGATTTCTATAGCAAAAATTTACGTGTAGATTCCGCTTTTCTAATTATCTTTTACAACAATTGTGATACTACTTTTCTTAACTGTGTTTATACTAACCCGTCCTGCCAACCTTCCCTGACAACCTTATAAGTACACAATAAAACTTACTAGGACAAGGATCAGCTGCGCATTCCTGAACATCTTCAGTGTATCCAAACTGGAAACAATCCTTCCCGCCGTGTTCAGGAGAGGGACTGGTGCAAGTTCTCTTACGTTTCTGGTACCCAGTACCACAAGTTCGAGAGCACGGCCCAAACTCTGACCACATCGAGTAACCACCATCAACTATATAAAACATCCATTTTAAGGTTGATATTCAGTTCGTAACAAAATCACCTCGCTGAGGATAGGTGAAGTGTTCCGTAATATCATAGTTAATAGAATTAAAATATCTATGTTTTTGTTTAGGTTTATGTAGAAATGTGGTCAACCAACCAAAAGCAATGTTTTAGGAAATTTATCTATCCGTGACTTTCACAATTGGGTAATTTAAAAATTGCTATTGGTGGATTTGGCGACATTTATAAACATGTATAAACGTTGATTAACATAGATAATTAGATAATCAGTTATTGTTATATTCTAATGGGTTCCAAACCATCTCTTCTATTTATAGCTATGGTAATATCGTAATTGTTGAAAGGTTTTTGAGATATGAGCTGTAGAAGAGAACATACCTGGGCAATAGTTATCTCCACACGACTTGATGCCAAACGCGGAACCGATTCTTTCACATCCTTTTCCGCCATGCATCGGAAGAGGATCGGAACAGTTTCGGAAACGACTCATAGCACCTCCGCCACAAGTCACCGTAACCGCACGTCTTTGAACAGCTTTCCCATGCTGACCACTCGCCAAGCTTCGCTGTCACTGAAAATTAGACAATTCAAATGCATTGGCACCAATATTTACAAAGTAAATGAGTAATTAAGACAGGCTTATGAAAGGTGACAAGCTAACCGACAAGCTACGGTTGGGTTGGTAAGGCTATGGTTGGGTTGTGGTAAGCTATGGTTGGGTTGTGCTAAGCTATGGTTGGGTTGTGCTAAGGCTATGGTTGGCTTACCAGGACATAAATTATGAAAGGTTCAAACTAACTGTTAGGTTACGGTTCGGCCTCGGGATGTCACACATTGATTTTGTAACTATTTTGATTATAACATAATTTGGTAATCACGCTTTTATGGCTTACCAGGACAAGGTCCTTCAAAACAAGTGTCGCTCTCAATATCATCTCCAAGTTCAGCACAAGTCTTCCCACCTGACAAAGGCTCGGGCTCCGTACACCTTCGTGTACGAGTTCGGGAACCGTCGCCACACGACGCCGAGCAAGCTGACCAAACTGACCAGTCTGTGTAATTGCCATTAACTAGTAGAAAATGGCGCGTTTTAAAAATCAAAACCTTCACATATAATTCTTTTATAGTCCACATACCTGTCAACTACAATCTATTCATCTATCATCTATAGTCTATTCATCTATCATATATAGTCTATTCATCTATCATCTATAATCTATTCATCTATCATCTATAGTCTATTCATCTATCATCTATAATCTATTCATCTACCATCTATAGTCTATTCATCTATCATCCATAGTCTATAGCCTATAGTATAATTTACAGACACAAGACATAGCTACTTACTGGGGCAATCCATAGTGAAGCACGGAATACTTTGTGCGGCAACACCAAGTTTTGTGCAATCCTTGCCAGTACCCTGCTGACGTGGGTTATCGCAGGTTCGGTAACGGGACATTGTTCCAGCTCCACAGGTCATAGAACACTGGGTCCATGCAGTCCATTGGCTGTATCCACCGTCACTTGACACTATGAAGAGAAATGATTGGTTACTCTCCGATACGTTGTTAAGCATACGTGTCAATAAAGGTAAATCTAGTCTTCAGTTACAATGCAAACCTTGGCAATCTCTGACGTTGCACTTTTGCTGTTCTTCACTAGGGCCCAGTCCTTGCACGGTACAAGATTTTCCACCAAATTTGGGCGAAGGACTCTCGCACTTCCTGCTTCTTGTCGACTTGCCCTCGCCACAGGACTTGGAGCAAGCAGACCAGGATGACCATTCTGTGAATTTGCCGTTAACTAGAGAGAGAAATGATGTGAATGTAAGAATTTTTTTGTTAATCTAGTGCTTGAAACATGCCTTGTAACAATTCGGGACTTCCAATTATCATCAACTATATTCTTGTTTGACAAGGCTTTAGATTTGAATTAAAACTTGAGCTCTCCCTAACAGTTCACTTGATGTGAACAATGCAGTGAAATAAAGTGGTTCAGGACGATGCCAATTATTCAAAACAATCTTATTGATCAAAGGGTTTGATTAAACACAACAATTCAACACAATTTTCTCCTAAAAGCCCGATCACGCAATGTGTTTGCACTTTCGTAACATATACTTGATAGTGCACATCATATAATGAAGATAGAAAACCACATACTTGGACAATGATATGCGTTACATAGTTGACTCTGGCGGTCATTTCCTTCACATTTTGTCTTGCCAACACATTTCCTAGTACGAGATTGTAAACCACCCCCACACGACACGGTACATTTATTCCAGCCTGACCAATCAGTCCATCGACCTGAACCTGGAACATAAGTGAAATAACTGCTATTAGATCGTAGTAGAGCAGCAAGACAGACGTATCGTTGGCTGTAATGTGAATTGGATAGTCACTTACCGAATCAATTAGTTACTGTAATTAATTGGCAAGCTGGCTGGTAAGTTACTTAGTTAATTAAGTAGGTAGGTAAATGGTTTGTAAGTTAGTCAACTAAGTTAATTAGTTAACTAGGTAGTTAATTCATGTTGGTTAGTTAATCAGTTAGGTAGGTAGGTAGGTAGTTAATTAGTACGTAGTTAGTTAGTTAATTGGCAAGCTGGTTGGTAAGTTACTAATTAGTTATCTAGTTAATTAAGTAGGTACGTAGATGATTTGTAAGTTAGTCAGCTAGGTAATTAGCTGGTTTGTTCGTCCGTAGGTAAGTTAGTTAGCTAGTTAGGTAGTAATTATCAGGTCAGTTAATTTGTTAATTAGTTAACTGGTTAATTTGTTAGTTAGTTAATTAGCTAGTTCATTAGTATGTTAGCTCGTTAGTTCTAAAATCAATTCCTCAAATTCATTGTACCTTTGCAATCTTTCAAGAAGCACACTTTCTGTTGGAAAGCTTCTCCGACGACTGAACAATCTTTACCATTCGCCGATGGTACGGGTTGGGTACAAGTTCGATGCCGAGAAGTGATCCCAGGACCGCAACTCCGGGAACAAGTTGACCATTCAGTCCATGGTGTGTAACCTCCGTTGACTAATAGGTAAATATTAAAATATTGACTTGAAGTCTAGTGCCAATAGCATGAACAAGCTTTCGTTGGTAGAGATGCAACTCTCCTTATATTTTTTAAGTAGTTGCATCTCTAGGAAAACAGTTTAGAACAGTTTGAATCCAAAAATAAGAAACAATTAGTGGTTACACCATGTATTTAATTAATTTAATTCTAAGCTTTCGCCCCATGTACTCGGACCGTCTTCAGAGAAAGAAAAAAAAGTTGAAGAAAACATTAAAGAAAACAGTTTGAATCCAGTATAACTAAAGTTACTACCATTGTATAACTAAAGTTAGCAACTTCCTGCAGTAACATTGTACCAATTATATGGCCCTTAGACTATCCAGCATAAATAATTAAAGTTAGCTTAGTGAGGTTTTGACAAATCTTACTTGCACATGGTTCCATGCTACATTTCCTCGTCTGAGTGACAGAACCACGTAAGCTGCAATCATAACCGTTTCCATTTGGTAGAGGACTGGTACAAGTCCTTTTCCTGAAGCTGACACCACCCCCGCATTTTTTGTCACACTCGGTCCATTCAGACCATGGGGTGAACAAATCTGCGCCTGGAAGAAAAATGTTACCCCTATAATGGAACTCACTTTAAAAGTATTCAGTTTGAAATGAACCCGTTCATACCAGCCCAATTGCCTTAGGGAGTAACCTAAGTAGGAGAGGTTATTTTTCTGTTCATATGACCGTTCGTATCCAGTGGGACGACTGAAGAGAACATGAACATGGTGCCCTCCCAATATTCCTCGCCGTGATTGAAAAAGCTGTCTCCACGATCTCCTGCGCTGCAATCTTTGCCACCATATTTGGGTGAAGGATTATCGCACACGCGCGATCGAGTCGTGACGCCACCACCACAACTTGAGCTACATTCGGGCCAAGCACTCCAGCCGCTATACCTGCCGTGAACTAGAGAAATGAAACAAAAGTTTGTTGAGCTTGTACTAACAATTAATTTGGAAGCGGTCACCTTCTATAAGCTAAAATTTGACAGCTTACATTAATTTAAGTTAACAACTCAATTGTTTGTTTCTGTGTTGGTGTTGGTATTGGCGTTGTGTACTCGGGTGAATATGATGTTTGTGATGTTACTCTGAGTGTATATCCACACCGGACGAGCTTGAAAAATATACCCGACCACGGTGGGAATCGAACCTACGACCTTTGGAATACTAGCCCAATGCTCTGCCAACTGAGCTACGCGGTCAGGTCGGTTCGAGTAAGTGATATTTCGGAACAGAATCTAGTTCCTTCGATACCAATGTAATCTAGTAATATGATTTTTTCTGTGTTGGTGTTGTGTACTCAGGTGAATATGATGTTTGTGATGTTACTCTGAGTGAGTGGATATCCACACCGGGCGAGCTTGAAAAATATGCCCGGCCACGGTGGGAATCGAACCTACGACCTTTGGAATACTAGCCCAAATTAAAATATCATAACTTGAACTTCGGTTACTGGTAATTTGCAATCCGAAGTCCACTTTGTCGACAAAAATTTAACTAGACCTGCCCGTCACTTGCAAAATCACAGCGAGTGACCGCTTAACACAGGTTCAATTATACACTCTTACCTGGGCATGGGGCATTATTACATTCACGTGACTCGAGCGCAGGTCCAATATGGCGACAGTCCAGACCACCAAAAGCGGGAGGAGGGCGTGAACACTTTCTAAATCGTTCCTGTACCCCACCGCCACACAACGCAAGACACTTGCTCCACGCTGACCATTCAGTGTAACCGCCATCCAACGCTTCTGAAAACGATAAATTATCAAAATTATAATATCGTAAATCATCTGTTAGATAAATCATCTGTTAGATAGCACTAACGCCCGATAGTGACTTTTTTGAATCTTTGTAAAAATTCCTCAAAAGTTGCGAAACGAAGGATGTCAACCCCACAATAAATATAGTGCAAATTTAACAATTGGTAACAGTGGAAAAATCAGGAGAGAGTTGTAACTTTCTGTGCAGGACATACTACAATTGTGCATACCTAACTATGTTGCTTACTTCCAAATAGAATTCCTTCGTTCTCTTAAAAACGTCCTTTATTTTCCCCCTAAACTGTTTTCATCAATAGACTGAACCACGCACCAATAGCATGAAAAATAGTTTCATGTATGATGGTGCTAAACTATGGAACTCTATTCCAAATGAAATCAGGGAAAGCCAATCCCTGTCAAGCTTTCAAAAGAAAATTGCTGCTCATATTTTCTAAGACTACTTGTTCTACTACTTGTAAATAATTATTCTACCATTCCTACTATCTAGCTAATTTGTACTTCTTGTTACTATACCTCATATTTATAACTATTTATGTAATATTTCGCTTATACTACTGTAATTTTTCTTATGATACGCCCCCTATGGAAATCAGCTTCGATTGATAGCCTGGGCATGGTTGTTATAAGACCTGGTTAGGAAACCCGGCAAACTTCAAAGAAATTACGCTATAAACAAACATGGAGGTTGAACAGTCAGTTTGACCCTGCACATATTGGTTTTAATCAATGAGAATTGACCAAACGATGTAACACAAACATTCTCCATCGAAAAATGGTGGTAATACTTCGTTATTTGCGATATAGCCCTGGTAGGCAAAACAAATATTTGGTACCCATTCCCTTCGCCAAGCTTTCTGAACTGACTATTGTCAAACAGTAGAAAGACAAAGGATTTTTCAACCGTGACCCTGCACAAGGTACACAATCACCTAAAACAAAGGGTTTCCAAACCATGTCATATATATTAACTATGGCGTGGCTAAATAAAGTTTTCTATCTATCTATCTAACTATCTATCTATCCTTCGTAAATAGAACAGGATTTTTTAACGACCGAGGAGGTTTTATAGCAATAAATTGTGTGTCCTGTATACAACGTAAACAGCCTGGAAAGATACAGAAAACGTAAAGAAATGATAGTCTTACCTGGTTCAGTATCGTTTTCCTCCTCAGAATCTTTACCTCCATATTTTCTCAAGATCTCCTCTTCTTCAGCCTCGATTTCCTCCTGTGATTTGCTCACGTTTGCAAACGGCATGGAAACAACATGTGAATTCTCTTGATAAGCATTCTGTGTTTCCTGTCCAGTTTTGAGGAAGGTCTTGGGCTGTTTCTTGTGTTTGTCATGCGTTGTTGGATGGTATTGTTTCGTGTGGTGTTTGTGTGCTTTCTTCTTGGGTTTCTTCGTAATATAATGTACGATTTTTGTTGTGACTGGTTTTGGCTCTACAGAAGAAATATACGAAAATTACAAATCTAAGAATAGGTTATTCCCTTCCATCTTGCTTAATTAAAACTGGTTGACGACGAACACTTCTTGTTCTAAAAGCGCTAATATACGTTCTGTCAGTTTGGTCGCAACGTCATCTTCCCAACCATTTATTTTGGTGTAGCAGTTGTTGTTGTTGTTGTTGTTGTTGTTGTTGTTGTTGTTGTTGTTGTTGTTGTTGTTGTTGTTGTTGTTGCTGTTGTTGCTGTTGTTGTTGTTGTTGTTGCTGTTGCTGTTGCTGTTGTGTTGTTGTTGTTGTTGTTGTTGTTGTTGTTGTTGTTGTTGTTGTTGTTGTTGTTGTTGTTGTTGTTGTTGTTGTTGTTGTTGTTGTTGTTGTTGTTGTTGTTGTTGTTGTTGTTGTTGTTGTTGTTGTTGTCGCTGTTGTCGTCGTTGTTGCTGATGTTGTTTTGTCGTTGTTGTTGTTGTTGTTGTTGTTGTTGTTGTTGCTGTTGCTGTTGCTGTTGCTGTTGCTGTTGCTGTTGTTGTTGTTGTTGTGGTTGTTGTCGTCGTCGTTGTTGCTGATGTTGTTGTTGTTGTTGTTGTTGTTGTGTTGTTGTTGTTGTCGTCGTCGTTGTTGTCGTTGTTGCTGATGTTGTTTTGATCGTTGTTGTTGTTGTTGATGTTGTTGCTATCATCATTGTTGACATTGTTGTTCTTGTTCACGTTGTCATTTTTGTCGTGGTCGTGGTTATCGCTGTTGCTGTGGTCGTCGTTGCTGTTGATATTGCTGTTGTTGTTGTGCTTCGTAACATTGTATTAAATATTTTTGTTTTTGCCGTTGTTGTTTTTTTACAGCTGTGACACGTGTTGTTTCTGTTGTTTTGTTTTTTTACTTCTTCGTTATTATAATCGTGAATTTCGGCCGTTTTGTTGTCTTTGTTTGTTTTCTAATGCTCGTCTCTCTTCAAATATTCTCACATACCAACGCAATCGCCCCATTTTCTCTCCAGATCAAAATTTGGTATGATATTATAAACATCTACGAGACGTAATATCACTTAGTTTCAGTAAGCCCGGGCGAAATGGACTGTCGTACTGAGATCTTCCAGGCCGGAACGATTTTGGAGCGGAATGAATTTTGGAATAATGCTGATAATACGCAACAACAGGGCAGATTAACAACATTGGTCATTGGCTGAATTTTTTAAATACGTGAAGTAAACTAAAACGATTTTCGAGTCGGTCTCATCCAAACATATACGATGTTTGTCCGGCTCCTACTTAAACGGCCTAAAGCCGGTTTTCCACTAGGCGGAATCTTGCGCGCGGAGCGGAATTTTTCTTTGTCTTTTCTAATTAGTTCCACCCGAGAAATCCAAGACAAGGAAAAATTCCGCTCCGCGAGCAAAATTCCGCCTAGTGGAAAACTGGCTTAAGACGAACAATGAAAGACAATAAAAGATTAGCATCTTCTGTCCTGGATAAACAAATCCCGCTATCGTTGAGTCAGTTCTTTTTCTAATTCGAAAATATAAAAATCTCCAATGAACAACTACCTTCATTTGTGCATTCAGGACAACACCTCCATCTTTTCTTCACTTGTTTACTGCAAGTGAGCTTGGGACATTGAATCACTGTGCAGCGGACATTGCCATTTTGACATGTGCATTCTGGGGAGCAAGGACCTGGTGACCACTTGCTACCATGCTCGTGAGGAATGCCATCATAATAGCATACTAAATAGAAATATGTTTATCAGATAAGATCTCACTTTAGTGTCTTGGATTTTAGTGGCACACTACCATTTCATGTACCTTTATTTTCAGAAAATGGCGTTCGATTCCTGCAGTACAGAGTTGTATGACTATAACTTCTTCTCAAATACAAGTTTTACCCCGTCAAGTTTCAAGTTATACACCAGATTTTCTCCAAATTCTCCGGTTTCCTCCTATAGTAATATTAATACTAGACCAACAAGAGTAGGTCCTTACTGGACCTTTTACGAGACACGTTTAGAACTGCTAGAGCTATCCAGCTTTAATGTAAGAGAAACAGTTAATGAAACCTGCCAAGAGTAATTATGATGTTTCTTACCTCCAGACGAATCATCAGTTTTTCCCAAGGTATATTCCTCAGTTTTGGTTTGTGGCAAGGTTTTACTTTTACCTAAATCAGAGAGTAAAACGAAAAAGATCTATCAGTATTGTTTCTCTAAATTATCACTATACAATTTGTACAATCTCAGTTAAGTTTCTCATCCATCAAGAATGCAAAAGAACTCACCTTCACAGAGAGCGCATTTACTGCGACAGTTTTGTTTCATCCATCGGTTATTACAAGATGAGACTGGATATTCAATACACTCCACATGATCTTTGCAATCTGAAAGAAGCAACACTCATTAACACCTTTCTCTCAACAAACATAATTACCAGGCATTAGATAGACGGAATTAATGAATTAATTACCTATACCTTCGCCAGCCACCAGTCCGGACGGTAAAGTGACCCGAATATCTTCCACATATCCCTTGTGAGTCGTCTCCTTTGGTTCAATCACGCTGGCTCCTCCATTCTGATCAGGTTTAGCAGAAGTTGTCTCCGAAGAACCTTTGGTATAATATAATTATTTTTATAACCGAAAGATCATGTCTCCATGATTGCATCATAAATATATACTGTAAATTAAAAAATATTAAATTGAGAGAGATCTTACATACCTCCACATATTCCACATCGTTTTGGACAGTTCAATTGCATCCAGTCTTTACTGCAATCTGTTTCGTTCATTGTAGAACATTTCTTCTCATCTTTACACCAATCACCTTCAAGGGAAAATACATGATTCGACATTAGTTTTAAAATAATAAACATCTATTAAACGTTGTTTGCAGACTTGCTACAAGCTGTTCCAACAAGACATTAACAGGTGTTCGTAACAAAGTTGCTACGAGCTTGTTGTCGTCAACTGGTTAACAACTTGTTACGTGCAGACGATATCAGACTTGTTGGAACAACTTGTTAGGAGTCTATTGGCCTCATTAACCGTGTTCCAAGATGATAACAACTTGTAACAACTGGGAACATACAATGCGACACTTGTTGTTAACAAGTCGTGAGATCTTTATGCGTGTAAGAGAAAAACCCCTCGAATCACGGAGTGAATGAACCGGAGCTCTACTAACATGACTTCTCATCCGCGCCAAATCAAAGCACGGTATTAATAATACTCTACCCTTCACCTACAGTACCAGGCTTATCTCAGGAGTAAGGAACTGCGTGCTAACTGCATCTGCAATCCGTGATTTTCTACACAGAGGTAGAGAATCACGCATTCAGGACAATTTATCACGCGAAAAAAATTTATGACCAACTTACTTTCTTTTTCTTTCGAGGAGTCCTTCAATCTCTTCTTTTTCTCGTTCGCATTGGGCAAAGTAATATTAATATCTTCTTCATCAAGTAACGGTCTCTTTCGCTGCTTGCTCTCATCATTGTCACCGCTGACTTGTTTCGACTGCGGGAGATCCTCGATTTGCATCGTATAACTATAATGCAACTTGTTGTCGGTGGTGGTGGACTGTGATCCTGGATTCGGTTTGGTTTGATCGGTTGAGGATGTAAAGTATGACGAGCTTTTTGAGTTGGAATTTTGTGACGAAGATTCAGGACTGTTGGAATAAGATTGAGTATTATCAGCATACAATGGTGTATCAGTTGACGCCGGCCTTTCTTTTGAATCTTGAGCATAGGATGCATAGTTAGATTCCTTTATGTTTGTCGATTCTCCTTGAAACGAGGCTTGAGCTGTGTTCGTCTGGCTTGAAGGTGTAGTACTTGCCTGGCTGTCAGCTTGACTTGGATTCGCCGTGGTTTGTTTGGCATTGTCAGTTGAGTATGTGGCATCTTTTGACTTAGTCTGGTCGGCTTGAGCTGTGTTCGTCTGGCTTGAAGGTGTAGTACTTGCCGGGCTGTCAGCTTGACTTGGATTCGCCGTGGTTTGTTTGGCATTGTCAGCTGAGTATGTGGCATCTTTTGACTTAGTCTGGTCGGCTTGAGCTGTGTCAGCCTGACTTGCGGGTGTAGTACTTGCCGGGTTGTCATTCTGGCTTGGATTTGCTGTAATTTGTTTAGAGCTGTCAGTTGGGTACGAAGCATATTTCGACTTACTCTGGTCGGCTTGAGCTGTGTTAGGCTGACTAGAAGGTGTAGTTGCTGAAGGGTTGTCAGTCTGGCTTGGATTTGCTGTAGTCTGTTTAGCACTGTCAGCGGAGTACGTGGCATCTTTGGACTTAGTCTGGTCGGCTTGAGCAGTGTTAGCCTGACTTGTGGGTGTAGTGGCTGCCGGGTTGGCACTTTGACTTGGACCAGCTGCAGTTTGCTTAGAACTATCAGCAGTTGCATCATTGGTTGATGGAATAGCTGGAGAATTTGCAGAGTTTGTGGTGGCTTGAGGATTTGTTCCTTTGGCAACTTGGAGTTCATCATTAGGTGAAGAATAGGATGAACTGCTAGGGTATGTTGCTTGGTTTTGAGTCGATGTTGTGGTTGCTGCTGGATTTGAAGGTTGCTTAGAGTCTTTATCTAATACTGGATTCGTAGCTGGGGTGGATTGGTCTGGTTTAGCCGTAGTCTGACTTTGCTCCGCATACGATTGGCTGGGGTTCTGGGTCGTTTCCCTGTTTGCAGTATTTTGCTGGCTAGTGCTCACTTGACTTCCGTAAGCGTTAGATTGGCTCGACTGAGTATCTGCTTGACTCTGAGTAGTGGTTTGTTGGGATGCAGTACTCGATTGGTTAGTGTTACCACTTGCTTGACTTCCGTAAACATTTGATTGGCTTACAGAAGCATTAGACTGACTGTTATCCGCACTTGATTGGCTGGGATATGTAGTGGTTTGGCTGTATGCGGCATCTGATTGGTTAATGGCAGCAGCAGTCTGACTTCCAGCAGTTGACGACTGTGTTGTGCTAGATGTCGCTTGGCTTGCAGCAGCGTTAGTTTGACTCTTGGGATTTTGTTGAGTTGTTGAAGTTTGACCTGCAGATGCAGCATTTTCTGTAAAAAAGACAAGTCAGAATTAACTTGGGTTTGTGGTTTAGTACAACAGTATAAATAAGGAATTGTCTGTACTTGACGCAAGGGAGAACTGATAGATCAATTTTACATCATCAAAAACACAGCTCAGACTTACTCAAACACAGGTTACATTTTTTTGCACAATTGACCATCACCCAAGGATCGGTTTTGCAATCTGATTTGTGGAAATTTGGGCACATTTTGTTGTCCTCACACCAAACTAGAGATTTATGAGGGAAAAAGATGTAATGAGACATTGTATGATTCCTTTAGAGAGAATATTGATGAAGCAACCCAGTATAAACATAAAAACTCACCAGGTTGGCTTTCATCAATGCCTTCAGAACCAGGGCTGCTATATTGTGCTGTACCATATTGATCATTTTGTCCAGTTACTGAACTTTCCTGTGGTGTCGTTGCAAGGTAATTCTCGTAGGAATTCGTTTGACGTTTTACTTTATGTTTATCACCTAAGAAAAGACGACAGTCAATCTTTAGTTACAGCTTGGGACGAATTTTGATGCAAGTTTGTGCTTCAAAGCCATTTCTTTTATTCGTTTAATAACCCGCTTCCACCATGAAATAATATGATTAGTGAAAGTTATACAGATCTATATTAACCAAACGGGAGGCTCAGGCATATTTCTGGATGGTTCCTAACGATTTCACTCTTCACAGAGAAAGTTCTTGATCAAAACAGCCCTTAACATTCATTTTATAGACTTCTGATTAAAAGTCTGTGGTCAAAGTTAATTTAATTGTATCTGAACTTTGAAACAAACCCAGAAATATCTATAAATTAAAGGTCTTAAAGTGCACTAAAGCGTCTAGGTTTAACATTTTCTGCAAAAAAGACAAGCCGAAATTGGCCCGTTTGTGGTTTAGTACAACACTATACTGTAGTAAATAAGGAATTGTCTGTAATTGATCCATATAGGGACCACAGTTTAGAACTGATAAAGCTGTCTAGTGTACATAACGTTTTAATCCATTCTATATTTTTAAAAACACAACTCAGACTTACTCAAACACAGGTTACATTTTCTTGCACAATTGACCATCACCCAAGGATCGGTTTTGCAATCTGATTTGTGGAAATTTGGGCACATTTTGTTGTCCTCGCACCAAGCTAGAGATTTATGAGGGAAAAAATATGAAATGGGACATTGTATATGATTCCTTTAGAGAGAATATTGATAAAGCAACCCAGTATAAATATAAAAACTCAAACTCACCTGGTTGGCTCTCGTCAATACCATCAGATCCAGGACGATCATTCTGCCCATGGTAATTCTCGTAGGAATCCTCTTGACGTTTTACTTTGTGCCTGTGTTTATGACCTAAGAAAAGATGACCAATCTTAAGTTATAGCTTGGGAAACGTTTTGATGTAAATTTGTACTTCAAAACCATGTCCCTTAGTCTTCGAATCAGGCTATTCCAATATCAAATATTTTGACTAATTACTCTTTACAGATCTACTAATTAACGAGTGTATGTATGGTTAAAGGCATGCATACATATTTCTGGATTGCCCTGACAAGTTATTTTACTCATCAGAGAAAAAGTTCTTGGTCAAAAACAGCTGCAAACATCTTTTATAGACTTTTGATTAAACGTTTGTGATCAAAGTTAATTTGATACAATTATAACTGAACTTTGATAGCGCAAACAAACCTAGAAATATTAAATGTCTTAAAGTGCACTAAAGTGTCCGATAAGATGGTCTCTTAATAAGCCTGGTTGACACTATCAAAGTTTCTGTGATCATGACAGTGGGAATTTTGCATAGGTAAATTCCAAGCTTTGAAGGATTTGTAAGAAATGTTTTGGCAAACTGACTTATGTTAAACACCGAGTTAGTTCCCTCAAACATTGATGCAAATGATCAGAAAAACTTTGATAGTGTAAACCAGGACTGTCCAGCAATCTATGAAAGATAAGCATCATACCTAGTTTCTTATGATGGTGGTGTTTTGCTGTTATAAAAGATGTCAAGCAAAGGACGAGAAGAAGACAACTAGTGTTCTTCATCGTGGTTGCTGGTTGCTATCGTCCCTGCTTTTTTCCTTCACTTTAGTTAACTTCAGTATACCTATATATGGAAAGAAAAGAGTCTTGAGTTACGAATGAAACATTATGGGACTAAGCCATAAAATCCTACACCAACAGAAAATTTCAGAAAGGGGAAACATGATTTAATCGGTCAGACTGTTATAGGTAATTATCTAATCTTTCCATTAGCCTTAACAAGCTTTCAAAAGTTAATTTTGACAATGAGTCTACAAAAATCATATTGAAGTTTCTTCAGGAGTTATCTCGTTGATGAATGAAATTTTCTAAGAGAACACTTTTTCTATATGGCAAATAAAATGCCTATAAGGCAAATAAAACTTTCCATAAAAAAATCCTTCGAATCACGTTCAATTTGCAGTAGTGTACCGGTAAAGGTGAAATTACGATTTTGAGTTACTCAGCTGATACATAATTTCACGGACGAGTAAACTAGGCCACGTTATGAGCAAATTCAAGATTTTTGTGATAAGATATAGTAGAAAGTAAGACTTTTGTCGTGTTTTGAAGAATACGCGATTGGCTCCAATTTCTAAATTTGTATTCCGTCAATACGAATTCTTTTTGGACTAAATTAGACTCATGTTCATCGCAAAAATATGTCAGAGAATAAAGTTAAATGTCTTACACTTAAACAAAATGTATTAGAACTTTAGCATATATAACGATTTGGCATTAAAGCAGCTGCAATATCTTATATCTAGTTTTGCTTTGGGAAACCGTTGATCTTTTGTTCAGAAAATTTGCATACATTTTATCATAAATAAACGAATATTGTTTGCCATCACTTTATAAAGGAAGCAAATATAGCTAACGGTAATATCTGGAATAGTTTTACATAAAGACTAAAGTTACTTTTAGTAAAATATTTGTAGTGCACATATCCTTTTTAAAGACTTCAAGGGAACAGATTTTATTTTTCTTGCATTTTACAATTTTGCCCTGACGCGGTTAAAAAGCTAAAACGCGACAAACATTTATCCTGCAGAATGCATGCCAAGCTAGAGGCGAGCAGTTCATGGCAAAATATATATGTTTATTCAACATTTACAATTTGCACTGTTTCAAACATATTAGAAAATACAGTCATAAATTTACAAGACGAATTACGGTCAACGTATTCACGCCACGGCGGTTATTTCGCGACAGTGACGCGACATACTTGTCTTTACTAAAAGGTTAAATAAAATAGAAACAACTCAAAACTTACCCTCGCAATCTTAAATCCAATTTACACGTCGGTTCATACCATAACCTGATAAATAAAATCACAAATTTCAGCAGAAATATAGAGGTTTTCCCTTACAATAAGTCAAAAAGTTAACACAGTGTTTGTGGAATAATAAATGCCATTGTCCGGGCGAGCGGGTCTTTTCACAATCACAGCGCATGCGCCGCATGGTGGCAAGTGGTGATAACAAAAGGGCTGCTGCTCATCAACCAACTCGCACAATGAACTACCTGGCGAGCCAGAAGTGAATTGAATAAGGAAAGTTTAAATATTTTCATTAAACAACAAAAATGTCGCTAATAAACGTCAGTCTGTAAAACTTTAGCCCCGACTCCCTGTAAAAGTTCTTTGATTTTCTTTGGTTTATAACGCGAGCTTTTCAAAATTAATCGGAGATATCTTTATAGTTTATTACGTGTATACCTGTTTTATTTTTGGAAGTTGCTATGTGGCATTACACCATTGATTCTTGAAACAAACCTTATTTAATTTTTTACTCTTTAATTACAGAAACGTATAGTTAACTTTTCTGATATAATACATTAAAAATATACTCCGCGAATAAGATCAACAAAAATCATCTCTTGTGCACTCGAGCTTCGAGCAATTAACAAGAAGACATGATATGCGGTAGTATTTCGATGTTATTCCAAAATTATTAGAGATGCATGTTCAGATTTGACGTCCATTACCGCTACACCATTAAGGGACTGGGTCCGACTTAGACGGCGCCGCGCGCGAACTTTTCATGCGCCGAACCCAATCAAATAGACAATTCCCATTATATGGACTAATTTTAAAACTAGGCAATTCTACCACATTTACCACATTTGGGCCGAAAATGGTAGCAATTTCCGCACGCAATACAAAAGTATACAAAATTTTGCAAACTTTTTGCAAGGCTATATTTTCCGCATTTTACAACATTTCGCAACCAAACTTTGCAAATTTACTAATTTTAATATGCTCTTTCTAGCTGTGGTGATTTATTTGCATCTCCTTGCCCAGTTTTAAAATTAGTCTATAATGGGAATTGTCTATTAAATACGGCACAAGTTCGGCAACTGATTTAGACGTCGGACTTAACAGCACGGTTCCAAAATACAAGTACACTATATATCAGAGATTTCAGTGCTAAACTGCTAATAAATCATAATCCTATGATAATGTAGGTTAAAAATCATGTATTAGGAATTCGGCGCATATATGAAAATCACGGCGTCTAAACCCATGTCGAGCCAGTGTCGCATGATCGACATGATTTGCTGTATTTTGTGCCGTGTCGAACCTAACCAAAACTTGCTGAACAGCCTGAAATTAAATTATTTAAGATGTCGCTCTTCTGTCGTAGGTTCGGCGCGTGAAACGTTCGCCGTCTGAAATGGGCCTAAGCCAGTGAGTGGTATATAAGTGGTCGTCAAATCTGAACCTTCTCTAATATCCTACGCGAGCTAGTATTTATAAGGCCTGCATGATTTACAACACCACAAAACTTTTGCCTAAAACTGTCGTATGCAACCTGCTTACAACTGTATGAAGTTATATTGTGTAAATAAAGCACACAACTCGTATACGTTGTCTGTAGTAGCAAAAAGGTTAAAATAAACAGGGAATCTAACCAGGAATAGTAGTAAGTTAATCCAAATAGGGTTACTTTTAGTCACCCAGGGAAATTTTAACCAGAGTGTATAATTGTCTATAAAATGATGACATGCTGGTATTTAAAAGAAATACAAAGTATCAATGTGTTAAAAATTTTTATCACCACGACACAAATATTCTCTGGGAAACACCAAAATTTGCATCCAAATTATTTAAGCGGACGAAAATGCATTTGACAGTAGCCTAGAAGTAGCCAAGATAAAACACAAACTTTTAATATAATATTTTAGATGCTTTAATTCTGTATGTTTGATATTGCAAAGTTTAACATTTAAAATAAGTACGTTATAAATTAAATTTAGGATCAAATTTATATAGCCTTTCGTATTAATTTATAACCAATATATATCAATGTTTGTTGCAATACAGTTACACAGTTAATTCATTTAAGTCGTTTGCTTTATTTTGTTACGGTTTTATGTAAGAGACAGCTCACAACATTATTATAACCATAGCTTTTGTTAAAAACATATACATTACAACAATTTATTTGTGGTATATTGCTGTTATTTGTAACTGATAGATTTTATTAAATCATGACATTATAATTAAATACATTTATAGTTTCAATTGTTGTATTTAGCTATAAAATTATGTCTTTCGCATTTTAAAAGTATCATATTTTACTTATCACGTGTTTACACGAGACCGAGGCGACATTCATTCCGCTAGTCGGATGAATTCGGGGCAGAATGAATGTAAACACAAAATATTTTATTTTTAAATTATTTCCAACCGGGTCTCATGTAAACATACTGTACAAATTTCGATTTTCATCCGACTTCTCAAATAAAAATGTAGTAAGTTTCATGCTTATATTTTTATTTATGTGTTTTCTTTCTATTATTGTCCTTTGTTTACCGTTTCTTGCTATCAATTACTCGTCCTCGTCCTCGTCCTCAGCCTCCATTTCGTCCTCTATTTTCTTAAAATGGTGTTTCTTCTTTCTACGATGCAATTTCGCTTTCTTTACAGCTTTCTGTCCCTTCTTCTTTCTACCATGTATCTTGCGACGCTTGTGTGCGATTACATGTTTGGCTTCGTCTTTCTTGTGCACAATTGCATGCTTGGCTTCGCCTTTCTTGTGTGCGATTCCATGTTTGGCTTCGCCTTTGGCTTCGTCTTTCTTGTGCACGATTCCATGTTTGGCTTCGCCTTTCTTGTGCACGATTCCATGTTTGGTTTCGTCTTTCTTGTGCACGATTCCATGTTTGGCTTCGTCTTTCTTGTGCACGATTCCATGTTTGGCTTCGTCTTTCTTGTGCACGATTCCATGTTTGGCTTCGGCTTTCTTGTGCACGATTCCATGTTTGGCTTCGTCTTTCTTGTGCACGATTCCATGTTTGGCTTCGTCTTTCTTGTGCACGGTTGCATGTTTGGCTTCGTCTTTCTTGTGCGAAATTGCATGTTTGGCTTCGGCTTTCTTGTGTTTCGGTTTGGTCACTCTGTGTTTTCTATTCGGCTTTGCTACTTTGTGCTTGACGAATACCTTTGATGTGTCGATCTGAGGGAAGGTGCCAGATTTAAGTTTGACTTGCACCTGTAAAAGACGGGAGAATAAAGTAAATCTCTGCAAACAATCTCTGAGTATTTTGACTCGAAGTCTTGAGTGAATTTAAGGCACCCACAGCGACTCAATATTTGAGTACGATTACTCAATTTTGGTAACATTGAACTAAAAAAACCGGTCTTCTCGCTTTCTGGATCCCTAAAGGGAAACGTTCAGAACTGAAGGCCTGTTTACACTAGCAATTTTTGCTGCGACTTCTAGTGCGATTTTCTCCTTCTGATGCACGTGAACGAGTAGAGGCGTTACGAATGTTCGGAGCACATGTACCTTCATCTGAACATTCATAACTAACCAGCCTTGATAAAACTATTCACTATCAATCCAGTATACAGTAAGTTTAGTTTAATGGTAAAGGGAAGCTCTTATTCCTGTAGGGAAAGCAATGTTAGAGCTATGCAGTATAAATTAAGTTAAGCCCAGAAGAAACGAGGATGAGATTGCACGAAAGATTGGCAGTCACGCGACTAGGAATGTTCGGTATGAGAGATTTCCGGTATCGGTATACCGAAAAAATTATACCGATATTATCGGTATACCGGTTTTCCTTTGATAATTATAAAGGAAAATTTTTTAATGGAAATTTTAAGGAAATTTTGAGTAATTCTAAAAGGGAAAACGATAATTTCGAAGCTGTTTCGAACGACATGCACGTACTCAGTGTAAAATCTCGTGAAGTGGAAATTCTAAATCATTGCAGTAGAAAGTTCTTTGAATTGCCATTCAGTAGTAAAATAAAGGTTATGGTTTCGCCATATAGTTGGTAAATTTAACACGATATACCGAAAAATTCCGGTATATCGGAAATTTCGGTATATCGGTATGGTTGAATATCCGGTATCGATATACCGATATTGATTTAATACCGATATTTTCGGCATATCGGTATACCGAACAGTCCTACACGCGACCTTGGTTAGTTGTTCTTAATGCTTTCCCAACACTATCATGTATTTTATTTAAGTTAAAACATAGTTGGAACACTCATCAAAACTTTATTTTGTTCATCTAGAGCTTGAAATGTTCCCTGTAACAATGCGTGACTGTGGCGTGACTGCCAACTCGCATCAACTCTCATCCTCAATTAGCCTTTCTCACGAAGACGAATATCCGCCATTTTTGGGTGGCATCTAATTCTCGTTAACCAATGCAGACAATTAAAACAATGTGAAAAGCAATTTTTCAAAATAAACTAACCATTTACAAAGTAAATTTGCCATCATTCGTCCAAAAAATTATAAAAAGTCGCTGTTATGTGGACTTATCTTGCAGACTTCGGCTGAAAAGCCACCCAAAAATGGCGGTTTGAGAAAGGCTAATTGACTGAAGCTTTAGTTTAATTAACATTACCTCCTTCAAGACATCAGCTTTAAACTGTTTAGTAGACGGGGAATCTTTTACGGCTTCCAACTCTTGCTTAACCAAATCTTTGTAGCTATACGCGGGCACGCCAACCGGGCTTTTCCCCTTAGACTTCACGCCAGACGCAGGCTTAGAATTAGCTGCGGGTTTGTCGTCTTCCACGTGTTGGTTTCCGTCCTTCGAGTTTGCTTTTAGCGGGGTACTTACTTCGATGGGTTTTTGCTTGTCTTTTGTATCTAAGTTCTCAGCAGCGAAGTTTTGTTGTTGACCGTTGGTGGGGTTTAGTTGTTGAGGATTTTCAGAATTTTGCTTAGATTTTTCGGACGTAGGGTTTGAATCCTTTGTGGGTTTATTTTCACCGTTGTTTGCTTGCTGAGCAGTAGAGGTCTGCCCAGGTGCCTGATTGTTAGCCTGATAGTTGGGTTGAGTATCTTGCGCAGGTGGAGCATTTGATGCGGGTTGGAGTTCCTTATCAGAATTTGGTTGTGGTGCCTGATTGTTCGCCTGATAGTTGGGTTGAGCATCTTGCGCAGGTGGAGCATTTGATGCGGGTCGGGGTTCCTTGTCAGAATTTGGTTGCTTTGGAAGGTTCTCGGGTTGCGAGTTATCCTGAGATTTATCAGGTGTAGACTCTTTTGCGGGTTTCTTATCGTCCGTCTTTTGCTGTTGCTTCTGTGCGGCTTCTGCTTGTTTCTGACTGGCTATCTGAGTAGCAAATTGTGTAGCAGCCTGAGTTGCCGCTTGTGTTGCCGCTGTAGTTGCTGCTTGTGTAGCTGCCTGAGTCGCGGCCTGAGCGGCTGCCTGGGTTGCAGCCTGCGCTTGGGTAGCGGCCTGATTAGCAGCCTGAGTGGCAGCTTGTGTGACCTGATAGGACGCCTGAGTGGCAGCCTGCGTTGCTGCTTGGGTTGCTGCTTGAGTTGCTGCCTGAGTAGCAGCCTGATAATCAACAGGTGGTGCAGGTTGGGATTGCTGTTTGGCTGAAGTATTTGGTTTCACCGACGAACCTTGTTGATTCGACGTAGCTGCAACCGCTGGACGCAAATCACCTTGAACAGCAGGCGCATTTTTGCCAGGCAGTTTCCATGGCAACTTAGAGGCACTAAGTTTCGCGGGCGCGCCTCCCTTCTTTTGGTCATCGGCTACCTTTTTCTTGCCCACTTTGGTTTGCTTCTCCTGTGGAGGTGGAGTGGGGCGGAAATGAATAAGTTTGTCTAGAGTATCATCCATCTTCTTGTCTTTAGGGGTCAAATTGAACGGATGGCCAACGAAAAGAAGTCCCGCTTTCACTTTCTTTTGTCCTGAAACAAAAAGAAAGAAACTATGGATCGAATAAATAAAACTTGACGTAGATAGCTAGTCTGACTCTGTCCAGGACCGAATGAATTCGTAATTAAATGTGCATGATGAAACCAGACGAATTTGAGCACACATTAGGATTTAGGACGTCACCCGAAAAGTGGTACACATAATTTTGACAGCATTTTGCATCATAGCGCTCGTGCAAGGAATCTTATTTTTTGTCATATGTGTTGAAGATTACCACGAACTGACACAAACACAGTTTTTTTTTCCAGTCCCCCTCGGCAACCCGACGCTGCCTCCTCCGCAGGCCCTCGTTGCGTCATGGGAAGGTCACGATCTGGCGAGGGCCTGCGGAATCTTGTAAAAAAAATGGCGCCGGCGTCACGTCAGCAAGTAAATTTCTACATAATCTTGAATATAAACAGATATGAAAAAGCGGTGTGAAACTTGTAAATTAAACTGGCGACTCTTAGGACGTGGAAGGAAGCATTTTTTAACGATAAGGTTTGTTGTCCACACCAACGTTGCAAGAATAAAACTGCCTTCTTTAACGAAGCAGGTTCAAAACAACATTTATTCATTTTACAAGATTCCGCAGGCCCTCTCGAAATCGTGACCTTCCCATGACGCAACGAGGGCCTGCGGAGGAGGCAGACCTGACATCCGTGTTGACAAAAAGGTCGCTTGTTTAAGCTCTCAAAAGTGTAAATAAACATTGAAATGGCAATCTGCATATCAAGTTAAGTTGGTCTATTCCCACATATACAAATTGGACCGAGCGAATCTGTCCGGCCTCGTGGGATGGAATATGGTCACATACCATAACAAGAATCGCACTTCCTTAGACAGTTCACATGCATCCATCTATCATAAGCACAAGCATCAGTAGGGTATGCTTTGCAGTGATTATGATCCACGCACCATTCTATAAGAATATGTAAGCACACAGATCAGTCATCGCATAGAAAATGATACGATGACTACGGGCATTAGCATAAAGTCCGGTTCAAACGAGGCTAACATCGTTCAACAATGTCGGATAATGTTGGACAATGTTTGATGAAAATTTTAACATAATCCAATCCAATATTAGCCAAACATTACCCAACATAGTGTTCAAACGATGCCGACAATGTTGCATCCAACAATGCTGGGTGATGTTGGATCAACATGTTGGTCCCGTTTAAATGGACATTAACACGTAGCATAACTGAGATTATTATATGCACAAGGTCTGGATATGAGGTATTCTGCAATCTGATTGGTTCTCTACTAGCAGGATATTAGCTAATATCCTGCTAGTAGAGAAAAACAAAATGGCGGCCAAACTGAATTTACGATGTTTTGCAAACGAGAAAACGGCAAGTTGTCGCTTTTTATAGCCTTTACAGGATTAAAAACACAATGAAAAACTCCCACAAATTGTTTAAAATGGTTAAAAATATATATTTTTGAAAAAATAATCGGCCGAAAGAGCGAAGATAAAAACATAAACAAAATAGAAAAATATTGAAAATATTCGAAAAGCAAAGTCTGTGAATTCAGACCTTGTGTATATAATAAAACAGTTATTCCACTCACTCTCGTCGAATATGAACGATAGCCGATTCGGCGCTACGCGCCTCATCGGCTATCAGCTCATATTCGACTCGAGTTCGTAGAATAACTGTTAACTAGTGTCATTCAGTCACTATCCAGTGATAAGAATATTCCATTGTCTTGCTTTGAAAGGCACCCGATGTTCTCTATGCATCCAGTGATCGGAAAATTTCATTGTCTTTTCATTGTTTTGAAAAATCCAGCAATTCTCCATGCCATCATGTCACTGATTGTTTTGAAATTAATCTAACACTTAAGTAAACGTACGTCCTATAGTGAACATTATTTAGGCGCAGTACTCAACCTGGATAGTCGGCAGCGACCGGTTTAAATCGTCCATACATCGGTTCAGGGAAAGGCTCTGAAAAAAGATGATGAAACCATAAATTAAATTAAATTATATCAAGGAACTCACTGACCATGGACTCTACAAGGAACTGACGATGGACTCTACAAGGAAAAAAACAACCGACCCCTGCTCAGTTTGGGACTAGAATCTGGGCAAAAACAAGGATATTTGTTCACAATCTATACTTACGATGTTCGCAGTAAAGGCAGAGTTTGGGGCAATTATTTCTAATCCATTCATGACTGTAGCAGTGGTAGTAACGGTATTGAAGGCAAGGCAAAAAGTCGATACATGGCTCTATAGGAAGGCAAATATACAGTTAGCATTTCTACATGACAGCACTTAATATGTAACAATGTTGAGATGAATCCCAAATGGTTTCGGTGAAGGACAAGATAATAAATGGGGAGATCAGAGAAAGATATAGAGTGGTAGACATTACAATCAGTTGAAGTTGAAGTTAAATAATCATTAAAGGTATGATTACGTCATAAGATGCAAAGGAAAGCTTGAATGAAAAGATCAGAAGGTGATGAGTGGTGGACATTGCAGAAAAGATGAACGGCGCCGACAGACATTTGGCCGACAGACACTAGACACTATATGGTGGTAGACAGAGCAGAAAAGATGAACAAAGCGAGGCAGAGATGGTATAGACGTGTAATAAGAAATGAAAGAAAAACACATTAAATAATAAGCTTTTCTATTCTATTGTTTATGATTATGAATCAAATTAACATAAAATCATTTAAATTCCAAAATTCAAAAACGTTTAAAGCACCAAATATGAGCACGTACCTTCGTTAGGAGGAAACTGCTGTGCGCTAATATTACTTGCTGAAGAAAACGCAAATAAAATCAGTGAATAAAAAAAGACTTATTATTTAGCTCATCTGTCTGAAGTGATTTCCAAATTAAGATTTATTTACATTAAATGAATACGCCACTTGCTAACAAACTAAAACAATATTGTTCTCCAACAGGGCCAAAAACTAGCAAGAAGCGGACCGCGCAATTGCGTTCAGACACCTATACTAATTAGAATGATTAATCTTATGGGAATTTCAGCATTTTATTGTCATAAATAGTATATAAAATGTCAATTAAGTACTAGAAAATCGGGGCGAAATTCGTTCAAGCATGGAAGCATGTAAATTATTTAATCACATACAGGTACCACAAGTTTATCTTTGGTTTATAAAAGGGTGCGTTCGATTTAAGTTATCCAGTTAAGATATAAGATAATCCGAGTTAAGATTAGTTAATCCAACGTGAAATTAGATAATCCGATCAGAGATGGGGACATCAAACATTCCATTAAAAACCATTATACAATTACAATTTTTATTTTCTTGTTTAATTGATTTTACAATTCTATATTTCTTGTTACATTTCGTCTTCAAATAGTTTAAAATCTAACTTCGCAGTGAAATCATTTTATAACAATTTTAGCCACTACTATTTTTAAAGTTTTACAAATCTTTTCTTAGATAATAATTACGAATATATTGAATACCATATTTTTATGTTTAGTTTAGTTTAACATTTGTTAAAACCGAACGCGATTTTCCGTTCAATATCTATAATTTAGTTTTATGCATTCGTATGTATAAACCTTTCGAATTTAGAATGCAGTTATTTCATGAGTCCGATATCAAAGTTTCTCTAAACATTCCTCATTAGGAATCAGCTAAAAAACGCATTGAAAATACCTTTCCTCATATATGTTATATATGTGCAAAGGCAGCCACTCTTAATTCTAATTTTATTTTGGAAAATTACAAAACGCATTCTTATAAATCGCAATTTTAGTTAAAGAAACGTCGAGTACTTCTGTCATTATTGTTTGTTAGTCCACAATTTTAGTCACAAGTCAGTTTTTCTACCCCCAACAGAACAATTTTAAAATCCTTACATCACGTAGTGGCAGGCTGATTATTTCCATACTGAGCTGTGCTTGCATCCGGGTTCATCTCGTAGGATGTTTGATTCTCAATCCCATTTGGTACAGTATTGTCTGTTGTGTCCTTCGAAGTACTCTGTTGTCCATAACTACTGCTATAGGCACTTGTAGCCGATGGGTTATTGGCCTCGCCGTAATATGAGTTATACTGATTCGACGCACCGGTATTCGACGCTCCGGTATTCGACTGCCCGGTAGAAGAAGCTCCGGTATTAGTCCCTCCGGTATTCGACTCTCCGGTATAAGACGTCCCAGTATTGACTCTCCGGTATAAGAAGCTCGGTATTTGACGCTCCGGTATTCGACTCTCCAGTATAGGAACCTACGGTATTAGTCCCTCCGGTATTCGACTCTCCGGTATAAGACGTCCCAGTATTCGACTCTCCGGTATAAGAAGCTCCGGTATTTGACGCTCCGGTATTCGACTCTCCAGCATAGGAACCTACGGTATTAGACCCTCCGGTATTCGACCCTACGGCATTTGACCCTGTGGTATTCGAACCAACGGCATTCGACTCTCCCGTATTAGACACTCCACTATTATATCCTCCAGTATTAGATTCTGTGGTATTATATCCTACGGTATTGTACCCTACGGCATTCGAACCTGCCGTATTTGAAACCCTGGAATCTGATCCTCGGGGATCCGAAGAGTTTCCGGCAGCTTCCGAAGAATAACCATCATTGCGCGTTGCTGTTTGATATGAATAATTTGAATATGGGTCGCCGGTTGGCTGTGCATAATAGCTTGATGGATTATATGTAGCATTATTCTCCCCTTGTTCTGATGAATTAGGTGGCGAGGATTGAATCTGTGGAACATCAGGTGACGCATACGAAGTAGAATTCCCTTGGTAAGCTCCATTATAACTGTCTCCATTATAATCGGGATTTTTACGAGCAGTATCCAACGCGCTAACCTTTGAAATGTCAACTCCAGCGTTTCTATAATAATCAGCTTGGGCGGAAATACCATTAGAAGCCCCAGAAGCATTCTGGTATACGTTGTTGGCATCGGTATAGGAGGTGTCCTTTGCTTTCAATTTCTGAAGTTCGTCCTCGGACACAGGACTGGGAACGGACTTAAGAGCGTCGGTTACTTGGTTGTTTGTGGAGTTTCGCCATTTTCGTGCGCTAGAGAGTTGTGTAGCCAAGATCAATGCGGTTTTCTCATCAGAATCTGCTTGTTTAACATGTTTCTTGCCAGTTTCTGATTTCACTAGGGAAAAAGATGAAATATTTAGTTATGGGGTCTTGTTATGTCTTTTACTAATATGAATTACAAATTACGATAAATTTCCACACGCAATTTCCAGGCGCAATACAAAAGTATACAAAATTTGCGAACTTTGCAGTTTGCAAGGCTATATTTTCCGCATTTTACAACATTTCGCAACCAAACTTTGCAATTTTACTCATTTTAGTACATGCTCTTTCCGGGAATATACTTTTTTTGCTGTGAAAGCATGGCCTATCGATCCCTTAGTCTTTACGGGTTTTAAGCTAGTAGTGTCACGCTCAAAAACTTCCAGCCTTTAGCTTCACAATTTAAGACTCACCAACACAATTCCCCCACAATCCATCACGGTCATAATTCCTTGTAATTGAGCACCACGGATCTTGCGCGTCAGTGCTTGTGCATGTGAAATAATCAACTCCACGGTAGTTGAAAGGGAAAACACAACATAAGCTTTCTGCATTACCACCCTTTGTTTCGACACCACATCTTGTTTCTGGAAACAAGAAAGAACATATATTGATTTAGCGGATGAATAATGGCTAATATTTTAGTAATACCTTGACGGGCACTTAAATTCTAAACTAAAATGCCTTTGTTTTTCATGATGTGTCACATTCCGAATATTAACATCTTATAAACTCAAGACAACAAAATTTAGGGGGTAATTGTAATTGTCAAACAATTTACAAGCGTGCCGAGGTCTTCACAGGTGATAATTATGATGTTCGATCAGAACAAATATTACTTAAGTTAGGCTGGAAAACACTGGATGAAAGGCGACAAAATCTCGTGGAAAAATGTTTGAGTAATGTTATGAATCATAATGGTCCGGAGATAATAGGTAGCCTTTTTGAAAAGTGCAACAATTCTAATTATAATTTAAGAAGTATGCCAAATTTCTAAGACTGTCAAAACCAAATACAAACTCTATGAAGAGAAGTTTTAGTTATATGGGGGCTAAGACCTGGAATCAGCATCTAAACGATAAATTGTAAATAATATAATTCTATTCTCTTACTTGTAAATATTACACGGCCCTATGAAAATCAATATCAATTGATAGGTTACCGTGTATAAATATAATTAAATACAAATACAAATAGATATAGGTTCAACAATGACTTTGAAATAAAGTGGAAATATTACCCTGAATTTTGTTGTCTTGTTTAAATAGCTCGCATCTTGAGTTTATAAGATGTCAATATTCAGAGTATGTTTCATGTTATATTTCGTGATACTGTCTGCTGGTAAAGGATTTTGGAGCAGTTGAGCATGCTCAAAACCTTTAGACAAAATTGAGGCAGTTGTAGATACCACATACCTTTATCTGAGTTAGGGAGACACTCGGGGCAGCATTTCCATCGTCGTTTAATGGGCTTATCACAGTTCAAATCAGGACACTCGAGTTTCGAGCACTTGATACGACCATTATCACAGTGACATTTTGGTACACATGGTCCTGGCGACCACGTCTCACCACTCTGGTGGACAACGCCGCTGTATTCACAATCTGTTTTTTAAAATACAAGAATAATACAATTTATGAAGAAAAATTTGTGAGAAATAAAATACCATAGCACTGTCTGAACTAGCTGAAACATAAAGGTCTACTATGTTAACCTCCGCTTCATAAAACATCAGTTTTTTTTAACTCTCTTAGGCCCAATTTTATGATGTAGAAAACGATTTTACAAGCCTTACGTTTCGGAGCAGACGTTGCTTTGCCTGGAGAGGTTGAGGATGTTTCTTCTTCTGGTGGAGTGCACAGGCCACACATCTTCTTACAGTGACGCTTCATCCAAACTTGATTACACATGTTGGGATTATAATTTTCGCAAGCAGAGTGGTCACCGCACGCATAATCTAAAATAAAAATCACAAGTCACAAGCCTTAACCCTTGGTCAACGAAGAAGATAGTTTTGGGCTATACTGTAGTTTAATATATGCAATACATAGTAGAAACTTTTTGGAACTACTAAGTATTTTAACAAATTGCAAAACAAGTGTAACTCCAAAATCAATAACATTTTTAATCAACGTTTCAACTATATTTCAGTCATGGCTACTCATTACTAACTAGGTTATACATCAAAAGCAGTATTTATATGAAGAAATATGACACATTAGGTTGTTATCAATGAATTAGTTAAATATGATTTCATGTTAAATTAATTCCGTGATTACGTTCACGTTGATATCTTTGAATAGCGAGGGATATAAACATGAACTTAAAGCTTCCAAAGAACTAATCATATTTAAATATAATTCACGAATAATCAACCTAATGTATCATATTTCTTCATGTAAATACTGCTTTTGATGTATAACCCTGTTAGTTTCTCCTGTTGATGACTGAAATGTAGTAGAAACGATTTGTATCATCTGTAAAAATTATGAATGTCATTTGTCAAATTACTACTACAGTTAAATATGCCGTTTATATAATAAATAATAATAGTGGGCCTAGAACAGAACCTTGTGGAACCTCACATTTAATTTTTCTCTTTCTGATATATTTTATTAAATTTTACGATTTGTTCTCCATGTGCTATATAACTTTGAAACCATTTATAAGCTATCCCCTTTACGCCATTATAAAATTATAATTTTTTCAGTAGAATATTAATGGAAGAATAACCGTTATAGTTTGCATGAGACTTTTCTCAATTCTCAGGTCCAGTCAAATGGGAACACAGGAGTTCAGCATGAGAGTTAATTGGATATTAGTGCCGCAGGGACGCCGGAACGATAAAAAGGCAAAGGGGGGCAAACGCACACCAAAGGCGCACCTCTATAGGTCCCGGTGAAGATATAAACCTACAATGTGTTGCCTTGCTAATGAAAGCAAACGCACGTAATCAGGCACATTCAAGATCACACCTCATGATTTTGCTGGAAATGGAAATACTTTACTGGAAATGTGATTTATCAGGTAGTATTTTACAACTCAAAGGGCACTTCTGCCCATCTTGCACCTCCTAGCAAAAGGCAGGAGGGGCAGCTGCCCCTCCTGCCCCCACAATTCCGGCGTCCCTGATTACTGGTCAAAGGAGCAAAAACTGTCATGTTGAGTTGCAACTCTCATCAACTCTCGTCAATTCTTCTTCTCGGTTGACCGGGACGTCACAAAATTTTAATAGTCCAATAATTTCTTAACATCTTAAAATAAAGTCCAATCTAAACTGATAGGGCACTCAACATTACTTTTGATACATCTCGTAGGAAAATTCACCGATATACTTCTTCAAATATTAAAGATGATTCAATTCATAGCTACAAATTTTGCGAGTGATTTTTTTTACGGGGAGGATAATCTGGAACCACTTGAATATTAGGTGCCAGTGTAAGAAGCAAAGAATGCAATATGTTAGCTCCTGTGTATGATGAAACTAACGGCTACTAACTTCCATCATACTCAGATTGAAAGCCAACATATTGTAATCTACAACCACTACCTAGCAAAGCCTCCATGTCAGGGATGAAAAAATCCCTGTCCAAAAGGTTAATACACCCTTCCGGAAAGTATTTCACTTCGGCTATAGAGGCTCGTTTTCGTGTATGTGGGACATTAGTTAAAGCCCAATCTCTCAATCACAAAAACGGGGTTCTGTAGCAAAAGTGACGTACTTTCTTGCAGCAAAAAGGATTTCAGACAATAGACACAAAACATATGTTAATCACTTCTTCTTTCAAAAATTACATTTTGTTCATATCACAGAAAATGTATATACTCCACATCTTCTTTTGTATGACAGTACAGCAATGGCAAAGTTCAGCGCACCATAAAACTGAGTCAACTTTTAAAGTCTCACATATTTCACGTTTCTATGAACTATACAGTATTTCAAAGTTGTTAAAAAAGTTAAATGTCTCAGAAATGTTCAATCCACTGTGTGGCAAGTTCTTAGAAGTTCTAACGTTCTTGGAAACTGCGTCCACATGTCGTCTCCAGTTTTACGGTGCGTGAACATGGCGTCGCTGTACGGTCCTCTCACTTTGATCTTGGTACTGACCTTGGTATTGACTAGACTGATCTTGGGTTTGGCCTTGATCTTGGTATTGACTTGGAGACTGATCTTGAGTTTGACCTTGATATTGACTTTCAGACTGACCTTGAGTTTGACCTTGTTGGTATTGACCTTGATCTTGGTACTGACTCTGACCTTGATCCTGATTTTGACCTTTACCGTTCAAAGCTTCTTGATCAACATGCCCACCTTTGACCTCGACCTTTGGTGAATTAACCGCACCAGATTCGCTCTTGGGTATAATAACTTGTATTCGCTCATCCGTAGGCTTCGACACGACCTGTTTCAAAAGTACCAATGGTTTTCGTTCTCCTTTAGTGCCCTCCGGAGGCATAATTGCTATTTCTTGCTCGATGGGAACTCCCTTGACTTTGGGCGCAATCTGAACTTGGTATTTTACAATTGCAGGCTTGTGAATAATTTTGGGCAACTCTAAATACGTCGTCGCGTGATTTCCGTTGACCGTTGTCTCTTTGCTCACTGCAGCCGATTTCTTGTTGTCATCCGGGTTACTGCTGTCCGCTATGTTCGCGGTTCCGGTGGATGAGAGGTAGACTGGGGCCGAAGCATTTGCCTGATTGGAGTCAGACACGGTTTTCGATGTAACGTTCTCTATTTTGTATTGGGTGTTATCGGGTGCGTTATAACCTTGTGGGTTGTTGGAAGATTTTGAGTCTGTTGCGGTCTGGGACGAAGTGCTTGATTGTGGATTGCTCTGGTCTGCATTGTAAGTTGGGGAGGGTTTACATATTCGTTGTTTTGCTTGTTGGCATTTGATTGGCTGGAGGTTGAATCTTGCGCGCTTTGAGTCTGAGTTGGGGATTGGGTTGAGGAGGTGGATGCGTCTTGACCTTGAGGGGTTTGGGTTGATGCTTGTGTGGAGCTTGTGGCGTCTTGAGATGATTGACTTTGAGTTGACTGTGCTGTGCTAGCAGGGGTATTGGGGTAGCTTTCCTTGGAGGATGAAGTCTGATAGGTGGATCCTTGGGTCGAAGTTTGGGGTGCCGGACTCTGAGATGCAGAGTTCTGAGTCCCTGTGGATGGTGAATCTTGTGTCTGACTCGTTGAGGCTTGGGTTTGAGTCTGCGTATTTTGAGCTTGCGCATTAGAGGTGGTCTGACTTTGTGAATCCGCATACGGGGACGCCGTCGTAGTTTTCTGAGCCGAGCTTTGGTCAGCCTGGGTTTGACTTTGAGTACTTTGAGCCTGCGAGGTAGCTGCCTGATTGTCAGCAGTTTGACTCTGGGCTGCATACGGGGACGCTGTCGTGGTTTTCTGAGCCGAGCTTTGATCAGCCTGGGTTTGAGTCTGTGTACTTTGAGACTGGGAGCTAGCTGCCTGATTGTCAGCAGTTTGACTCTGGGCTGCATACGGTGTCGCTGTCGTGGTTTTCTGAGCCGAGCTTTGATCAGCCTGGGTTTGACTTTGTGTACTTTGAGCCTGCGAGTTAGCTGCCTGGTTGTCAGCAGTTTGACTCTGGGATGCATATGGCGATGCTGTCGTTGTTTTCTGAGCCGAGCTTTGATCAGCCTGGGTTTGACTTTGTGCATTTTGAGCCTGCGATGCTTCCGCCTGACGGTCAGCAGTTTGACTCGGGGCTGCATATGGCGATGCTGATGTCGAGCTTTGATCAGCGGCTGTATTCTGGTAGTCGGCTGCCGATTCCTCTGATTTAGAGAAGGTGGTAGAGAATGAAGGAGTTTGACTAAATGTAGTGGCTTGATTGGATGTATAGGAGGGTTCTGCGGGAGTCTCGGGGTATCCATAGTGTACACCTTGTCGTCTGCTTCCTGTGTCGTCTTTGTTTACAGACGGTCGAGGAAATCCTGGAACAGAGAAAGCATGCAAATTATTTAAAACCGTATCCTTATCTTTGCCTAACATACAAATGACATGATTACACATTAGTCATCACAGACGCAGGATAACAACTAGCGTGAGTATCAGGCTCTATTTTATAAATAGAGTCTTGACACAATTCACACAAACCTTAATCTGGTCGCTATTCTCCCCCCCCCCCCCAAAAAAAAAATTATAATTAGTAACCAATGAAATTTATTGGAAAGTGTAGCTGTTAATATTCTTCTATCAACTTGAGTATATGATATCTACATGCAGTAAAATATATACTGTACATGGCTTTTCCTATACATCTCATCATTAAAATTACTCAAACAAAGATATCTAACTTTATTCAATGCTTCCTTTGACATAGACATGCCGTGCATATGGACACTGTCTCGTGGCTGTCCTCGCCATTGAGAATAGGCAATTCCAGCTTTTAGTTTATGTGTGCAGGGGGTGATGGGAAGTAAGGTATCATGTTGCGGACTATGCTGAAAAAAATAAAAATAGTGCCCGCGTAAACACGGAGTGATAGCTTATACTTGTAAATATTGAAATATTTTGGTTATTTCGGCAGTTCTTATTGAAATTTTTGAGCATAATCAGCAACATGATACCTTACTTCCCATCACCCCCTGCGCGCAGAAGTTAAATGCTGGAGTTGCCTATTACCTTCTCGTTATACGTATTTGTTATATAGTCTTATGTTGATTCATGTCACTTTTAACGTTTTATGTTAACGGAAGGCGAGGAGCATGCGTACTTGAGTCACGTTCTTGGGCCTTTGCCGATTGGTTATCTGGCAATATGCATTTGTACATATTTATTAAACTTTTGACCAATAAAATAGTTAAATGCAATACATAATTCACTTGTTTTACCTTGCGATAAGGACAGAACCGCGAAGATCACCAAACAAATCTTCATTTTCTTCTGACTATTTTCTTCAAAACAGCCCAGTGCTGCAAATGAAAAATAAATAAAATACATTACAAGAGGCCATAAAATAGTCGTGCAGACTTAAATAAAGACAATTTTATTACAAACACTACAATTCTTCTCGCGAAAACCTTTTAGGATTTTATTTAATGTCGACCATGACGAAGTCGATTCTCGTATAGATGTTTACACGATTATGAGCGATTTACTATGTACAATATAGTTTCTTAATCTTCTTGACAGTTCAAATTTTGATTCTATATAGACTAAAATTTTGGTTTGTTTAATTTAGCACAAAAATTACGCCATACATTAAAGTTTACACTTTGCCCCTATCAGATTCATGAGCCATAATTATGAATTTCTCAACCATAAAAAAATACAGATAAGATACAGATATTAAATATAAAAGATTTAAAGACCGATGCTTGCAAGTATTAAACATTTTATTTAATGTTGGCTTAATATCCGCCATTTATGCTAAACAACCTTATTACATTCCCCCTCTATACAGTTCAAAGGGGACTTCAGTGAGAACAACACCAATCTGTACAAATCCAACGGACCGAAAAAAGGCAAAATATTTTCATCATACGAAAATCACACACTACGCACTCATCTAAAACGGTCGGGTTTGTTATTTCAAAAAGGCATTGGATTCATTAACAGGTCCATTGGTCACTTCATCCTCACGCTAAAATAAACACAAGAAAATTAAATAACTATTAAATACATACAAGCGCTGGAACACTGTAGAAATCCTTGGTAAAATCTTTGCGATTATTTTCTGCCCGTTTGGGAATGTGACAGGAGTTGAACTTGCTCTTTTGTCTGGAAAGAATAGGAATCAATACGATTTCCACGTTTGAAAACGGGTAGAACAGTCTTATAACAATGAAATGAGCAACACGTACCTGCTAAGCTTAAACATCAACAATTGATGAAAGAAAATAAAACTTTACCCGAGAAGCCTACCTCGCGGGCATTTTTACAATGAAGCCGGCAAAGTAATTTTGTTAAATCTTGACCTAAAAATCGACATAGAATTCTATAACTATGTTAACACATTTTAATTTGTTAATAATATATTAAATTATATAGTCGTTCGGTCCAATTGTTTATAAATTTTGTTTATCTTTTGTGCTTAAAAACATCAGTGTTTACTATAATGAAGTGTATACTGTATATATACCCAATAAGGCATGGACACATAAATTATTTTTCCATAACTAAAAGTCGACTAAAATACTAAGAGAGCCAAGCCCCTCTAAAGGCCTTGCCGAGCTGTTCGGTAAATTTTAATTTTAGCTCTTTTTACAGAAAATTTAAATCCATCAAACAACTCGCCCAACAAAGCCTCCAGCGGGTTGGCCCTTAAAAATGTGAATATTTTGATTGCTCATTTTATACTTGGTTATACTCTTTTGGATTAATTAAATTTCTAAGCTTCTTCTGCCACGAAATTTGCTATTAAAACTTTGGCCAGCAGAGGATTCGTATTAAAAAAATAGCACGTTCCTGATTGAATAGGGCAATTTTTTATAGACCGCATGTACACGTTTTTTCTCTTTCTAATTTTACCGCCATTTTCTTGTTGGCCGCCATATTGTTTGCAAAACACTTACCAAGGTATTTCCTTTAAAATAACCTGGCGAATATTTTGATGAGTTTGAGAATGTAATCGATAAATATCTGTACATTATACAATCAATAAATAAATAGTTACGCTATACTACAACATAAGTTATTGTATTTTACTGTCAAACTTCGAGGCTCGAGCTCTGAAAATGATGCAACTATCTGAAAAATACAAAAAAGAACTTGGACATTTCAAGCGAAGGCATTTCGTCTGGAAGTTGGTAGCGAGGGGTTTTTATAGTAGTGAATACGAAAGCGACCACGTGATAAAAATAAACCAATCGGATGAATTTAGTCAAAACAAACTGTAATATAATAAAAGGAGTCGTTCTCTGACCAAAAATAATTTATTTTGACGAGCTTTCGGCCACTGACTTTGGTCTTCTACAGGTACAGGACTAATGAAAATAGCGAGCTTATATACTTAGGTTGTCTTACATAATTCCTGATCTATTATGTAACACAACCTAGGTTAGTATATATTATTTTTGGTCAGAGAACGACTCCTTTCATTATGCCTTTACCTGCAAGACCGCGCTTCATCCATATTTAAACTGTAATATGTTTTAGACATGTAAAAATGTTATTTGTTAAAACTTTGTTTTGACTAAACCCATTGGATTGGTTTATTGTTATCACGTGATCGCTTTTGTATTCACTAGTATAAAAGCACATGTATCTTCAAGATGCATTTCTCCTGAATTTATTTTATTTTATATCCAATGAATGCTCAGTGATATATTTCCCTCCATGTCTATTATGTATAAAATATCAAACTCAACAATTTAAAGCCTGTTTATCGTTTAAATTTTTGGCCTGCATTGTTCCATACTTTTGTGGCCGCCCTCAAATTAAATTATACACTCAGGGTTCAATCATTATATACATCGCGATTTAACTTAATATCTTATATTAATTTAAATATATATTTACATCGATGAGACGTATCATACAACCTTTATATATAATTATATAGTTACCCGTATCTGCACTGATCAATAGTTTTGAAAAAGTGACGATCCTTTACCTATTTTGGAAAAAAACTCCAATCAGTATTACAGCATCAAGTAAAAAGTGTGTATTTCATCGATCTAATGTGTTCTCTCCTAGTTAGATTAGGTCATATTAAACTTCATGCTCAAATATGAGGATTTGGGGCACCGGAACACTATAACTGTATACGTAGTATGACTAACACTGGAATTTATTTTCAAAATCCTTTACTATGGAAATAGTATGGAAATACTGTGGATTTGGTGGTGTAATTGCAAATTTCATAGCGTGCGGGATTTCACAATTTTTTTCCAGTACAACAGAAATTTCCATCTACAAAACTATGCTTATTTTAAGTCTACCGTGCATGGTTGAAAAATTATTGCGACAGCTTTGTTACACAGTCATTCAGATATCAATCAAATTTCAAAGTCTTTCAGAAATTATTGGGAGGGGCGATTTTTCGAATTGTTAAAGGCAGTAACTCCAGGTTTATACAGCTCCACTTTCTCCATATGAGTTGGTCTGCTTTGACCACACCTACCTATTTTTCGTAGGATGATTTTAGATATTTCGTCCCCAGTCTCTTCCCAGGCGCATCATCCTCGGCATGCCTTTGTTTTCTCTTGCGGTAATGTCTGAAATATGTCTGGATAACTGCGGCTGCGTGACGACTTCGTTTAAACTGTTCATGTTCCTTGTGAGCACGATAGCTGTTTTGGATTAGAACTGCAGCTTTTGTGATTCTTTTATACAGCGCGAACTATATAATGAACACCGTGTTTCACCATAATGAACACCGTGGAAATAATGAACACCGTGTTTCACGTGTTTTGATTATTTAGATCATGCAGGAGTAGTATATGTTAACCTAAATCTAAATTAAGTTTATTTATTTACACTGGATAGCTCTATGAGTTCTAAACTGTTCTCCCTAGAGACCAAGTATAAGTGCCGCCTATAAGTCCATTTTTAGTCCAGTGTTGCTAAATAAAGGAGGAAACCTAAACTAACTGTATTTATACTGGATAGACGTATCAATTCGAACCTACTTTCCACAGTTATCCAGTAATGGTCATCCACTTCCACTCAAGAAAAGTCTCCACGGACAGAAAATTTTCCGAAAATATCATTGTTAATTAAAAGTAGAAAATTTTCAACTTCAAAATTTGGTCGGCCAATCACATTTTTCAAATTTTTCTTTCCGCGGAAAACTTTCAAAATGTGGAAATGGACCTTTATTGAGCAAGTGTTATTACAGTACAAAACAAAACTAATACTGGATACTGTAGCTTTATCATTTTAAAACTGTTTTCCCAAAAGTTCAGTAAGGGACATCCCTTATCGATCAAGTTTTACTAAAGAGGAAAACCCGTAGTACCGGGCACAAACCTGTTTATAACGACGATAGTAGCTCTGAATAAGAACTGCTGCTTTCAACTCGTCGATGTGTTGCTTCTTTCGAATCTAAAATTTAAAAATATTCTAGATCAGTCCCTGATTTTCGCGCTTGTTCAACTGATTATATCTTTGATAATATATCACAGATATTTTTTGCTAAAAATACTAGATTTCTACATTCTGGATGAGCCATTACCTTAAACTGTCGGTAAGCATTTTGAATGATTTTTGCAGCTTGTAGAAGCTCCTGTTGTTCAATATCTAAAATGAAAAATTGGAAAAATTCCGAGAATAAAATATTACGTTTCAGTATTCAATTCAAGTAAAATCCTATAGAAATTTTCAGTTGTTGACTTTTTACCTGTTGCCTATACGATGTATATTTTGGGATTATGTGTATCCTTACCAGTTAAAGTTAACTCAGAGAAATCTCTTTCTAAGAACTGTCGTGGTTTACTCAAGAATTCCTCGAACTCCGAGGTGTCTGTTCCTGTAGACTGGGGCGAGTTTCGAATGCTCGGAGAACCAGGCGAATGCGATGACGGGGTGCGGATTGGTGACGAGTCTATGGAGAGCGTGTCATAATGTGGGGTCCTAGGTCCAAATTCTGGCTCTGATGTGATGTCCGAGGTTCCTTCGTCGGGAGGCAAGTCGGAGAAGCCGGTGAATCCAAGAGCAAACGGCGCTGAGTTACTGGGGGTATGGAGAGAAGACATCGCTCTTTCCTCAGCTTGTTGTATTAGAGCACGTATCTCGACCAGAACCTTGCCAAGAGTGTTAGGTCGTTCTAAATAGAGACGATCAACGTTAACTATCAGTGGTATAACAAGCAAGTAGAAGTTGCTTCTTGGTTGCCCAAACGGGTTGAAGTTGTTTTGCCAGAAATTAAGTGCTACATAAAATTGTTTGCTTGTTTATGTAACACGAGTCGGAAATTTTCCGGGCTGTCAATTTATTTCGGACTGCAGGAATTATAAGCTAAGTGTGATTAAAAATGGTACTTTAAGCATTTGTTATGCATTTTGTTTTTGATTCTTTATATTAAGTCTTCAAATTATTTGGTTAAGATTAGAATGTTGATTAATCAATCCTTGCTGCAATCATTCGCTTCAAATTGTGTTAATATGTGAGGGCAAAACTAGACCTGATGGCAAGTGAGTTTTATTCCGGGCAACCAATTTTCACGTTTAACTAGCCCAAATCGCAAGTGGTTAAAACCGTTAAGTTACACCACTGACTATATTGGTAGTATTTCGAATTTAGACAGGGTAAATATGCCCTGGGTTCAGAGGTTTTCAGGTGAGTTTTATAGGCATGGTGGGTGCAAGCTTGGCCAGCTGCGCCTGAGTGCAGGCTACAGCCTCAGCGAAACAGGAAACACCTCGATCCTCCAGGTTAGGGTAAGTAATGCTGATGGACTAAAGAGAGTAAGCAATTAATTAAGCGACTGATTGTGCTACCAACAGCTCATTGTGTAGTATGGTCACTTACTGACTATTCTATTATGTGCCATGATTAGACACAACCTCGTAGAAAAAGATTATTTCAAAACATTTCCTTACCTTCTGAAATCACGCTGGCCATGTCAAAATCAGGTGAAGATTCGGCGACTCCCTCAACTCTCTCCCATGTCAACGAATCCGCTGACATTGGGGATTGCGGAACCAGCTCATTCGATGAAACCGAGAGATATGCGCAGGAACTGCTTGGCGATTGGGGCGAGTTTTCCATCACCAAAGAACTGTTGAAAATAAAAGAGATGTGTTCAAGAAATTGAAAGACCATTTTCCTTTGACGCCACGATTATGAGTGTGCGTTATCATATATCCCTAAAACAATAGTTGAAGGATTTTATCATTTAAGCGTAAACATGGATACGAATTTGTGCTCCTCCCAGTTCACGGACTCCTTCAATATTATTCCCAAACTTAGTCTGACAATAGAACTCAATTGCATTGTAATTAGTTCAATTGCATATTTTCACGAGAATGAGGGAGTAATTGTTCAAATTAATCCCTCAGAATGTCCATGCAGAGCAATCAGTAGACGGCCATATTGGCGTTTCACACGAAGAATGGCCGATGGGCGACTGTTATACTGCACACTACACAAAAATATGGTAAATTTAAGTCCTGAGTAATACGATCTACTTACTACATGTCTTCCCCACACATAAACTCTTCCATTTGACGTACTAACGCCACGTGACCCATTTCTTGCGCTATTGCCTTCGCAGACCGTCCTCTTTGATCACAATCGCTGTATGACGACGGTTGCCATGCCAGCAACGTCATCGCTGCGTCTTGATGACCGCGCCAGCAAGCCCACATCAGCGGCGTACAGCCAAAGGAGTCCTTGGCGTGCGGAGTCCATTTGGTAGACTGTTTGATGCTGTCAGCAGTTTCTGACATGCGGTCAGAACCTTCGCTCCCAGTCCTCATACTGCGCGACTTCTCGGAGAACGCGTAGTTTTGTAAGGAGCGAATGAGTTTGGTATAGCCAAGACCAGCAGCTAGATGCAGCAGGGTGAGCCCTTTAGGCCCAGTTTCCGTATCTGCAAGCTGACACGCTCCGGGTTGCCCAAGAAGTACTTCACATATCCTCACTAATCTATCCTCAATTGTACCCAGTTTGCTTTCGATTGCTCCTTCTTCACCCGCACTAATCCCAGATGACACATCTATCCCCAATATACCCTCAAGTCTTTCAATTCTCTCGAGGATAATCTTCTTTAGGTCTTCCTCGCTGGTGTCTAGCCAATCAGAGGCGGAGTTTGTGGCATTTTCCCGCGTCTTGTACTCAAACACACAAGCATTGCTGATGATGAATCCATTCCAAGCCACTTGAAGGGAAACCAGTCCGGGCTCATGAGGTGGGCAGAAACATCTTAACACACCAGGTTGGATCAATGTTGCGGGCACTGAACAGCCATCAAAAAGACAGGAGTACTGGCCGTTCTTACGTGACCAGTCACCTAGAATAAGGATCTTCGTTCTCCCATCGGAGTACGACCACTCAGGTGAGAATTCTGTTATGATGTTTTCTGTTATGATGTTTTCTGAAAGATGTCCTGTGGCTTCAGGAGTACTTTGCGTTGACGTACGAGAAGACGTTTGAGAGGTACCTTTTGCAGACATGTTTGTAGGAGACGCACCAACATTGGGCAGTGTGGTTTGCACGTGGGACACACCTATTTGTGATATCCCCATACCAGACACATTAAATTGAGACGTACCGGCTTGGGAGACACTTAACTGAGCCCCAGTGTCGTTTACCGTCCCTGCACCACGCAGACCCATTTGCGATACACAAACATTGGGCAGAGCTTCCTCAATTGTTTCCACGCTGGAATCAGCTTCTTTTGATCCGCCGAACTGTGACATTCCCACTCTGGATATATCTAATTGAAACACACTAGCTTGGGGAACATTTCTCTGAGCCACAACCACGTTGGAAACACCTTCATTTGTCCCGTCTAACTTTGTCATCTCCACCATAGACACACCTTTCTGAGGTTGGGAAGTACTTTCTTGAGCCCCAACCACGTTGGATGAACCCGCCCCAGACACCTGGGGCACATCAAACTGAGACACACCAACTTGGGGCACACCAACGTCAGAAACACTAATTTGAGACACACCCACTTCCGCTCCAGGCACGCCCATCTCAAACATGTTCACATGTCCTCTCAAGGACAGGTCCTGTGAAGGGCATTGATGACCATTATGCAACAAACCGTCAATAGTTGCCCTCGAATGCAATACAGAAGGTGTAAGATTATTAAATGTATGACAATCCGTTGTTATCATTTCAGTTGGACTACATAATGTTCGACCAATTCTTGGGACTATGTTATTATTTATTGTAGTTGATTGCTGAACAAGATTTCCATAATGTGAATAGCTTGGTGAACCAATTTGACTTGACATAACTTGTCTTGTGACTTGAGATGGAGCTGTTGTCATGGACGATATTAGCCCAAGACCATTTTGTAAACTAGGTTGAAAGTCGGGCAGATAATCGGGTAAATAATTTAACAAATCATTCTCAAATAAACTAATATCACTTTCATTCATCAACGCTTTTGCGAAGTCGTTCTCTGTTTGGTTACTTTGGACTAAGTTCATTCCATCATAATCTAACACCATAAGGTCGTTATCCAACATGCAAGGGTTTGCTTCTAACGTTACTGGAAGACTTGTATAACCATGACAACCATTTGACGACGTGTTGTTCGAGTTATGTGAATATGGACTTCGATGGAGTAAGTCATGACAAGGGTACATCTGATTAGAAGAATGATTATGTCCAATTAGGCCTGTAGTTAAAATGCCTTCGTTAGAGGTAACACATGGGACTGAGCAACCTGGTAGAAAATTTTGTTGAACAGGATTTTGTAGCAAAGAGCTGGTCGATACCAGAGTTTGCCCGGGGGTGTTACTTCCACTTGATTCTGTAGTAAAACTGACTTGTGTAGAGCAATGTCCATCAGCAACAGGAGGTTTGGCACGAGATGTCGAGCCGGTCTGTCGGTTTATAGTGACAGCAACGTTGGTGCGCGAAGAGGTTGATGTTGTCGGGCATTTCGTAGTGTAGTATCTATTACAGTTTGTACATTTGTCCAAATCATGGGAACCCTTGGGAGTCGCTTCTAAAGACTTTGGTAAAGTGGACGATGCGGCGACTTTTTTATTGCTTCCAGATGTTTTCCTCTGATTGGCTCTTCTTCCCTTTGTTTTAGGCTCCTTGTACTTTCTAACCTCCGATATGAGTTTGTTGACATCGACTGGTATGATCTAAGAAGAGGAAATGAAAATATAACCAACAGCACTTGTTCCTTGTTCTTAAAAGTTGAGATGAGTGTAACACAAAACATACCGTGTTATTATTTCGTCCATCTTCACTGCTAGCCACTAGAAAGAAATTTTAAGCAATATACAAAATTACATACAGTACTTTGGGCAAACTAGGAATCAATATATAAGCGACATAAAGATTGTTTTAAATGTTGGTAACTTACAGATTGGTTGTAATTCGCAAAATAATTCATGTTCGGTCAATGTTTTATATGGTAGTAAGGATGTCACAAGATCATCAAAAGTCGTTGTCTTGTCTGGGATGTTAAGATAATGAACAAGCACAATGTCAGGATTCTACAAAAAATTATAGCAAATTATAATATATACAGTATATGCCTCCAAATAAATGTAATTGTAATGGCATTCTCAAAAAGCACTGTCCATGACGAACTTATAAATTATATCAAGTACCAGTGGCTAGCTCAAAACCATTGCTCACTTCCTATCTAAACTAATTGATTGAAGTATTTATTTCGAAAGTCTTCAAATGAAAATTGTATGTTATGTATCTGTATTGTAATGTGAAGCAATGACATACCTCTAATAGCCAATAACATCTTCGATGAAATGTTGGCACTAACGCTGAGTGCACATAAGAACAATAAATACACTATAGAAATAAATACAGTTATTCATGTGAACTATTTCCGAGCTTGTGTTTAATTCCAAGCATTCAACTTCATCTGTTTGCTTACCTCAATGCCTCTGATCCTGAGACTGGAATGATCAACTCTTGCTGATGACTTGCTATTCTTTCGTGTTTTCCAAATATACTTATCATTGTGGTAAGACCTTGTCTAGAAAATGAAGATGTCGGATAGAAGGTATAACACCAGGTCACAGTCAAAATTTTCTCCTACATTGTATGGGCTCATATTGTCAGTGGACATCTGATACAAAATTGGCAGCACTGTGTAAAAGCCAAAGCTGTCAAATTCTCATTGGAAGACTCTTGGAAAAATGAGCCTGTTGTACATCACCAGTGTGATTTGAGAGGAGGGGTTGAAAGAATTCAAAATAATTACCTTCAAGTTATTTCTGTTGTAAAGAAGCAGTGAACCATTTGGGGGCCTAGCAAAATAAATCAAACATTCTTATTGTGTTTCTGAAAAATGGTATAACACTGTAAAAGGGAAAGTGGTAATGATAATGATGGTGGTGAAGATGGTGGTGGTGCTGATGGTGGTGCTGATGGTGGTTGATGATTTTGATAATGGTGGTTGTGATGACAATGGTCGTGATGATGGTGGTCGTGATGAAGATGGTGGTGGTGGTGATGAATATAGGAGTGGTGATGATGGTGGTCTATTGATGGTAATGCTATTCAGGTGGATCATATTGATGAAGATTATGTGATAATGATAGAGGTGATAGTGGTTGGGTTCATAATGATCTTTATGGTGATATAGGTGATGATGGTATTACAGGGCTCAAAATAATGTTCCCAACATTCCCGGTCATGGTGATCGGCAATCATGACTTTTTGCCGATCAAATAAAAATCTGGCCAATCAGGAGCATTTGTCCTCATTTCCTTGAAAAAATTCTAAATATGCGAGAATAGTATTGCGGCCTTTCCTGTCGTACTTGTATGATTCGTATCAACTAATCATATGATTCATACTGTATCAACTATCAATTCGTTTTTTAATGTGTTTTATATTACTTCTATTTGTCTTTTACCGCTACAGGTAAGCGTGTCTTTCAGACAATGGTCAAATATATTTCTTGCCGATCAAGATGAACGGCAACCTTGCTTCTTCACCGATCGAAAACAATTTCCTGCCGATCATTGATCGTTGATCGCCGTTATTTCGAGCCCTGTATTATGATCTAGATATTACAACAGTATAATGTTAAGGAGCCCAAGACTATCCCATTAACAAGTAAAACCATCTGGCATTAGACAGAGTAAATGGATTTAATGGTTTGAGATATTTTGAACAATACCTTATCTTAACTTCGCTTGCTGCCCAGTTTTGATGTTCTTCTAAACTTGTCAGAATTAAAAAAACTTCCTAAAACCAAATATAATGCCTTCAGGCCCTACCAAGGTAATGTCAAACATTTGTAATTAGGGACTGGTCATAATTTATCAGGGGGGTGGGGAGGTGTAATTCAAAATTTTAAGGAATGATATTTTGTGACCCTGCTTTTCCATAACCCGGAAAAATAATGCCCCCCCCCCTTATGTGAGAAGAACAAAATGTGAGAAGACATGTATAAAACAATTGATTGAACTAAAACAGCAGACTCCCTCCCCACCTTCATAAACTGTCTAATATTTTATGAACCCCCCTTTTTCCTGGCTAAAAAATATGTGACCCCTCCCCCACTGTTTCCACCTCCCCACCCCTCCTGCTAAATTATGACCAGTCCCTTATATAGATCCCTTTCATCACTCAACAGAATTTATTAAAATCCCAAATTTTATTTTTAATATTCAAATTTTAGTAAATCAAGCTGCTGTTTTATGTCAATGACCCTGCTGAGTTGAGACCTCAGGGTGTTTTGCAATTTAAGTACTGTTATTAAAATGCTGTTATTAAATGCCCATAAGCTGTCAGGCACGTTTATATTTCAATAACAGAATAGCGTCTTAGCTCATATGAGTGGTTCAGTAGGTTTTTTACACAGATTGCCATTAAAATGCAAATATGTGGTAGGCAGTTCTTCTATAAATATGATACGGACAGCTTATCTGCGAGACGGTGGCCCACATTATAGCCCGCAAACGCGGTAAAATGTAATTAACGAATTATAATTGCACCTGTCAGGCGTGCTGTGAGACTATATTACAAATAATCCTTACGTAAACTCTGCTCAAAAATAATGCCAAAATTTATTTCAAACGTAAATTTATAAACTAAATCAATCCCAAAATACTATGTATTTTCTTTAGCGACCATAGAACTACTTGCTTTTATTTAATGATCGACAAAAATACTCATAAAGAATATGTATAATCGTAAAATATTAGCCCTTGTTCCTCGAAGGGGAAATTATGGACAAGTGTATTTAAATGCTTGACATGCTTGACAGTTGATGTTCTTAATATTGAATATTTAGCACAAAATCTAAGATTTATTTTAATGCAAAAACTCGAAAATTTCGTACAAGAACGACTGCAATTTCAATGCACTCAGACTGAACTTTTAAAACCAAGAGTTTGCGTTTTGTGAAGTCGATTGTCTGAATTTCAAAACTCTTTCATTGTTGTTTCAAATTCAAAACACTTTCATTGTCTTACGGTCGACTACATTTTTGTTTCTATGGTCGCCATGCATAAATAATAAAGTCTATTACACACTTAAAAATGTTGAATACAAAACTTAAAAGTACTATAAACGAACGTTTTTTCTACAACAGTAACCAGTGTAGTACAAACATCAAATTCCATTCCCGCCATATACCTCATTAGAATTCCAGCTAAATCTGAATTCCGGAAGCTTGTCAATAGTCCCAAGGGAATTCAAAGTCCCAGAGAAGCTGAATATCTTCGTTCTTTGTATATTTTCTGATTGGTTCGTTCCATTTGATGCCTGAGTTTGCAGCATTCCAGAATTTCGCTCCACGTTGTCAGATTTTAACGTCGAAGTGTGACCGTATTTTCCCACGCCGTCGGTCTAATGTTGTTTCCCGAGACTAATCTAGTACTCTCGTTGTGGTTTGTCGATTTCGTCCCGTTCATGTTCCTATTCTCTACGAGCTAATAGGTCTTATCTGTCTCACATCTCGCTTTGTTTTATAAATTGTTTATGTCCCAACAACATGTATTTTTACTTGAAGACGAACTGAGCCTGCTGTGGCCTGTGATTATCAGCAAGCGGCCATTCGCACCCCCGCATGCGTTTGACAATCACCAAAATAAAAATATAGTAAAAATTGTTAAAAGTATTAAGTTTTGACGCTCATATGCGATGGATTTATTTGCTGATCTTCCGCCCCCAGGTAAAAAAATTACTTCTTTTTGTACCACAGATGCTTTCAGACAGGGGGAAAGAGACTAAATAATTGTATTTTACAATGATCACATCGAGTATCGAGGCAAATCTCTGAATCTGCCTGAACCGGGCTATGAACCGGCGAACCGCGTTACCATTCAGTAAACATGCGTTTAATACTCGGAGAAAATCTTAACATTAACAAAAAAACAAAGTTATGAAAAATTCACTGAAAAATGAGCTTTAAAATCAGCAATCAAGCTAATTTGATTGACTTAATTTTCAAGTGTATCACCGTCAGATGACCTCAGATCTGGTCAGAACTTTGACTTTGTAATACATACCGTATAGTATGCGTTCAATGAACGACTGGAAACACTAAAGTCTAAAACAGAGTCAACAGACTCTCAGAATCGAATCTAGTTAGGTTCTTACTTTTCTAGATTCTGGAAAATCCTCCTCAAAAAATGATAGTGGACTTTTTGGTGATCTCCCAGAGCCAAGTGGCCCAAAAGGAGAGAAACGAAAGCAGGATATTAACGATGATACAGCTCCCCACTCAAAGCGCAGATTGCAAAATGATCATGGTAATCATGGATGGTCCATTTGGGGGGAAATCAAGATGTTCTTTTAAGCAAATGCAATGATTGAAGGGTTGTTGGTGGTGATGATGATGATGGTGATGATGGTAGTGATGATGATAATGATGGTATTGTTTATAATCATAGCAGTGATTATGGTAATTGAGATGATGGTGATTATGAGGTGGTGGTGATGATGACAATGATGGTGATGATGGTGATTATGGAATTATGGTGGTGGTGATGATTGTATTAATTACGGATGCTGATGATAATTATTTTGACCTACAACGAATACCAATATTTCATCATTCATTCCTCCAAACAACGCTCTTGTTTCTTGTGTTGTAGTAAAATTTCTGCTGAAAGGATTTGTAACGGAACGAATGGGCGAACGGGAAGATATGCAGGATGCACACGTCATAATGGACGACTTTAAATCCGAATTTGATGACGTTGAAATTCCACACGACGTGTAAGGAGCGCATTTCTACTGTGATTTTTTTTCCAATTCTGTTTCACTGAACATGTTTAAGAAGGCTCTTCAAGCCAGTCCACTAACGTTGACGTGTTTTTAATCTTTCTGCGGTTCACATGTGCAAGTTTTAGGCAGACATACACCACATGTGTGAAGACATATATTACTATTTTAAATAATTACCAAGGCTTATGATTCCAAACAAACTAACAACAGACTAACAAACTCACTCAGCGAATGTAAAGCGATGCCAACTTTGCTTGGGCACCGTAATCCATGGTTTCCTCTGCATGCATCAAGCTTTGCACAAAGTAGAACTAGAAGTGGGTCCTTTTGGAAACCATTATTGTTTACGTTTCGCAATGTTTAATATTGCTCACTTACTCTCAATGAATGGCTTCTGATTGGCAGTTGCCAAGCAATTGGACGTCGAACTTTGGCGCTCGCGGTCATTGTGCGGGTTTGTTTCCAAATTCTTTGTAAATTATATGAAATTTATTGGTCAGTTGTGCCTTTATCCCTCAACTATCCCTTACTGTAACTATGAAATCAACTATCCCTGACTATCCCTCATGTGTTTCAAGAGTTGCCTGCGGAGGAGGCTAGTGCCACCATAAGATTTTGGTTACTGTTTATAGATTCGGCAAATAGAAAGTTGGATGTTGCATGCAGCCATGGGAACTGCAGACAGCCCTAACATCGGCTTACCACAATGAATAAATAAATTACAACCAAAGCCAAAGGCCATGCGCAGTTCAAAATTCTTGATTCTTTCTGCTATGTTATAATATACAGTAATTATCTATACCTACAGTATATATTACACCTCATGGGTATTATACCTCATACTATACCTACACTGCAGTATTATATTTTATTTTCAGCTCAAGACTGGCTTACTACGCCATATTTGATGGTCATGCGGGAGCAGAGGCCGCAAAATTTGCCGCGAAGAATTTGCACAAGAATATCGTGAGAAAGTTTCCAAAAGGTTGAGAGGATCGGGGAATAGCAAAAAGACAAAAACATTTTTCATCCACAAGGTCCTGTGGAGGCCTTTATTTTTCAATAAGAGAGAAATTAGTTAGAAATTAGTTTTTCACGAAACAAAACAACTCTTTATAATTCAGAATATTTAATCTCAGGCACCAAAGTCAGACGCTTTCTCTGTCACATGAATGAGAGATGAATGTTCTCTTGTTTAACAGGTGAAGTTGTAAATAAAGATAAAGAAATAAAAAGATGTTTAGTTGATGCATATCGTAAGACAGATGAAGAGTTTTTGCAAGAAGCTACTAAACAGTACGTTATATTGTACAAGTTTTAAATTGTAAATATATCTATCAAAATATACGCAATCCACCACGCAAAAAATCAAACTGTGACAACAAATTTGTGGCCTTTCTGCTTTATTGTTCTGTGATATTCTGATTCTAGTAACCCTACTCTAAAAGATGGCTCTACAGCTGTGTCAATTTTGGTCATCAATGATGTATTGTACGTTGCAAACCTCGGTGATAGCAAGGTATGAAATTAAATTGAATCTTGTGGCAAGCATCGTATAACAATATAATTGCAAGAACAAACTTCTTATTCCAGTTCCTTTTTCAGTACGAGGAACGACTTCGCATTCAAAAATCAGGAGGAAATGTCCAGTCAGTACATCCCAAAAGATCTTCTTTGTGGAACATTTAATAATTGTCTCGCCACTAGAGAGCTTTCTTGGTAACAAAGATTTCCACTATCTTTATACTGTATATATACCTTTTAGAGATGGACGAGTGCTTGGTATTCTTGAAGTTTCGCGTTCATTTGGTGACGGACGTTTTAAAGGTTGCGGTGTTATAGCTACCCCAGATGTCCTGAGATGCTCTCTCACCGACAAAGACAAGTACTTTAATATCAATTCAGGCATATTTGTCTTCACTCGCTTATCCCAAAATGCATCATTGAAATAATTGTTGTTTTTCTCGTTTTTATAGATTTCTTTTGCTCGCATGTGATGGTTTGTGGAAGGGATTTGAAGTAGACGAAGCTCTAAAGTATATCAACGACATTCTTGAGGTTTGAATAAATATTCGTATCACTCCTGTTTACGAAAGATCAATTTTATTATTAAATTATTTTACTTGGTTTTATATAGGAAGAGAAACCAGAAAGGGGAAAAGGTATGGCTCGTTACAGTGTATACCAATTATTTACCAATCAGTATAATAACACATGTATACATAAGTTAGACAGATTTATTCGATTTATAGACATAATAAATATATATAATTTAAAATATGGTATATTTCTTTCTTTTAGATTCTGAGGACGTGACGGAGACGTCTGTGTATGAGACAGCATGTAGTCGAGTGGCGGGCGATGCGATCAGAAAAGGAAGTTCTGACAACGTCACAGTAATGTTGGTGGAGATAAAGAACCAATCATAGGAGTGAAAATGAATCATCCAGCCAATCAGAAAGCGAGAAACCAGTTGAAACCATCTCCACGCAGGAGAAAACGAGATATGTCGCAGTAAAAAGGAGAAAAGTGAATCCAAAACTGAGTCTAAAAAAACTCCTTTGCATGCAGAGATGAATATTTTGTACAGCTATTATATTTGAATATATTATAGCTCTAAGCCTCTAATTTCCATGCACATTGCAAAGCTTGTAATTAAAAAAAAATATTTAAAAAATGTTCATACATTTGTCCATGTTAGCTTTCTCATATACCCCTTACAATATATTTACAAGCTGAGATCTATTAGCATCACTATTGTGTTTATACAGCAAAAATAAACATGTTCCAACCAGCAAATAGGAAAACAGCGTTACTGTTTTACCGTTAATTTTTGTTATTCATCCACTTTCCCAGCCAAAAACGACTTTCGATGAATGGTTCATCAAACGAAAATAAACAAAATAAGAAGCACATATAGGCGACCTGCGGTACGAATAACCAGTACGATTTTAAGCTTCTGTCTGCATTTTTTCGATTTCTGCTTCTAGGTCTGCGCATGCTCTCTCGATTTCGTAGTTCTTGCTTACCAGGCCTATCCAACTGATTTAAAATAAAACAAAGTCGTTGGACTTTAATTTTAAACTTTATGCCAAAAATATGCAGAAAAAAACAAATACAATGTATTTAAATTACGTTGTTGGTATATCTTCACACGTACCTTTGCTCTAAATTACGTAAATCCTTTCCAGCAGTTATCTAAAGTAATGTGAAAATAACTTAAATAAGGAATGCGTTTTAAAAAGAATGATAACAATGAAGCCATGGTTAGGAGAGCTTACTTGTTCACTTTTTCTTTGCCAGTTAATCTGTTGAATTTCTTTCCTAAAATGGGAAAATAAAACACATAATTATTATATAAAATACATAACCAGAGAGGTATAGCTGAATCAATCTTTTTCAACGTAAGCCAATTGATAGCATAATCAAGTCGAAAGTATACCTAATATCCAGTAGTTTCTTCTGTTGTTCGTGTAGCATTGCCAAAATAACATCATTACTCATCCGCCATGCCTGGCTCCATATGTTGATAATAGCTCCAGATTACAAATCCTGTATATCAAATAAAATCAATTCAAATCTTTGTTTCACATTTAATCAATTTCCACTATATCACAAACAGAAAGAAAATTATAAAGACTATAAAAATCATGAGTGAAGTCTTTATTTAAAGGGTATATAACACATAATAGTTAACAAAAACATGTGGCCCATTGTACGTTTTTAACAAATATGTTGTGGATTATTAAGGAACAAAATGGTATCCATTACCTTGTTGCCTGATGTTCTAATTGTGCTGAGGAATTATCAACTGCTTCTTGCCAGGCTGTGAGATCGTTTTTCTGTGCAGTTGGTGGAAGAGGAAGCTCATATCTACATTATTAAATTCATCATGAGACAAAGGGATCACATTGTTGAGAAATGTCTTTAATTTAAGTGGTTGTTACCATTGTATACATTACATATTTAGTAATTTAGTTCATTGTATATATCGCTAAAATGGATTACTAAATATATTCATACCTTTTCATGCTTAACAAATCCATTGGCTGACGTTTACTTATTCGATCAAACTCATTCTTTAGCACTGGTGTCTATACAAAAAATATTCACATTTATATATGCTACATAGTTATGAATTCTGTTATGACTAGTCCAACTAAACATAATGCATGTTTACAAATGTATTGGATTATGTTTAGTCTTCCTATAAAAAGTCAACAATTCACTCCTTAGACAGAACCCACCAAAAACTTATCATAGACAACAGGTGGTAGATGTTCGAGGTACTTCTTTGATCCTCTGTATCTCCTTGTTTCCTCGTCTATCAATTGATTAACCTAAAGGAATGCTTATAAATATTCATGTATTCTAGTATGTTGCCAACATAATTAAAGTAGTAGATTATATATCTAGCATTTTATATTTTTACATGATGACTATTTTAGTATTATTTTACATATATACAAGTCGTTGCCATATTGGTATAATAAAATATTTTGACTGTTACTTTATGCACTAGTCAATTGAAAGCCCGACCCCCAGGACAAGGCAGGGAAATTAACTTTTTGACAATGTTAAATTTTGGTAATTTCACTTTACAAAACTATTCAACAATTCTCTAATTTTTATTCATATTTCATATTAAACTACAGTGGTCAGTGGGTGCTGTATTAATTTAAAAGAAGCGTACCCTGGTTCCAGAGGTTTATTTTTATTATTTTCAACCAGGGTTACCAGGGTAAAAGAAGCGCCGTTTATTTGCTAATTCCACAACACTATTAATAAAATTAATACACAATAGCCTTGAATTATTACTCTAGATTGTAAAGAAAGCAATCATACCATTTCCCGCACTTCAGGTTCCTCGTAACCTTGATCATAATATGGTAAAGCATCAGGCGTTACTTCGTGACTCGCGACCGCCATATTGGAAAAAGAAAGAACTGAGCCCGCGTTGCTATTACAGTTGTCGGCGATACTTCATATTAGCACATCGCAAAGATCAAAGAAAGATCAAAAGCACCGATGAGGTTCCGATGAGGTCTACAAGGATTTAGGGAACAAGGCATATTTTGTAATGGGAACACAGGGACAAAGTCAAAATAGTAGGGAACATAAGCTGGGGCCACAAGGGATATCGGAACATGGTGAATGTAAATCTTTGTGGGAAACAACTCAAACAAGGGAACTCAGGATCACAGACCCCCCTGGGAGGTCCTCGTAGACATATGAAACTTTCATGCTAGTATTTTTCACCAAACAAAACAATTTTACAAAGGAAAGCAATATATTTCATGAAACTTGCAACAATTTAGGCTTAAATAACAATATAACATAAAGATTAACGACGACAAAAACCGCCAGCGGTAGGCGCCGTTTGGCGCCAAATTGTCTGATAATAAGGAAGCCAATAGGAAGCCATTTAGTTGCCGCCCTTGCGAGCCCCAGTTACAAAACCTGCTACAAAACATTCACTGACATAATAGTAGTACTAATATTTTAAATTAATAGATGATATAGCCGTTTTGACGCTGATAAAAAGCTATAATTCAAGGCATTTCATTAGTTCAACATATTTCCATGCCCGTTTATTGTCCGTCCCAGGTATACAGCTGCGAAAATAAAAAAGACAACTGAATACATTCACTTTTTAGTTTAATTTTCTTACGAAAACATAAGCATAATTGTGTTTTAAGTTAGCTTTTAAAAAATACAATCACGTAGCATTCTATTGCTTGCAAAAATTACCTATGTTAGACATGTACTTTAGGAAGAATAAAAACTCACTTTTTCCATTTTTTTTTTTAAATATCGCTGGCAAAGTGTTTAATATTTGTTAATAAACAAAGTCACCGGACGAAAAATTACTGTTTATCATTTATTATCAACTTCTGTTTCGGCTATTTAGTTAGCTTATAAAGAAAGTGTCTTTTTTTAAATTAACAATTAATACAATGAAACATTTTTGTCTTGTCTTAACAACACCTAGGGATAGGAATTTAGTGCTCATAAAAACGCCCACAGCATTTTTTTTCAGACTCATTCACTAGCTGTGCACATGAACTGTACTGCCTGTTGAGCAAAATGCTGGGAATTAATTTTGTCGCGTTTTGGTTCGTGTTAGTCTCTGCCTACAAAGCAACGGCATTTGAATGGGAAGGTTTGTTGGACTATATAAGTCTAGAATAAAATATTGCCACCTCGAATTCACTTCCACATACCTCACTATAGTGGAAGTGGTAAATCAATTGTATATACTCATTATTTAAATTAAGGAGGGATGCACTAATAATGTATTTGAAAACTGAATCCCGTCCTTGCATGTATAGATCCCCTCATATAGAGTTTCTTCCCAAGGGCCCTCAAAACTTATATCTCTCTTCAATCCCACACAGAGAACACAGACCCATCATTATTCGAGGCTGATATCAAGCTGTTGTCTGAACAGAGATTTGCTCTGAAGACAACGGGAGATATTGATGCTCGGGTTGGTGCAAAACGTGGCATTACCAGCGACCAGGACAGGTTATGGCGTGGAGGAATTGTTCCTTATAATATTACTGAAGATTTACGTAAGTACTAGCCCTAGGGGATTAGGAATGAAACAAACCGACCATAGTCAGAAAAGGGGATAATGACGATTATCTCGGACAGGTACGTTTCTTGACAGAAAGTGCTGCTTGGGTTGTTACATAGCATTGATAGGTCTTTGAGGAAGCCGTCAGGTACTGATATGACATTAATTTTAGTTTAAAGATATGAATCTAAAAGATCCGAATATATCATTGTGGTCATTGAGAGATCTCACAGTAGAGAGATTCGAATCTTTTCAAGAAATGCTTTTTAAGGTTTGACTATACACTGAACGAATTACATTTGCACAATACACCAAATAAACCAGGCTACAGTAAATCAACCCTAATCTCATTTTTCAAATCAAAAAGAGAAAAGCAGAAAACCTATTAACTTAGTTTTAAGTCTCATGTTTAGAAAACATAACAAAGGCGCAATTCTTAATACCTTAATTTCCCCATCATTGCAAGCCCATCTTATTAATTATCTAAATGAAAATATATCTTTCTTAATTAAATGAAGTTAACAATACACAAGCGATGGCGGGTATCTATAATGCGTTCAAAGAGTGGGAGAGTCAGACATGCTTACAGTTCGTACAAAGAACAACTGAGCCAGATTATGTCGAGTTCTTTGGTTCGGGAGGGGGGTAAGTCAAATCGATAAATTCTACATTCTCACACTTTCACATATCATGTAGTTTATTGGGATATAATTTGTTTAGCTGTTTCCCCAAGAACACAATATTCCATTCATTTCACGGTAGTTAAATTTCTCTAGATGCTGGTCTTATGTTGGTCGTGTGGGAGGAAAGCAGTTGATCTCTTTAGCAGGCGGATGCTATGGGGTTGGAACAATCACCCATGAAATAGGTTCCAGTTTCTTTCTTGTTTATCCAAAGATATATATTGTATATTTTTGTCAAGCAGTGCTCAAACGATAGAGCAAATGCACTGTATATATAGATGTAGTGTGGGTAACCCATAGAAATAATAGATATCAGTAGTATTTTTGCACAAGTGAATGTAACCATAGGCATAGTCCATCAAGGTATGATGGTCTGGAAACTAAACATAAGGCATTGTTTGATGTTCTTGTCTGAGTTTATGTTAATTTGTGCACGGTCACGGTGATTGAGCTCATTGTATTTTCGTATAATTAAGTAACCGTCCAATAGGGATGGAAACAAAGGTCTCCTTTTTTTGGCTTTGAAGTTTGCCGGGATTCGATCCAGACCATCATATCTTGATTGCTCAAATTTGACGTATTATCACCTATAGGTGAATACTGATAACAAAACCAAAATCTTCAAAACGGCGGCGTCAAATTTGAAGTCAACTGTCAGCTGTTCCAAGTTTGGGCAACTTGTGCACTAAAATTGGAGCATGAGTTAGCTGCTTTTAGCTGTAGAAACTGTGGGCCTTACTTTCAAATGTGATTTGAAGTTTACCGTTTGCGGTTAGCGTTTTGCCGTAAACGTCAATCTGACAGTCCCTACTGATAAAGGAATAAGCGAAATTGAAATAAATTCAGTCCCAAAAAACACAAAAGACTTGTGTACGTAGCCCCCCCCCCCCAAAAAAAAAATTGAAATGTCGATAAGTTGGGCAAATAACGATTGAACGTAAGTCGGGCAAATGTTGAACGTTTTGGGAAAAGTGGGTAACTGCTCAAAACTTCAATGCCGTTGCTCGTAATTAATTAAATGGGAATGTCAGGTGACAGATTCTGGCCATGGTTATCATGCCCCTGTATCATAATTTTATTTGAAATTTCATTCGAAACCAACTTTCTTAAAACAGGTCATGCAGTTGGGTTTTGGCACGAGCAAAGTAGACCAGATCGAGATGAACATGTGGAAATACTATGGCATCATATTCCCAGAAGTATGGGACAAACCTACTGACTTTATTTTGTATTATATGTTGTATACAATTCCGTACGTAGATTGCGCGATTTCTTAGAATCCCAAATCCCACCATATATTTCTTCCCATTCATCGTTTTCCCGTTCTTCCATATCACTAATAGACCCTTTTTGTACTCTCTCTGTACTCTCTTTGTACTTTAAACAGTATAAACAAATTAATATGCAATTTTTCTTGTAAGTTGAAAATTTTTCACATGGTAATCGGTGTAATCTACTAATCTGAGCTTTACTATATTTTCAGATAAAAAACACAACTTCAACAAGTACAACCGTTCTCAGATAGATTCTCTTGGTTCAAAATACGACTACATATCAGTTATGCATTATTCATCAACAGCATTCGGAAGAGGGAACATCACTATTGTTCCTAAAGATCCGTCAGTCACGCAACTTGGTCAGCGGTTAGGACTGAGCCCACGGGATGTGGAGCAAGCGGATTTACTGTACAAGTGCAAAGGTTAGTAGTCACTGATCTCGTGTGACACTGGACAGGTAAATAGTTGTGAAACTATTGTTGGGGCTAATTTATATCATTTAAAGTGGTTAGCGTGACATTTCAAGCGAAAATGTATCTCTGAAGGAGTTTCACACTGTAACATACTTTGATTATAAAACAGATTTTAATTTAATCAACTAAACATGGATAGTTTAAAGTTGCCTTTAGAAGTCTACCATTGTAAGGCATCCGCTAATTACTGGAAAAAAGCGGTACCTAATGTTACTTTCTTACACACCACTGGTCGGTTGTAAGAAGACTGGATAGTGATTTTTTTAACCGTTGTAAAAATATTTGAAAAACTAGGGAAATGGTCTTTAAAATTTATAAAAATAAACTTGAATTTATAACCACTAAAGTTTAATCTGGGTTATACCAGCGGTGAATCACTATGGTGGATAGGCCGATATCTGGTCTTCGTACAACCGGCACCAGATTTTAGTCTATGTCAGTATATAAACCATTATGTTAACCCTTTTGGATGTTTAAACCGTTTTATAATATAGCACTTGTAAATTCTGAACACTGACTGGCTAAGAGCCGTGTTGACAACTCAATGTCAACACGGAAAATTTCTTTAAGTATAAAATATTTTTTAATTGCAGGCAAGACTACAGTAGTTACACCACCTCCACCAGTACGACCACCGCCTCCCTCAGGTAAAAGTTCATCATTCATTGTACATGTCTTGTAATAAGGTGATCGCTAGATAGTATACTTCAAAATAAGGTTTCCGTTTTTATAACGTAGAAAAAACTATCCCAACTCAAAACTAGACCCTAACCCTAATACTATCCCGCACCCTAACCTTAATCTAACCCTAACTTAAACCCTAACCTATTAAACCTTAACTTATTTTAAAAATTGATATAAAAACGGAAACCTTATTTTGAAGTATACTATCTAACAATTGCCCTTGTAATAACTTGTAGAAGTTATTTATTGCCAGGCCATTTACCTCTAAAAACACATCCTCTTCCTTGTTTATTATACTTGCAGGGCCCTACGACTGCACGTTTGAGAACGGAACATGTGGCTATCGTAATGTGGAGGAAAGTGAAGGACTGGACACTTTCGATTGGACACTAAGGATAACTGGTACTCCAAGTGGAAACACCGGTCCAACAACTGATCATACCACTGGACGCTTTGGTAATTTTTCATTTTCCTTACAAAGACAATTTTTAGTACGATACCTAGGACCAAAATGTTTTAATTCTCTACCTGGTAAAATTATGTCTCCAGCTATAGCGTTGGTAATTTTAAGTCTAAATTAAAACCATTTCTTTGGTCCACTGTTATGAACAAAATGTGTGTAATCGAGGGTGTCCAGTAATTGTTAGTAATATGTCAAGTGGTAAATTTCAATAAAATTCAGAAAATTCAGTGAAATGAGATGACAAATTATTCGATCATGCTTTAGGTCATTTCTTCTACATTGAGACATCCTCTCCGCGTCAACCTGGTGATGTAGCCTTACTAGAAAGTCCAGACTACCCAGCGTCAATTGCTAAACAATGTTTTGCCTTCTTTTATCACATGCTTGGGAAGCATATTGGAGAGTTCAATGTCTACATTAAACATGGCTCGGATAACGATCTTGTGTTCAGTAAGAATGAAACGCAGGGAGATATGTGGCACAAAGCTCAAATACAACTGCCTCCAATGGCCACTGAAACCACTAAAACCTATCAGGTGATCTTGCAATTTTCTAATTTTATTCTGACACAGCTCAATGTTCTTATATAAATCAGGAAAAATTATTGTAGGATCGTTTCATTTCCTTGAATGCTTGGCTTTCCTTGAATTGGCTCTTTGAATACTTCATCGTTTTTCCATTTGCAGGAAGAGTAAGAAATAAATGTGATTAATAATGCGGAAACAATCATGTAATTTCCTAATTTTCCCACCTTCAATTAAAGACATTGTAACAATGTCTCTTAAATCTGCTCAGTGATTTGCGTACAGTACATACAGTATACAATATACTGATATATACGCAGTATTGTTTACCATTTTATCTTTATGACGTTATATAAACTTCTTCTGTCTGTTTGTATCTTACTGAGACATTTGTGGTAAAAGTTGCCTAGACTGACAGTTCACTGCCAATTGACCACCACCTTCTCCACGATACCGGTCAAGGAAACCCGCTGCTATAGTGTATATACAGTAGCATGTGAGCATTTTTCGCAGATCCTGATTGATCTTGTTTACATGACTTAGATCTAAAAATGTATAAAATTTACACTCAAAATTTCCATCGGCTATACAAACACCTTTCAACATATTTAGTTCTATCGAGTGCGGGGATGCCCAAATTCAAACCTAAAATTCAAAGCAAACTTTCCAACAGCTTGTCTATAAATTTGGAAATATTTCTTCAGAAATCTTGTCTGGGTCGACAGGGGTTTTCTTCTCTGAAGTTTTTAAATGAGCAGACGTGCCGAAATACACAAACTAAAACAGCGAGTTAAATTTTAACCGAAGGTTAATAGCGCTAACCCACCTTCGAACAACCGGTCCCTGATATTTACATATATACAGTAACATACCTTTATTCTTCATGTTAAATTTCTTCTTTTAGGTTGTATTTGAAGGTATCCGTGGAGAAAGTTACCAAGGTGACGTAGCCATTGATGACATTCATTTCTTCGATGGAATATGCCCTGGACACAACGATGAAGACTAAAGATGCAAGGTATTGTCAAAAAAATATTTGTTTTCATGCCTATGGAAAACATCTCGTTTGTTCAGCTTTCCATCGAGCAAAGAAAGAAGTGCAGAAACTTAATATTGTTCTATTAATTTTTTTCAGGTTTGAAAAATACAGCAGCGAAAGAATGACTTGTGTGTTCAACTTGTATTTGTTAAAAATGGGTTATAGCAATAAAATTCGATAAAATAAGATGGGTGACTTTTAATTTTTTTGGTTTGAGTAATAATTAATATATTAAAGAAACCTTTAGATTAATATTTGAGTAATATTTGAAGAAACTTCATGCAGGTTTACATTACCATAAATATAAGTCATTTGTCCTTGTGGTAAGTTCTATGTTTATTGCGGATCTATTGCAGGAAAGCTTAATCAGTACCACGTTTATTTATTTAGTTAAGCCTGGTCATATCACTGTATGGACGAGGATAAGAGTTGATAAGAGTTGGCAAGCGAGAGTTTGCGTGAAAGTGTGTGCAATTTTCATGTTCCAGCCAAACGTGAAATGAGAGTTGACTGGATATTATTAGCCCGCGTGCAGGCCCAAGGGAGCAGGCTCAAGGGAACTTGCCTTGAGCCTGCTCCCTTGGTAAATCTTGTGATGAGAAAAGTGAATTTTCGGTTTATCCTTCTGCTCAGTGACCGGTGGCAGTGAGCTGTACGGCCGGCTAAGTTTAAACCGTTATACAGTACATCATTACTGCTTTCATTCTTTCAATTCGTTTTGAATATCGGAATCATTCACAATATTATAAACTGTATAAGATAGCTGTAGAACTATAAATGCTGAGAATGAAATAAATAAAGAAAAGTAAGTTTTCAAATCGCGGTATTTGCCGATAAATCGGTAATCGCTACAGAAAAACAGAACAAATTACAGTATTAAAATCACAACAAACCGCGGAAGTGGGACAATTTTTGTATTTTTACTGTAGACATGTAGAACATGTACGAAATCCATAAGAAGTGTGTGTGTATTCAAACGGTTTAAACGTAGGCCGTACAGCACACTGCCCACTGGTCACTGGGCCGAAGGATAAACCGAAAATTCACTTCTCTCCATGACAAGCTTTAATGTTCAGTCGATCCGCTACATTGAAAGATGAGTACTTAATTGGCTATTTTTTGGCAGGGGTAACAAAATATATCCGCTGTTCTCTAAGTGTTTCTCAATGCGTTGGCCATCGGAATATAATATAACTACATAAGCTTGACAGGTGTAAGATAACGAGTTTCACAGGCACAATCCTATTTTAAATACTATGGCTTTTGGCAGTTTTGCATCATATGTGCAGTGAAAGCCCCATTTTTCTACTTCCCCAACGTGTAAAACGCGAAAAAACTTTATTAAAATAAGAACAAAAATTTGTAATATAGTGAAAGAGTGTATTTTATTAAAAAGGATTTTCGTTTTCCTACTGCTCCGTAGTTCGTGTGCTCCGTGCTCCGTGTGCTCCGTGCTCCTGCTCCGTGCATGTGCTCAGTGCTCCGTGTGCTCCGTGTTCCGTGTTTTACTAATAGCCGGTGCATGCATAGGACTTAAGTCACCCAAAACACTCGTGAACGTTCGTCACGAGTGGACATTGGTCGTAAAATTTCACGAATTTAACGAGTCGTACGAATTTCGTGAGGGTTTACCATTTGACCAGGTGCATAGGACTAAAAGTCATCCACCACTGGTACATTCGGGTTCACACTGGTGGTAAAATTTCACGAGTTGTATGAATTTCGTGCGGGTTAGTTTAACATCTTATTTTAAGATTCGCTTACCTGCGCCAGAAATAATATTTTTCACAATTCGTATGGATTCAATTCGTACACAATTCGTATTGGACGTATACAGGCACTTCTTAATTTTATATCGTTATAATTGGATGATATGTAACTTAAATTATTAATAGTAATATACAAATAAAAGACTCGTCAATCACGACTTACGAATTTCACAAGACGATAAGTGCGACAGTGATTGGACTACCATCCATTTGACCCCCGTTCAGAAGGTTATTTGTGAGGATTTCAATTCCCTTAAGATATTTACATTAGAAACTGGAGGGCACTCAGATTATACCATTAATTGTACACCTTTATATCCTGTACACTGCTTGCATAAATTATACACGTCCTAATTACGCATTCAGTGACTCTTTTTTAATTGACCGGGAAAAGCAAGACAAAGTATCGTAAATTTGTATATAAATTTTTTTAATTGAGCACATTTTTAATACAGTTTGAATTTGGTTATGTAGACATCGAATATGATCAACGAACATTGTCCTATTTACAAGGTTATTCGTATATATAAATTTTCCGCCATATTAAAAATACTGAAATCTGCTAGGCGTTCTGAAGCACCTTTAGCGGTGACGTCACACCTAGGTCCCAGCATAGAGATTATAAATAACACTAGATGAGGCATCGTAATCTTAATTCAGTCAAAAAAAGGGAACGCGGCTATTGGGGGGCAAATTTAAGTCCCGGATGTGTATTCGTGTTCCCATTGGTGACGAGTTTCAAATCAGCCAATGAGAGTACGATTTTATATCCGGGACTTGAATTTGCCCCCCATTAGCTGCGTTCCCAATTTTTAAACTCGATGCCTCCTCTAGTGTTATTTATAATCTCTATGGGTCCCAGTCTCGTACTACATCCACGTTTTTTCTCGCGCTTGCTTCAGAACGACTGGAACCAGGCTGGCCTAGCCACTGATATGGCCATATCTAATATTGTGCATTGATCAGTCATGCATAGAATTTTGTATCCAATTCAGAATATATTTTATGTATACACTGCACAAAATCTTTGCACAACATTTGGGATTTAATTCGTTATGTTGACATTAACGGTTTCCAATCAATAAAACGATCATTTACAATTTATATACACATACAATTGATGTTTAACTAGTACTTAACAATGGCTCGCGCTGCGCGCTCGCCATTGTAAATGCCCATAATTTAACAATGCTCATATTTTAACAAGTACTTAAATACTAGGTAGATATACAGAGAATCAGAGATAGAGAATGCTTACTAATTTCCCAACGAAGGGTTCTCGCTCGAAACATCGAATTTCTCCTTATATAAGTTTTAGGTAGTTGCATCCTTATCAATCCTTGTTATTGTTGGCACAACCTACACGGGCACAGGCCGTTCAGAAGCTTTGTGATTACTAATTTACTTCTGATTTCTTAATTTCTATACTTGTTGTCACCGATAATTAATATTGTATGAAATTATAGTATATAATAATGAAGATGGTACGTATAGGACCATAGGTAATAAACAACACTGAGTCTTTCTATAATTATATTGATAACATCATAGTAGTAGTAAAGTAGTGTAGATCATAGTAGAATAAAATCATACCTGATACGTAACAATAAACTTTGTTAAAGTTGACGCGAAGTGCTTTTGAGGTAGTTATCGCCTCGCATGCAATGGTTTTATACTCTTTCGCGTGACAATATATGAATGGCTCCACGCTATGGTGTTATTTGTTTTGCGGTATTTTAATCATGGTATACAATAGCATATCACTCTCATGCGTGACTCGTGGACTTCACGCACTTGACAAAATTAAAATATGACGGAACAAAACATCAAAACTTTGAGAACTAAATATTTGCTTTTAGGGCCTTTGAGTGCGTAGAGTTAATTAACTAAAGATTTTCCGTGAACATTGACAGATATGTTACCTTCAATGATCCAAAGAACACAGGCTCTTTTGCGTTTTGCACTGGCCCAACAATGACCAATCTGACGTACATTGCAAATGGTCTCATGATGTAAATATTAGATACTAGAGACCTTAAGATTGACGTAGGCTAAAAGAAGAGACCTTAAGATTGACGTTTACGTCACACAGGCTCTATCGTACGTGACACTGAATGGCTCAAGTGAAGGGAATTAATTAAAGGTATAGTAAATGCAAATGTTATATCTCAAATTCAAGGCGCTCTCTCAATTCAAGTGGTTCTCTCATTCACTGGACCGGCTCTATCGTATATTATTAATTTATTCTCCCCTCGCCTTTCCGCTCGCGCGCCCGCAATCCTTGCTGTTATTTCGTTGGAACGCCATGTAATATTTTCGTTTTGTCAATTGATTCGCCATATTTGAACAATAATAAACTATGTTGTTTATGTTCGTTCGAAAAAATGTTTGAAGCTATAATTATGACTTATACAAGTAAGTGTAATAATTTAAATATGTTACGTTATGATGTTTTATTCATATTACAATACAATACAATACAATATTTAATTGAACACTCCCCATTGGGGCTTTTCAGTGACAATTACAAAGTGATAATTACAATATAAATACTCAAAGTTCTGTATACCTTGAAGTTTTCGTATATTCCGATCACTAGTATTGGACTAAACAGTTGAGCAGTAATATAACTTACAGAATACAAGTGAATTATTTACGGTAACAAGTAGCTCGTTCTTGAAGACATGTTTAACCCGACTTATTTGACTATTACGTTTAACCCGACTATTACATTTAATTAATATGACGTTTTATTCATATTCATAACACAGTTCTTAGTTGGGCCCGCTGTGTTCAGAGATTCCCAGACCTTGAGTCAAGAATCAAGATTTCCTTCGGGGCATACAAATGTTTGAAAGACTTGAAATATAATCTGTTGAGTTTAATTTTGTGCTGTATCGAAGTTTAAGAAAATCAAGATAAAATTCTAGTGTTTGCATGGACACTCAGCGAACAATTACATATCCGGACCGTGGTCCGTATTTCCCGTATCTGGACCGGTGTCCCGGATGTGGTTTATCTGGCGGGAAATTTTTGCTTTGCAAACAGAAAAAAATTCTGCTTTTTAAGGTGGCTCCCTAGGGTTTTATTTCCGGGGCTAACGTTCTTCGTATATATGTAAACTAAAACTCGTATGACTACAAATACGAATGAACGTTGTGTTTTATATGGAACTCTTTTTTGAAACAAAAGTGTGAACTTTGCTTTCTACATCTACATCTACATTTTATTAAGTCGGTAAAAATCGGACGATTATCGCACCAACTATAACAATACAAAATACAAATTTAAAAAACCTAACTACAACTATCTCAACCAATCAATAATAAAATATTACTTAATAAAATTCTTGAGTTCACTCTTGAAAGTATCTAGAGTTTCTGATAAAACTAATTCCTTAGGAAGACTGTTCCACTCAGTTAGTGTTCTAGGATAGAAAGAATATTTAAAAATGTCCTTCGTAGCTCGAGGTACTCTATATTTAAACGTATGACTATTTCGTGTTCTTGTTTCTTGACTTGGAACCAGCACGTTTTCCGTGTTCAAGTTAAGTAGACCACGACTTAACTTGTACATTATACATAGGCGCGTACGTTTCCTTCTTGTTTCCCATGTATCCCAATCCAGCTCTTTCGTCATGGCTGATACACTAGCTGTTCGATCGTAATTTTTTAAACAGAATCGTGCCGCTGATCTCTGAACTCTTTCAACAGCAGCAACATCTTTCTTATAGTAAGGGTCCCATGCTGTAGACGCATATTCAAGCGTTGGTCTTACAAGACTTTTATAAGCAACTTCCTTGACATCTCTTGGACAATTCCATAGGCTCCGCTTGATAACATGTAATACGACATTTGCCTTCCGAGTGGTGTTAGATATATGAGATGACCATTTCATTTTATTATCAAACATCACCCCGAGATATGGATGGTTTTCGACTTCTTCCAGTATTTGGCCACAGAACATATACTGTTTCTTTATGATATTCTTTTTAGTTGTAATGCACATCACTTTACACTTGGTCGGATTAAACTCCATTTGCCAGCGGTCTTGCCACTCCTCTAATTTACACAAATCAGCCTGGAGAGAATCTGCATCTACATCACTTTCAATAAAACAGTACAGCAGGGCATCATCGGCAAACAGTCTTACAGTAGATTTCAATTCTG